GCTATGTTATTGGAGCAAATGACTGCGTGCAATTTTGATTTACGTTATTATGAATTTAAAAGAAACTTGTAATTTTAAGGATGCTAAGTATTGGAACCATATACTCATATTATGTCACTTTACCAGAATTTGGAGAGACTGTAAATTCGTGTATGTTTACTTAACGCTGCAACATGAGGAAGTAGGTAATTACATTAGATGGTTGCATTTAGTTCAAACAGGTGAAAATGGCATTTCTATTTCTTCTATCTTATGTAATTGAAGTTGAATTGGCTTCTAACAGCAATAATGTCAACAATGTCTGCAGCACAATGTTCACCATATGAAAATAAGTAAGTCGATAATTACATAAGATGGCTGTCTTTAGTTCAAATGGGTGAACATGACGTTTGTATTATTACTGCCATTAGATCTGGGATGTAAAAGCTATCACTAAGTATACCTAATTTTGAAATCAAGTATATAAATACCCGATCAACCTATGGATTTCCTTCCATATAACCGATTACCAGATACACGCAATCCGCCATTCTACTTGTCCATGCCAATGCCAGAGGGAAACATTTATCAGGTGACCTTGTGGAATGACGGCGGCCAAATTCACACATTTAATATGATCTAATAACAGGATAATAAAATTCCGTCATTTAGACATGTTACCAAGGCAACACAAATAGCAGACTTTTACTTGTGACTGTGTGAATGACTTAATATTGAATATTTGTACAAACCACCTAATTCTAATACCATTATTGATCTCGATTCTGATCGTTATCAAATAGTCTGGGGGTTATATATATATATACACATAGACTAATATCCCGTGTGTTAGCTTAAACATAGAAATTCGTATTTAAATAAACAGTCGTTGTTTAAACTTTATATTACTTCCTTATTGGCAAGTTTCTAAAAGAGTCATTGTCACTCTGACCAATTGTAGCTAATTTTATATAATACCATTATGCTGACCCAATTGTTGAAAATCCAAGCACTGGCCTGGTTAGAGGAAGGAACTTTGAACTCCTTGAAAACCACTGAAAATATGCATGACGCATAAATTAAAAGCCAAAATGTCTAAATTTCAGAGAAAGAGTGATGACATTTCTGTCAAATTTTGCGAACATTCTAATTTGAACATCCCAGATGTGACAATTATAGTCCAACGTCATATCTTGAATCGAAAATCTTCTCTTTTTACACATCGTCGAAGCGACCAAAAACTCTTATTTCCCTTTTAACGTTAGATTCTACAACATGTGGTTCCGCTTCCAAAACCACGGCTTTAAGCAGGATTGAGCATAGACGTTGATTATATCCGGTCTTATACGAATGGTTTCTCGTTTCCTACTTCATTATGGTCGTCTGGTTCGATGTTATGCAATCCAAGATAACAAATTTCAGTTTCACACTTAACTGAACATTTCAAGATGAATGCATGGAACCGAATTCAAAATAAACAGTCGCTCAGCTATGTCTTCACAACCCATTTGTCACCATAATGAAAATCGCCCAGATTCAAGCTATGATAAGAATTTATTCAAATACAACGTCGTGCAATATTCTGCCAATCTTAAAGATACATTACGTAAGATTTAGACAAAGAGTTGGCCGTTATTACAATATATTTCAAAACAATAGTTAATACAAAATGAATATATTGAAAATTTCAGTCAAATTACTTTATTCTGGAAGAAGTTACTGAGTGTGTGAAGTTTTAACAAGAAATAGCCGATTTCAAGTACCATTGCTATGACAATAAACGTTAAGCGACGTCTATCTTAATGTTAACCGACTAAATGGCGTGGATAGTCTAATCCATTCCATATCTATGCCATCCGATGGCCTAAAGAGTTCATTATGGTCTTGTCGTGTGAATAAATGTCAAGACAATAATTTATATAACAACTGAAGCCACAATATAATGCATCTGTAAGCTGTAGGTTAACTGTACACGCCATATCCAGTTAGGGTTGACTCCTTGTTCATGCCACTTGAATGAAAAATCTATGCACATGTCTACTTGGTTCCTTTTTTTTAATCTGAATGCCATTTTCTAATAGTCAATAATTGATTTTTATTCTGGCCCCGAGTTCACAAAGCATTCTCAGACTTAAGTTAAGAATTTACTCAACTTTCAATCACTGTTTATGAGAAATATCTTTGATCCAGAAACACAAAACTTTGCACATAGTTTCTTATTGGTGTATTTGATACATTAAAAACAACAAAAGTTTTATTAAGGGCTATATTTTAGTTAAAATAAGGTGAACAATTTTGAGTAAATTCTTAACTTAAGTCTGTGAATGCTTTGTGAACTCGGGGCCAGACCTTTGTAACTATGAAAAATAGAATCAATCAAATCTGGTGTTGAGTCAAACCGCGACATGTTTAATTTCAAACTTTTTGGCCATACACAGTACGTATATATATTTATTTTGAGGTTCCACCTATTGGTTAATCATGCCTATGACAATGTTTGCCTTTTGCTAGCCAGTCTATAATTGACGATAAGTCACTGTTTTCTTATTACCCATCGATTGGCTGAGAGGATAAATATTATCTTAAATAAAATATGAATCCCATCAATCCAATTATATTCCTATTTTCAGAGTAAATAAGCTTTTGGTAAAGATAACTTTACATAGAAAACCTCAGTGTTTACAGAAAGTGGCAGTAACCAAACATAACCAAGTGAATTCTATTAAAGGGATATTATGGCAGAACCCAATTATGGTGGATTTATCCTTTCATAGAAATGTTAATATTCGTGACATTACAAAGTCACCTCTTATCGGAGAAAGGTCGTGAAACAGATAGATAAATATCAAAGAAGACATTTTAAGAAGAAAAAAACGGCAGTTTATGCCACTTTAAATATTGTTTCACTATTCACACATATAATTAAATTTATGTGATGAATTATTAACATACTTATTCGGAGAATAAGAACACAATAATGAATATTTACAAAAAAAGACCAAGAAAGTAACAGCCATGGCATACGTTAAATGGTATCCTGGTGCATATCTTCGTTCTTATCTTTTCTTTCGTGGTTATACGATATTTAATAATATCCAATATATACAGGTTGCATCAATGTCTTACGTATAGTTCGAAATGTATTCCGATTGTCTTCTTGTCTTTTCAGCGAAGTGTTAAGTAACATCATCTAGTGACATTATCATTTTAGTAATGTGAACAAAACAATACATCCGAAATATAATGGTTCTAACATTGGTGATAAGTTTATTGCATAAAAACGACGACGCTAAAATATCTGTATTTTGAGTTGCTCATTTAAGATATGATTAATATACATGTGACAAATGTATCATTTATACCTGATGCGTATCCAATGACAGCACTCATCACATTATTCGGACATGTATCAAGCAATTTCTGAAAACGCGGGAAATTACCGGAATACTCAAGGGTCGTCAATAGAGACAATAACTGATATTATATGAACAAATTATCTCTATAATGATCATCGGTATTTCAAAACAACATCATCAATGACCGAATGAACAATATAATCAATGAATAAACAATGACTTTTACTTTCTTTTCATGTTGGTGTAACATAAATCTATGATATAGCAATATATAGATCGCATCCAATAATTATATACAACAATGATTCCACTGTTTTACTAGAGTAAGCAGACTATTGTCCTTATTGTGCATTTTTGTTCATGATAGGAAAATGATCATATATGAATTCTCCCGTGCGCTTGTTATCATAGAAAAATATTAAGTCCTATTGTTTTTAAACAACACAGGTAACAATTGTTTATATTGGGAGAATAAATAACAGGGGTAGGAACTTCTACATAGTATTTTTTATTTGTCAAACAAAATCACCGATGTTATGAAGATAATACTTTTTGGTAGAAATGAGCAATTTTCTTTGAAAATCTGTTGGAAATATATGCAGACCACTTCTCTAGTACTACCGTTATATATTATATTACTATTAATATTTTCATTTATACCCCCAGGTGTATTTGATAATTTCAAAAAAGTAGGGCGTTAAACCCCATTTTATTTCATACTTAATAATAATACCAACAAAGGACTATATATTTACTGTGTTCGTGATACTCTTGTTTTCAGTGGTTTTAACATTCCATCTACGCGTGCCTCTATAAATCTTCTTATATTGGTTTATTGATGTAAATAATAAAAATATAATTTGAAATTATATGAACGAGCCGTCTAAATCAATGGGGGGGTAGGCTGTTATAAATTCAAGGGGGTGACCTTGAAGTGTAGATAAGTGTATATCAAGTGGGTTTTATGAAAATCTGTGAATAACGTCTCTTTTAACTGTACAGTCGTCTCAATATTTTTATGGTAACATTATCTTTACTCGAATCGTTGCTTTTGAAACATGTCTGTACTCCTTGCTATTTTCTTTGGGGCAAAATATTAGCAATCAATTACTTGTAAGTGGGAGATATTTCCAATATAGAGTGTAATGTCAATTTATTTAAATGTCAAGTCTGAAAGTCTTTTTCTAGAATTCGGAAATGCTTGTTGACAAAAGAATGCCAGATGAGTGAGTTTGTGTCAGAATCCAGTACAATTTGGAACAATGTATTATTTTCTACAGAACAGCCCAAAATAAATGAAATTCCATGGCCGTCTGTTGTCCAATATGATCGAAGCAAAGCAGTGTCTCCAGTTTTGTTCGAGTGGCGTTGTATTTTAGATTGGCGACAAATGGTTCACTCGATTGCAGCGTTTGTGTGATCACCGGGTTGCTTTTTGCAGCCCCTGTTCGCTGTGTGTGTTGAAGCAATAAACACAACAGGTTGTAATGACTAAATGGTTGTATTCATTATTGTAGTATTGGTGTGCCAGGTGTCGCGTGGCAACTCACGTATTTCTACGTTTTAATATATTGACAGCCATTCTGGAAGCCTGGGTCCAATGTGATTATAACTGAGCCTATTGAGTCTTAACGATCTAAGTAACAAATAACTAGAATTACTTACCGTTTTCGAGAATTTGCATTTTTCATGATTGCATTAAGCAATCCACATAATGTCGAAGCAAAATCACTATATACGGATATTGGTCACAAAAATACTCCAAAGGGAACGACGAAAATGCCACCTCAAACACAACGCAACAAACCAACTTTATAACTGGTAAATTAAGTCGATGACTGTGTAAAGGAGGATAGAAAAATATTAAATTAATCCACGAAAGAAAGGGGACCTCACATTCTCGCCATTAATACCAGGTTTAGCAGACGACACTATCTGTATGAAAACTGAATGGTGTTGTTGCTAAGCCTCGCAGCCGATCAGTATATATCGCCGCGTGCGAGGAAAATGGACAGATTATTTTTGGTTTTCTAGCATAAGAATCGATCGTTCGGCTTCTCCTTTTTCCACCTAAAATTATCGGAGTAATTCACCATGAAAGATTACAGATTTCAAGTAAATTCCTTTCGGCCACCTCCAAGCACAATTCCTGAAGTCATAATCTTAACGGAACTTTCTATAAAGAAACCGTGAAGGTATATAATCTTTGATAGAAAGTCAAGATGGTTTATATTGTAGGAGCAAATTAGATTAAGGAATCGCGTCAATATATAAAAACAGTTCATTAAAAACAGATGATTGAAATTTTGTTTTAATATTTCCAATCAACGGCACGGCGAACATTGGTTATGTTTTTTGAATTAACATCATTCTGAAAATGCTATACCAGCTTCCAAAATATTCCAACTAAATTAACTAATTTATAATGATCAATGTGTTTGTGTTGTTTAATTTTAATTAAGTATTGCTCCCCCTGGTCAGTGACAAGGACAGCTGTCTAGTCGTTCGGATGGGACGAAAAACCGAGGTCCCGTGTACACATTGGCATGCACGTAAAAGATCCCTTGTCAGTTGGAATTCAATAAAAAAAAAAGTAGGCCGTAGTGCCGCATTACGGGCAAAATTTCCCTTATAGCACACTGTATGGCGTATGCCCGTCTTCATTAGCCCAGTTCGGAGCAGAACAGTAAGACGATAAACCCCATTTCATTTCATTTGATTAAGTATTGGTCGAGACTTTGAAAAAGTATACACACAAGGGATTAGACAGGCAGGTAAAATTTCGGAATGGCCTAACCTGATCCCAAATGCCAAGTTAAACCCCATTTGATTTGATTTCATTTCATTTTTCCTCTATGCCCACGGAGCCACGGTTGCTCAGTGCGCAAGGCCCTGGCTCACTTACCAGGAGGTCCGGGATTCGATGCCGATGTTGGCCGAGAAAGTTTACCGGGATTTCCCAGCGTGGTTTCTCCTTGTTGGTGGTCAGGACGGAGGAGCTGGCAAGAACAGTGTCTAGTTGGCGGAAAATCGAGATACCATTATACACGTTGGCGTCTACGCAAACGAGTCCTTTACGTTTGGCATTTGAAATAAGAGTAGACCGTAGCGCCGCTGTCACTGTGTGTCAAGCGCGCAGGTAATAGTGGACATTAGAAAGCACAATACACCAACTGCATTATTCGGCTACAAATAACCGAAGTGACGTATTGGTAGACCGATGTTTCGGCCACAGAAGTTAAATAGGTGCCAAATGGTGATAATAGGAGCTAACTGATTAGGGTTCGTGGACGAAACATCGTTTTAATATGACACATGGTATATACGAAGAGGAGGAGAGGGGGTATTTAGAAATACAATCAGGATGAAAAGCTGTAGGATTTCAGTATTCCACGTTCAATAAATATTATTAGTTGTTATTTATTTTAAACGTTCAAATTACACCATTAAAGTGGACCTAAGTTTGTTTATTTGATAGAAAATTTGGGGGCAGAGAAAGCCTGTAAGCGACATTTTAAGGCAATCTTCCCATAATGTAATGTTTAAACAATCTGTGTCATATTCCCCCAAAACGGTTCTACTAAAGAGAGTAATTGGAAAAATCACACCACGAATAGACTGCGTTCATCATTAATCATATACATAGAACTCATCAGTAATGAACTATAAACTAAGCATGAGAATAGGATTTGGAAATCTATTTATATATAATGACATTGAGGGATGTATCAGAGGATTTCCAATGTAATCAATTAGTTCGATTACTTCGCCTACAGATTTCTTGCAAATATAGCATATTATAATAATGTAATTAGCTCGATAATGTTTGAGAGGATACTTTTCGATATGTCGCCCAAATTTATTAGATGAATGTGTTCTATTTTTTTTAAAATATATATCAGTTACTAAATGCCACTAAAAGTTTATATAATTTATATATTCAAAATAACACTTTCATGCAATGTTTTATTGAGCAAAATGGCGTTATTCGGAATGCTACTTCGAAATGTTCTTTGCAGATATCATATAATTTGTAGTTTATTCTACAAAGAAAGGAAAATCAATGTGTTTTAATTTTCCCCTTTACTTTTTTTTCCAGAAATTATTATCATTGTCATATGCTTTGAAAAACGGGAATAGGAATATACGCACTTTCTTAATCGTCTACATAAACAAATAAATCACTGTTTGTAGTTAGCAATAAAACATATATCTTATAATATGGCTAAAAACAGAGCTAGTAAAACACAAATTCCGTTTCTCTTTTTGTAAATATACGTCAGAAGATGAAACGAATTAATCTAATGATCACATAAACATTCAAAGCATATAAAAATAAATAATTTAAAATATAAATAACATCAAACCTTGATATATATAATAATGTAATGTTTCATCTCGCAGCTTCAATTAAAATAAGATATCATATTCATTAATTATTGACAATTAATAATGAAATGAATTGGGGATATCTGCTCTATCCGGCCTTATAAAGACGGATATACACCATACAGTGTGCTATGGGGGAAATTTTTTTACCAGACACAGGCATTATTTCGAATGCCAACTGTCAAGGGTTCTTTAACGTGCACGTGCACGTTAACGTGTACATGGGACTGAAGTTTTCTGTACCATCCGAAGGGCTAGACGCTGTTTCTTGACACGGCGTCTGTCCTGCACCACTGGCAAAGGTAAACCACTCCGGAAAATATAACCGAGGAACTTTCTCGGCCAACACCAGACCTCATCTATTGTGTAAGTTAAATAACACCTAGTGTAATACATGTAATTGACATCAATCGTCATAACCACTCATTATAGATCTTTATTTCGAAAACCATGCTTCAAATTAATCCATTCTCATCATCGGATTATGGCAGGTAATGATAATGATACTTTGGTTCAGCGTCGTGTCTAGTAATAATAATGAGATGATAGCCCGAAACCTACCATAAAATCAGCTTAAGGGTCAGAACATTGCTTACAGTGGAGTGTGTCTGATTGACCACTGATCAGATCATTTTATCTAATCATTTGATTTGATGTGCATATCACGCTACACGAACTTAAAGAGATATTATCATCTTGCCAAGAAATGTGATTAGTTTTGAATACTACATGTACTTCAGACTTTTCGAAAATGGGTGGAAGGCTTTGTTAACTGCTGTAATATCATATCAAAATAAACATAAGCCTCCCATTGTTGTACAAAACAACGGGATATTTATCACGAGATTTCATTAAACTCCATAATAACCTTTAATTCTGAACGCACAACATTCGCATCCTAGAAAATAATGTTTGATCAACCACCGAAGATATCCAATGAACTAATCCCTCTTTAATAGCAGTTGCAAAATTTACTTTGTTTTCATTATACTGGTAGTTGGGATAGCAGTAGCTGTCACGTAACTACGATCAAAGCCACTATTGAAATGTATTATCGCTTTTAGTTATTGCAGTTTCTACCGCTATTGCAATAATATTACATTATGCGACAGCAGCGACTGTGTATTGTAATAATATTGGCAACAGCCGAGTTTTAAAACATATTTTTTGAGAATCAGCTAGGTGTCAAAATGATCTGCTTTATTCTTTAATGACTGATTATATTCAAACGCACATATACTAAGTGTCAAATTTTTATAGATCGACGGCCATTAACTGTAAAACTGGGGCTTTTCTCTCTTTTTTTTCTTTACAAAGGTAATGTTCATATCAATTTTTGACCGAAATAGCTTATATGACGTATAAATATAATATATATGTTCTTAAAAATCATATGTGGGGATTATTTCATTGTTTTCTGTACATCTGTGTCGCAACAGCTGTAGAAGACCTATATTAAAATATAATATTTTTTGATAAAATTAGGACACAATCTGATATAATGAAAAACAATAGGTTACTGATACGTTATTACAGTAGCTGTCAAACTTCCCACCCCGCCCTTTTCCATTTCCTCGATAGGTAGACTGTCAAGAATCGATATATTAATAATTTGTTTTCCGTATTGTGGCGAGCTTTACCGCGCAGAAGTGGTCGAAATAATGCCAGTGTTGATTTTGTATACTGACAGAAGGTCTACGAGGTTACTTTTTTAAAAAAAAAAAAACGTTCACGAAAAAAAAAAAATGTTATTGTATGCCCCCCCCCCCCCAAGCTTGTAATGGTAAGGCATGTCATTAGGTGCGGGGTTTCGGGGAAATTTCTACAGAAGATCTCATTTCTGTTGATTCAGTACAGTCTTTGGAGGACAACAAAAACTTATTAAATATAGCACAGTTTCATGAAATAATAATTATTGATAGGTTTGTACACAACACCAATCTGATTAAAATACAGATTTATATTTCGTTTCGTTTTTTTATACTTTCGATGGCCTACACTACATGAAGATATGACAAGTTATAGTGGGAGTTCACGTCAGGGTCAAACGAGCGGCTTTTGACGCTATGACGTCAGCCATTTGATCAACCAATCAGTATTGATGTTTCTAGTGGATTACCCACAGTTCCGTGTACCACACGCCAAAAGCTCGATGTAACAGACCGTTTCACTGACTCTGTGCACCCTTTTACTGAAAGAGTAAAAAATATCAGAATATTTTTATATAGCTCGGCACAATAATTGTTGTTATTTCTGTCGGATTTCAATCTAAATTCTTTGTTCCGAATACACTGGGTAGATACATAATTTCATATTGTATCATAATATGAGTAAGGTTTTCTTTAGAAATAGCGCCCTTGTGGAATATACTGCGCTTACAATAGAAAACATCTACAACAGATACTCAGAAGAACACCGTCCAGTCCAAAGGGAAAGGTCGCGCAACGCTGAATATCGACAGGGTTCGTCCTCTCATGTACAAAATACATCACACCTGACTTGAAAAAAAAATCCGTTAAAATTGTAGCCCCTATGGGTTTAACAAGGTTTTTGGAAAAGGGAGGTGTATAGGCTGACTGCGGAACGGTAGGTTTCGTTCTCTCAGGACTCTACATACACAGAGCGCACAACAGCTAAGTCCAGATCGATTTTATTGCCGAGTGGGCCGATTTTGGGGGAAAAACAGCCGGTTTGCCGGAGTCAATTTTCAGTCAACCAAAATGAGGCCTACAAATCAATATTCAACTAAGGCATTTAAAAATTTATAATTAATGCTAAACTACTTTTCGACCTTACTGGGGTAATATGATTGATTTCTGATGCTGAGTGGGCCGCCCCCCCCCCACCCCCCGGGAAAATATGTTTGTGCCTCCCGGAACATACAGTCCATTGATATATTATTATACCACGCTAATGAAATAAAGGCAGTCTAAGGTGACCCAGAAGCTGAATGTTAGAATTTTCGTCAATTTAACGACAGTTTTTAATCAAATTCACGTCACATTTAGTTTTATTACCTCTTTAACCGTGGCATACTAAATTAGTATAATATGACGCCAAGTAACTTAATTGCACTAGGAAAATCAATAAACACTTTAACAATATATGTTTCAATCTATAACGGGTTTTTTTCCGCTTTTGTCATATTTATGGAATCATGTTTGCGGGTTTTAAAATGCCTGAAAAGTCAATAACAACGTGTCACTTTGGATCAATAAATCAATGGTCACCAAGCGCCTGGATTATAGTTTCTATTCGGGTCCTAAATTTCAAAATCAAAATGCGACATCTCGTCTTATGAAAATTTAAGGCCCTGTTTATACCATGGGCAGCACGCCCCCGGGCAGTTGGCTATCGAAATAAGAGGTAGTTTCGCTGTCCGGGCTAAATTTCCCACATAGCATATTGCACGGATTTATTATTCCGGTTAGTGCAGAAGGTAAATCCTTTTTTTATTCATTTTAGGTAAGGGTGTACCTTTTGAGCAGCGGTGGGTTTTTACCGCCCAGATTTGGCCTAATTTATGCCGTTTGTTTATTTTGACCAGTTAACAGACAGCTTTATGGGTAAAATTCAATAGGTTTATTAACTGCAAGTAGTGCAACATTTCAATGAGGACACTCTCACACGTCAAGCTTGATAACGGTGAGAGTATCCTCATTGAAACGTTGCAGTTAATAAACCTAGTGAATGTTATCCATAAAGCTGCCTGTTATTATATATCACTTTCACTAAATGGCCTTTAAACATGTACTACCTATACCTAATATATATTTGTGTGATAAAAGATCTATGTTTTAGACAAGTCCTTTAATAACATGTAGGGCCATTCGATTTATATCACTTGAACAATTTTCGCTTTTAAATTTCATTATGAAAGATTGATTTCGGTGTTTTTATACCAAGTAGGGTCATTCGATTTATAGCATTCGAACTTTTTTTCCCTTTAAATTTCATGATACGCACTAATGATTTCAGTGTTTTATAACACGTGGGGCATTCGTTTAATAACGTTCGAACTTTTTCCCCTATTCATAGAGGCTTGAAGGGTAATCACATAATGTTTGATATCTTTTACTATTTACTATAACAATTGTTTACAAGCCTGCAGGAAGCATTTCCAGATCAAAGAGAGTTATCGATATTGCCCGAAAGACAAAAGGTTAGGTACATACATATAGCACAGATACTCTCGACTAATATTGAAAATATTCCATCGTTTGAACTCTCGTGATTACTCACTGTGATGTATTACTATCACAAATTAAAGTTATTATTTGTGATCAATAACGTGATATAGTCATTATTAAGGAAACGTAATTAGAAACTGCTATTATAGTAGAAAGTAGTGGGTGATATTAATATAAGACATGGTGAGATTGTAGATGATGAAAGCTAAAGATAAATTACCTTGACATTTTCTAACCTTTATTGCTGCAGGTTCTATGCTATCAATACAGGTATATAATTACTGAGCTGTCAACTTGTAATTATCGCCAGAGACGGTCATTTTTGTATGATAATTTGATCCTTATTGCTGAATAATACGATCCAGTGCCAACTAATAGTCATTGATTAGGCTTGGTGGGATACCATATACAGGGCCTGTTGTTAATATGGTAGATATGGTGTTCATTTTATAATCATCAAACCTTTGAAAACAAAAACATATTGGTGAAAATGTTATCATGACACAAACGGTAAGAAGGGTGGAATGTCACACTGTGTTAACGGTTGTCATGCAGCGTTAATTAAAGATGTATCCGGGCCCTTTTTTCCAGTATAAATGTTTGAACAACTATTTTCATTTTACAATTTCCTTTCTTATAAGATATTGAAGCATCTAAAAACATTCTACAGTCATCGACGTGTTGGTGAGGTTTTTTTATTTTGTAAATAGTGTATAATATACAGGGTTAGATAATTATGAAATAAAAACAAAATGTCTCAATATGAAGTTTCTGGCGGTATTTGTATTGTCTATATATATATATAAAGAACAAAAGAAATGATCAATTCTCATTTTATAATTCAGATTATATATAAAAAGGTTAAAGTTGACTGCTCTCAGGTCCGATTTTCACCAAAACCAAACCCATCCCCGATAATTCATAAAGGTGCATGCGAAATTTGCTACAATCGGACCGTTGCGAAATCTTTAGGATAAAAACATATTTTAAGTGTCATCAAAATCGAATGAAACGTGGCCTCTATAGTGTCCACAAATATATGTGAACATATATCTAGACATACAGACGTCCTGGATTGTCAAAATATTCAGTAAATGTACTAATCTTATTGTGCATTTAAAAAACCTTTCTGGAAGATATTTAAAGCCCGACTATACTTATCCAAACTGTTTCGCCGGGAAGTAATCGAAAGCCGTCCAACACCCACCTTTCAATTCCAATATGTACATGTGGAATAGCGGTCCTGTCAACTCTTTTCTTTGTTCAACACACAGGCACAATAGCAACCCATTAACGACAAAACTAAAGAGTTAATTTCCTTAGATTAGATATAATTCTTAATATAATCAGTCTGTGCATTGTCCCTTTATAGGAACTGGTATCGGATGTGTTAGAAATAGTAAGCATACACGGTCCGTTTGGATAGATAGTAGGGACTTTGAGAAACCAAAACTTGAATTTAGGTAACCTAGGGACAATGACTAACCAATTTGTTTATAAGCAAATGCAGAACAAAATTCACAAGTATATCCAGGGCAGTAATGCGGATCTAGAATAATCGCTAGTATTTTCACACTCGCTTTATCAAAGATAACTGTGATTCTATCAGGGTATCGCGGCATGATAGTTTCAGAGACAGAAACTTGAAATCTACAAGTGCATATATTTGGGTGCACGTAAAAGAATCCCCAGTAATTGGATTTTAAAGAAAAAACGGTCGTTTATATTGCCTCTGTCAAGGAGAAAATGGTTACTTTGAGACTTACGTAAGCATGTTCTGTGTCATGCAAAACATCATTCACTGTCTGTTACAAGTCTTAGTTCGAATTTCAGAAGACGAAATGGGGTTTAACGTCCTACTGTTCTGCCTCGACTCCTACTCTTATATCGAATTCCGACTGCCAAAGGATATCATACGTGCATGCCAATGGGTTCCCGCGATCTGGGGTTTTCGTTCCATCCGAACGACTATGCGCGGTTGTCTTTTGCCAGGCCATCCGTCATGCACAACTGACAAGTAGGAAACACGCCAGAAAATCCAGATGAACTTTCTCGGCTAACCCCGGGATCTAAGACGGGGGACCTCCAGACTAACGAGCTAATGTTACTCAGTGAGCAAACACAGCTTCCTTCAGAAGACGAAGCTACTTAGTTGAAGGTAATGGTGTAGCAATGATCACCGACGGTCACAATAATATGTTTCTATATGCTGTTACTAAACATCGTTACCCATCAGAATAAGTTTAGGTCCTTCTGTCTCATCAATGAAATAGTTAAACATTCCTTAAAAAGTAAATATATGTTCAATTGACGATTGATTATTGCACTGAAAAATCATAAAATCATTCGAAGAGTATTTAACGTGACAAAAAGCTGCTAGTGTATTTTGTTTTACCTCAGATCTTGTTTACGCATGAAAAAGGACGAGGGGGTGAGACTTTTTAAAAAATAATATGTGTGGTTATATATTTTAGGGTTGCAGTCCCACGTAAAATACAATTTTCAAAATTTTGAGAACCTGTCATAAAGATGAGTTGCCAGGCAGCGAAAAATACGCCCATGGGAGCCTTTCCGTATGGGAGCATTCACAAGACACTAAAAATGGATCATAGTTAACAAACGAAGACGTAATTATCAGAAACATTAAAAATTACATTGGCTTTAGTTCTTCCTAGTGCTGACATTTATTATACAAAACATGTACCGGTAATCAGATAACTATAGCCTCTATCACTAGAACACCCATAAACAAGTGTTGACGATGGGCGGGCGTGACGGCAATATACATCGTACCATTTGTTCCAATTTGCTGTGGGCGACCCCCTAGGCCTCCAGTCCTGGGCTTCAGTAGACTTAAGAAATAGGTCTCTAAAGTCTCCAGAGTAATAGACTTCATGGTATTTTCTTGTCAACTATATTGCCAGTTCTACACATTTGCTATGGTTAGTTCAAATAGGGATTGAAGGTTTATATTTTTGGGCTCGCAAAATCGTATGGGTTGTTAGCCTTTTTTTCAAATAGTAACCTACCAAAGGCACAAGCTTTTCATTTGACAAAATGATCGGTATTGTCCCTCTGCTTCTTTGGGGTTTTTTTTTTTGCCCCACTGCATACTATACTAAAACTAATACCCTAAATGTTGGAAAAATCATTAGCAAATGGTGTAGGATCCAGATTGCTAAAGGGGGGTAATTCAATTTAAGCATACGGATTGATCATTGTTAATCTCTGCTCTTTGCAATAGATGTATTACGGTTTGGAGAATGTAATTGTTCTCTTTCCACCAGCTACGACCGGAAAAAGAAATAGATTTAATGTTTAATGCCTGGTCAGAAATTGGGTTTAAATATTTTAAGAGAATAAATGTTATAATGTAGTAAAAGATAGACTGCAACACAGCAGGCTGAAACTTGATCTCTGTTACTCTCTGCTCTTAGCAATGTTTGATCGTTTGGATAGGGGAATTGTTTTCTTTTCCCAAACTAGGAACGGTAAAAGCGATAGATTAAATGTTTCATGCCTGATCAGCAATTAAGTTTAGATATTTTGAGAACATAAATGTTATAATGTAGTAAAGGATTGACTACAACACAGCAGACTAAAACTTGATCAGTTGTAGTGTTAGTGGAACTATACATTTCATGGGCATGGCAAACCAAATGTGAAATGAAATGAAATGGGGTTTAACGTCCTACTATTTTGCTCCTAATGAAGACGGGCATATGCCATACAGTGTGCTATGAGGGAAATTTTGCCCGGGCAACGGCGCTACGGCCTACTCTTATATCGAATTCCAACTGCCAAGGGATCTTTTTACGTGCACGCCAATTTGTACATGGGACCTTGGTTTTTTGTCCCATCCAAACGACTAGACAGCTGTACTTGTCAGGCCCTCCGTCCTGCATCACTGACTAGGGGAAACCATGCCGGAAAATCTGGATGAACTTTCTCGGCTAATGCAGGGATCGAACACCCGACCGCCAGGCTAGCGAGCCAGCGTCTTATCCACGTGATCCCCCCAAACCAAACGTAAACTATGTGTCAATAATATGCAGTACTGTTATATTGGGTTTTTTTCAAAAGAGAACGTTCTAGATTTCAAATACCATATTTTATTTACCTTTCATACATCCATACATACACTAGACGATTAACAAACTTCATTTTATATCATGACACTGTCATAAGAGTTCAACATAAATACTGTAAGTAGGATCCCTTGTTTAAGAGTAAGGAATGCATTGACATTAGCTTTAATATTATTGTAGTTATTTCCAATTGGTTTCAATAGAGTTTATCAAAATAAAAAAATTTCAAAATTAAAATATTTGATATTCAGTAATTATAGACAATGTGGCTATTATTATTTGCTAAAGTAGCAGGAGCATATATAACAGAGTTTTCAATGATATATGATCAAATGCAATATTGCAGAGCATGCAGTCAGTTTTACATAACAATATGTAAAAATATAGATATCTTTTCCAACTGTTCAATCTATATGACAGGAAAAAGGGTAATGAGAAACAGCTTCTATTTTTGATCAAACTTGAATATAGGGTATACATGTATATTGCACAAGGCTATATTAAAATATGTCAGTTGCATTCTGGAAATGAGGTCACATATTCGTACAATCTGTCAGAATTAGTGACTTTTTTGGCCAGTCCATAGTTTACAGGTGTTTGTTTGCTCTTTTCAATTTTTTCACACAAAAACAGTGATTTACTTTGAACTGCATATATATACATATTATACAGAATAATAGAATGTAATAAACATTCCCATCATTTTGTCCAACTGACTTTAGGAATATCAAAATGTTCTGTTAAATTATCTAACTGTCTGTTAAAATCCTGTAAAATAAAAAAGTATTTTCATATACTTTAAATTTTTTCAAACCTGATGATGGCTAAATAATGCCATTGATAGGGTGACCCACCATAAATAAATATCTCCATATATCTCGACATTTACGCCACAATATTTATATATATGCCAAGCCCCAAATCAGTTTCACACAATTATAGTCACTAAATAAACGATCATGTTGTACTTAATAAGCTATGACAATTAATCATGTATAAATAATAGACTGAAAACTGGTTCCAAGAGTCGTCCATAACATCCAGACACTTTTGAGTAAAAGATAGATTACGTGCCCTTGTTTTGAAATTAGTCTCGCTTAACCAGTCTATCGACCATTCTACGTCTGATTGACAGGTCGGGATAATCAAGACTACTTTTTTACGAAACATAACAGAAAGCTAGAACAAGAAATTGAATTTAGAAATAAGCACATTAGGTAGCTCAACAATCGTTTTAAGAAGCTTGTAAAAGTAAAATGAAACTACTGCTAGTATCATGTTCCTGTCTAACCCGAGTGATTCAGAGATATTATTTGTACTAAACCAAAAGATGCCGCTCTTAACGGTACAGTTAATATAAAGCGATTTAAAAAATGAAACGAACGTAATTTCTAAATCTGCTGTAATAACCAAGAAGCTTAATTTTACTGCTATTCAAAATTGTCAACAATAAATTTTTTACGGCTGTAATAGTTGATAGATTTGTAGAGAATTGCACGTGCAAGGGCTATTTATAGTATCATACTGTCAGAAAGTTGGTCTCGGCACGGCGAATGTGCACAGTTCAGTAGTAGTCTCGAACTATCAGCGGTGGACTGTATTTCTGTGAGTACATGGGTCACCCTACCATTGAAGTATGCTTCTTTCATGCACAATTTATAACTGTATTTGTTGAAAAACTACATTTTTAAAAATAGTGAATGACCAAAAATAACATATTTATCACAAATATCAATATCATTTACAAATACAATGAATGTTGAAACTCGAGTGAAAATCACATTTTTAAATATTTACCATGATTCTCTCTTTGTGGGTTTTACTTGCAATTTCTATAATCTCTTGAGCTCTCTGGAAAAGAAAAGTAAATTGATGAATCATCCATTTGAGATACTTGTGACCAAAAAAAGTAAAGATGTGTTTGGATCAATTTAAATGAAGATGTATTTTTAGAAAAAGATTAGTATTGTGTATTGAAAATAATAATTACATATTCTAAAAGTTTTAGCATTTTACTCACTCTCTTTTCCATTTTCTTTTCATAGGCCAACTCGGCTTTCGTTTTTCTTTCAACTTTATATGTTTGACTACTTTCTCCACTCTTATTACTGACTTCTTGATTTAAAGCTTCTTCTAACTTTTTCTTTTTATCCTTCTTCTTTTTTCTGTAAAAATAAGTAAAAATAAAATATAGATGTTTAATTAGTGCAAAATACCGCAGCTAGAATTGTTACCAGATCATCAAAATACTCTCATATAACTCTTGTTCTGAAAAAACTCCATTGGCTGCCAATAAATGAAAGAATCATCTTCAAAATTCTGTACTTGACTTATCAGTGTGTAAATGGCTTAGCTCCAAAATACTTATCCGACCTTATGCAAATACATGTTCCCTCGCGTAACCTCTGATCAAACAGACTTCATCATTTGTTTTGCCCAAGGTGGAAGCTAAAATCATTTGGATACAGATCGTTCTCAGTGAATGCGCTTAAACAGTGGAACAATCTACCAGAAATCATTAAATCAACTCCAACACTTTCATGTTTTAAATCAAGACTTAAAACCCATCTTTTTAAGAAATATTATCAGGATTAATCAAATTAATTTAACTGTGTGCTGTGAGCATGCCTCTGTGCATGGAGTATCCAATGGACTTCTAGTGCTATATAAATGTACATATTATTATTTAGAGGTTTATTGTCATGGACTAGATTGCTAATGAAGAAAAGGAGGCAGTATATGAACTACAAGCTTGAGATCAAAACCACACTATGTCCCAGAGATTTTGATTTCTTTTGATATTTTGAACATATCGAACCATCCCTTCCTGGATTATGTCCTCTGATTGTATGAAAAATATTTTTTCTTTTTAGCTTGTTTTCTGTCCATCTCTTGCAAAATATAGGTGTAACTTGCATGGTAGCTGCTTGTTTAAGTTTTTTCTGACAGTACATTATCAAGGATTGAAACAGGTTGTTTTACATACTTCCTGTTCGACATAAAAATCAGCTGTTGACAGGTGAACGATCTACAATAAAATATGTTAACATACATGTACATGTATATAATAATCTGGCGAGTGGTCTACGGCAGGTGCTTTAGATCATAAGGTATGTCATTGGGTGAAGTGGTGTGGTTTTGATCTCAAGCTTGTAGTTCATATACTGCCTCCTTTTCTTCATTAGCAATCTAGTCCATGACAATAATTAGGTTTCATCAAAATCAACTAAAAATTCTGACCTCTAGAGGGTCCACAACCTTGGTATTACATACTTTTACACTATTTGGCCATTCTGTCAGGCAGTTTCGGTCTCAACCGTCTTTGGGTTGTAACACTGATATATTTAAACAATTTTTAAAATCGTATAAAAATTGTGACCACTAGAGGGTCCAAATATTAAAGATCGATTACCAGAAAACGAAAAATACACCCACAGCAGCTAAGTCGTCGGGGCAGTCAACAAGGGTTGTCACATATTTTTTCTGTTGTCAGTAAAAACGTTTACAACACATGAAAATCTCATTACAAGTAATAACCCATTAAAGATACATTATGGGAGATTAGATAAATAGCTGCTGGGAATTTGCTGAAAATTTCAGTCAAATTGATCCACTATGAACCAAGATTTTAGCGATTGAATTTTCGGCCTAGCCTCGATTATCATTAGCCTTGGTTTGTTTTTATTGCAACACGTGGTTGTGAAACTCTCTGTCAAAATTAAATACCCCCACAACTGCTTCATTGGCTTCGCCCAACACAATACGAAAGCTATGTATTCTTCCACTTAGTAGGCTACTAATAGTAGAAAATGTAAGTAAACACGTCAAATTTTTCAAGAGAGAACTTTTTTATTCGTTGGAATATTTAATTGTGCAATGGATTTTATTTAACCGGAGTTGATTTCAAATACACAGGTAAGTTTATAATAACCAATGTTAAATAGTTTGTTCATAATCGAAGAAATCCGTTTATAAAATAGGAAGTTTCAGACAGTAGTTTATTTTCGTTGTCTTTAGTTAGTTTAGTTCTTTCATCCAAAATCATTTAATGTCGCCCTATTTACGGAGGATACAAAATGAAACCCCACCATTATCCGTTTAAATATCACCTCAAGTTTAAATCCTAACCATGCATTAAATATACTAAAGTCTAGGCCTATTACTTTTTAATCTTTTGGTCTGAAACTCCTTTTAATTTCAATCCACCAGATTGAACGTTGTCGTATTCAGACATCTTTATTATTTCCGGAAGTAATATTTGGGGCATTATTAAAATATGTAATAATAAATACTTTTTATATATTAACTTCCATTAACCCCATATGTAGAAGTTAAGATATATTTAGTTACAACCGTTTTGAATATTCTGTTGTCAAAATCAATACAATTCAATCAATATAAGCCGGCGACTCCTACTGAACATACACTAAAATGAATGATCCCTGTACAAATTTTTTGATTGGCCGTCTCATTTTGCGTCCCCTGCAACCTAAGTAAACACAAGTGGTTGGTGTCCGATGAAAGAGAGTGTGTCAGTTTTGCATTTTTTGGCAGTACTGACATAATTTAGGATGCCAAGAAGGGCAATAAGATGCGTGGTTGAATTGAATCTCCACGGGGTAGGTTTTATCTTTACAGATATATTCACGTTTAAAGTGTTTATGAACAGTTATTCTGTCGGTAACCTAGTAGGCCTATATAGTAGTCTACTAGCATAACCTAACCCAGTTTTAACAATCGTGTCAAATCCTGTTGGATTAAAAGCGGGGAACGTTTTTTAATACTTAATAATAATAGATAGATCTAAATTAAAAACATATTCCGTTATTTAGATTTACCACATGTGAAACATTATAAATGAATAGTTGATGTTACGCAAGTGGTTATTTTGAAATAGTTAAATCAGACATTATTATTAGTTTGATTATTAAAATGATAGGAATAATTAGGCCTTTGGATGGCCGAATGGTTAGCGCCTGCACATTGAATCATAAGGTGTACATTGAATCATTAAGTCAGCTGGCGTGGTTGTGGTTTTGATTCCTCGGTTGTTGTACATTATTATTATTATTATTATTATTATTACAGCATATTTATAGTGCACCCTTTCATATAACATGTTCACACATTGTTACAAAGTGACAATGTAAATCACACATAAACAACAAGATTATGGGCATGTTAACAATTGTATACAGAGTCAGTTAAAAGCCTGATTAAATAAATGTGTTTTAAGTTGTTTTTTAAAAGAATACAGAGATGTACAACATCTTAAACTAAATGGTAGATTATTCCATAAAACAGGTGCTTGATAACTAAAAGAGCGCTGACCATAGGAGACTAGTTGAACAGTTTTGGGCTTTAAAAGTAGTTTATCTGATGTACGTAATGTTCGGCCAGGTGTATAAAGTTCTAAAAGATCTGAGAGGTAAACAGGAGCTAAATTATTTAAACATTTAAAAGTAAGTAATAAAATCTTAAAATCAATTCGATATTTAACAGGTAACAAGTGTAAATTATATAAAACAGGAGCTATGTGGTCACATTTCTTAGTTAAAGTAACAAGTCTAGCCGCAGTATTCTGTACTTTTTGTAATTTATCTATAAGCTTTAAAGGTAAACCAACTAAAAGTGAATTAAAGTTATCTAATCGAGAAGTGACCAGAGAATTAACAAGTGACTTAGTGGCCTCTACAGTTACACATTTACGTATTTTACCTATATTTCTAATATTAAAATAGCACAATTTACAAATATTATTTACTTGAGCTCCCATAAGCATAAAACTATCAAAATAGCGCCAATATTACGAGCAGAATAAGATGAAAATATATCACAATTACCAATTACAACAGGGGGGTTATCTTGTGCAGATTTACTTAATTGATGCCTTGAGCCTAATAACAAATATTCGGTTTTATCATCATTCAATTTTAGAAAGTTCTTTGACATCCATTTTCTAATTTCACTAATACAGTTCTCAAGTTGCAATTTTGATAAATTGAAAGAAGATGGACAATTAGGTGTAAATGAAATATATAATTGAGTATCATCGGCATACAAATGAAAGCTGAGACCATATTTTCTGACAATATCTCCTAATGGTGACGTATAGAGAGTAAATAAAATCGGACCAAGAACAGAACCTTGGGGAACCCCAGATGACAAAACAGATTCAGACGACGATTTGCAATTAACTAAAATACACTGTTTTCTACCCACAAGATAGCTCTCTAAAAGATTTAATGCAGAGCCACAAATACCAAATTTAAATTGAAGTCTACGTAGAAGAATGGAAGGGTCCACCGTGTCGAAAGCAGCAGATAAATGTAATAAAATTAAAAATGTACATTTTCTATTATCAATTTCCATTAAAATATCATTTGAAACCCGGGTTAAAGCTGTTTCGGTACTGTGAAATTGTTTATAAGCACTTTGAAATGGTTCATAAAAACAGTTATCATCTAGATGGGCCTTTATCTGAGAAGCAATACATTTCTCCAATATTTTAGAAATAAAACTTAAGTTAGAGACTGGCCTGTAATTTTTAAAAACATTAGGATCTAGTGTAGACTTTTTAATTAAAGGGGTAACATAAGCTCGTTTGAAAACGTTGGGAATAGTAGCGGATGATATACAAGAATTAATAATATTGGTAAAAACTGGAATAACTTCGTCTAGACAGTCCTTAAGAACAGAAGTCGGAACAGGATCTAATGAACAAGATTTAGGAGCAGACAATTTAATTAGCTTTAAAACAAAAGATTCACTAACCAAGTTAAAATTTTCTAAATAAACAGAATTTTCTAACTTATCAAAATCATGAGCGTTAAAGTCAATAGTTTTATTTAAATCATCAAGTTCAGTTCGTATTTTCTGTATTTTTATTTGAAAGAAATCAGAGAATAAATTTGCAAGTTCAGTGTCATTATCATTGTCCGGGAGGATAGTACGCTCAGCATTATGGTCCAAAAAGGAATTCACAACTTTATACAGGTCTTTTTGTCTGTTTTCGCCATTTTCTATTTTATCAGAGTAAAATTTGATTTTAGCATCTTCAATTAATTTATTCACATTGTTTTTTAAAGATTTATAAATCTGTTTATGGACATGGATTTGTTTTCCGCCACAGATGTTCAGCCTTATTACGGTCCCTTTTGGCTTCTAAAATAGAATCATTAAACCACTGCGTATTGTGAGAATAGTAAATGTTTTCGTTTGAAGAGGAACAAGCGAGTCCAAAATTTCAGCAAGCTTTGAGTGATATTGCGTTGCCTTCTCTTGTATATCTTGAATACGTTGAATGCCATTGAAATTCGAGTTCACTATTTCCGCTTTAAATTTATTTATGTCAAATGATTTAAACCTTCGATATGTTAAAGTCTTTCTTGTTGGTTGTGGTTTCTGGATCATAAGATTAAAAGTTGCCGGGAAATGATCAGATATTAATTTGTCCGAGACAGAGAGATTATCCAGTTTAATATCACGTGGATTAGTTATCACCAGATCGAGAATATGTCCACCGTTATGAGAAGAAGAAGAAACATGTGTGAGAGATCTATTATTCAGCATATCACAAAAATCAACCGCGGTAGAGTCGTTGGAATCATCAACAAGAAAATTAAAATCTCCCCAAATAATAGTGCAACACTTAGTCATCATCAACTGGTCCAGAAATAATCCAAATTCTTCCATAAACTTTTGACACAATCTGCTATTGGGCGGGCGGTAAATTGTAATAATCCTAGTTTCCTTGAAAGAAAACTGTAGAGAACAATCCAAAATTTCAAAAGAATCAAAACGGTCATGACGGATTTTCTTACACTTAATAGATGACTTAAATATAAGTGCTACGCCTCCTCCACGTGAACCGCGAGGGCAATGTTGTATAGAATATCCATCAGGTACTAAAGCTGCGATTGTCGATGAGTCTGAACAGTCATTATTCAGCCACGTTTCAGTTATTCCACAAATATCAATAGAATTTTCAAAAATATAATCAGATAAAATTGTTGTTTTATTTCTTACGGATCTGGCATTAATTAATCCAAACGAAGTTGTTAATACTGACGCTTCATTTTCGACCGCGTTTCTAATTTGTATAAGATTGTTGTTTATCTTCTGTTTTGTTCTAAAGTTTTTGATCTGTATGTGATTTTTGATAGAGTTTGAGGTAAGCTGGATGAGATTGCTATGATTAATGTTAATATTCAGTGGATTAGTGTTTAGAGGTTCATATGGTCTGTTGGTGGTGATAACTTTTAAATGTCTTTGATTTCTCCCAATTACTTCATTGTTGTCGTATATATAATCATTCAAAGCGACTGTTTTATTTTCGACGGGCCATGCATTAAGACACAATTGTGTATTGTCTGGGTGTTGATCGATTTGTTCAGAAATTATTGGAATAGTAACAAGATTGCCCCTGTTTACTGTTCTGTGTCTTTTTATTACTGTATCATTTCTAATAGTAGTAGTTGGATTTAAAACATCAATCTTTTTAACCCACTGCTTTCCACTCCTCACGCCTCTATTATTATTAATATTATTATTATTATTACTAAAACAATGAGTGTATGTATGTGACAAGGAATAGGGTCGCCTGTCCAACCTTGTGGGTATTCTCCGGGTCCTATGGTTTCTTCCCACTGCTAAAGACCCCTACGTGCAAGCAAATTATTGAAATGAAATTGAACCATATGTAAGTCCCGCAATGACCAAGTTTGTGTGGAGTAAACGTTAAACCCCAACTCTCTCTCTCTCTCTCTCTCTATACTAATACTATATACATTTGTATCCATTCTATAAGTAAAGTCTAATTAATAGACTGCCTGTATAGGTGCTACCGTAATCTAAAGGCTTATATAATGTAGCATTATACACCGAGAATGCCAGATTCAAATCCATGACAAGAGCTTTTATATACTTTATATCAACAAGTTTTAAATTCTTTCACATTATCGAGCTACATGTATGTTGGTTCAGTGAATATATGACGTTGGCTTGCTATCCTGCAGGTGAGGGATTATGATAAGCGGTATCGCATCGCAGTTTGCTAAACAGAAACGACGGAAGTGCGAATCAAACATTAATTTGATTAGCAGAAAGTTATCAAATGTAAGGGAATCGGTGAATCAAGTTTCTAGTCCCACAAGCATGAAAAAATGTTTAACAAGCATGATTTACTGATTATTTTGGCGGGGAAAAAAGGTCACATGGCTAAATAACAACAACATGGTGACAATGCACACATTGCAAATGGGTGTCAATGCCACGATATAATTTTAAAATACAATTTTATGATGAAGACAAACAATGTTTCAACATCACAAACTTTCTTGCTTTAATTTTCTGCTGTGTAAATGAAGACACCTAATTTTGGAGGAATATTTTACTGGCATGAATCTGAATACTGTTCGGAAACTGAATATGAAAAATAGTGAAATGCACCTATTTTTAATTTTATTCAGAACACGATATGCAACGTAACATAACACTATTCGTACTTAAAGTCTATTAAAGAGAATGAAAGTCCCCCATGCCCATACACACATAAACATTAGTTGTATACCTGTAGAAATTATTGCTTTAGAGATCGTTCAATACGTTACCATGATAATTTACTTATTTGCTATTCAATCAAGGGGAACTGCTAATCAATAAAACATCGAATAATTGCTAATCATTTTATTTTTCTTATCATATACCCTGCTAGAGGTCCTGTGTTCGATGACGGTGTTGGCCTAGAAAGTTCATCAGGATTTTCCGGCTTGGTTCCCCCTTGTCACAGGTGCAGGACGTAGAGTTGGTAACGAATAACATACAGTTGTTTGGATGGGACCTAAAACTGAGGTCCAGTGTACACATTGGCGTGCACGTACAAGAGCCCTTGATATAAATTATAACAGTAGGCTGCTGCTGCTGCTGCCCTGGGAAAAATAGCACAATGTATGGCGTATGCCAGTCTTCATTAGCCCAGTTGGAGTAGAACAGTAGGACCTTAAACCCTATTTCATTTTCATTTCTTTCACATTTTCAAAGAATACCATCTTCCAGTTGTCTGATGGAGTCTGAAATTCAGGTCAGATACAAGTTTCCTAGCAATGTGCTCGTATACAACCCCACTTCTTACTAAACTTTTTGTTTATTGCCAGTGAGTATTATAATTTGTAGGTTATTGCGGAGTTATAATTACCCTTTTCAACATCACAAAATCCTAATGATTTTCAACAATTTCCGATAACTTGGACAGCCAAATTTACTTATTATCACACTAAGAAGAACTAGAAGTAGAATCCTATCAAATTTTAATTACTTTTTGAGTTGTTGCTTATAATCAAGTTTCTAGTATCTTGTAAAATCTTCCCATTATCTACAACATAATAAAATAGTGACTGTCTTTATGGATTACTCGGGCAACTTCAAAGCCCAGCTTAGGCATGGGCCTGAGGGTCCCAGTCCCAGGGCCCCGCGGTTCATGGCAAAAAGAGAAAAAATTCAAATTCCGGATGAAAGTTTCACGGTAATCGATCTAGTGGTGCCAGGGCGGAGACTGAGCTATCCCTCAACCTTCTCTGTGAAGTTCCACTCGGTGATTGGTCTAGGCTTCTAGACTTGTATGCCATCCGGTTAAACTGGGCTTTGGGTAATCTAGCTGCTATTGGATGTTTAGTTGACTATCAACCCATCTTTAACTGATACAAAATAATAATTGATCTGTGTCCGTATTTTTATAATAAGATTCTGTAGATATTGTGTTTTGTTTTATATAGACCCAACATATTTGTAATGTTTATTTTATTTCAGGTATCTGCCCCTGGTTGTTGGTTGCCAAGCAAAGAAGATTGCTATTTGAGCCTAGCACTCTTCTCACAGTATAAAAATACACAGCTCTTAAGTTCAGTTTTTCCTATACTTGTTAATGAAAAATTTAGATTTGAAAAGGTAAGTTTTAAATTTTCAGAAATTGACACAAGAATGGCGTTAATTTGATTTAACAAATCCAAAACTAAGACACTCCCCACCCACCTACTTTGAGTCCTCCCCCTCCCAACCAAAGAAATTGTACACAGTGGGTTAGAGTTCATTATTTAAACTGAATGGCAATGGTTTCAGTTATTGTGCATCTGACAGTTCATTTATGATTTAGAAAATTGAAATTGTAATTTTGAGGTTTGTTCGTACTGATATCGCTGTCTTCACAAATACTAAGTGTGTCCTTTAGATTTTACGTCAGTTGTATGGTTAAAGTTAAATGATTATTTTATTTTTATTTTAGACATATTTTACAGCCTTGGATGAAGAAGAAGTTATTGAATTATTAGAAGGTGATTATTATTAATACATTGTATATTACCAATACCCAAAACACCAAAAGTGCTCAGCGTGGCAAATGTTTTGAATTTTTCTGGATTTTTCAGATAGTTGAAAATAGGTATCCTGTGCAAATTTACCATCAATTTTAGTTATTGCCCCTCACCCCCATATCTTCTAAAATCTTTTAAGTGGGTTTTACATATGTTTTAATGCATCAAGGTACATGTATTAAAGATACGTTCCCATGTACAAACTGGGTGATTTGATGATGTATTTGGACTAAAAAAACATATTCAAAATTGCCATACTTTTATTGGAAATAACCACCCGATAAATACTTTTCTGGGAATGTATCTTTAACTTAAAATTATATATTTCAGATGAGTTGGTTGTTATTGAACTGTTACAGATGTCTGAATATTCAGACGGTGCAGTTCATCTAGCTACCTATACCAATAATGTTCGTGACTTCTTGTATCCATTTGAGACATACAGACCAACAGTTCATTCAAGAGATAGAGATATTTTCTTAGAACGCACAGTTGCTTTCCCTGTAAGTAAATTAATATCTGTTTTGTTTCCCGTTACAAAAAAAATAGGCTAACCATTCAGTAATCATATACATTATTATTTTTTGCTATAAAATTGTGACTTTGTTACCATGACGCAAAATTGCCTTATAGTGTATGTGATTACAAACTTACAAAGTCATAGTACAAATTATCTCTTATTGAAGATGTTTCGAATTTTCATTTTTCAGGGTATTTCTCCTAAGTTGGAGTTTTCATCTAAAGTAGTTGTAAAAGAATCATATTCTGATGACATGGATGCATTAGAAGATGCCATTGATTATCATAAAAATGTAAGTTATCTCTCGTTTTATTAATAATTTAAAATTTATGTCCCTTTGAAGACAGTAAGGTTAGCTTTATGAACACTCTACCCACTACAGTTCTTATCATTTTGTTTTCAGATTTGTAAGGATTTTTCAAGTGCAAATTTTAGTGTTATCTCCCACTTTCTATTATCTAAGCTCAGTTTTTCACAAGTTATCTTTCTGTACACATTTTGACTGTTATTAACTTAAGATTGTCAAAGTGATACAGATTGTATGATTATATTGGAGGGAATGCCATAAGGAGGAACCCTATCAAAATTAATAATATGTTGATATTTTAGAATTACCATTTCCCCCTCCCAATTTACTTTTAAAAAAATTGAGATCTTATGGATGTGATATTTAGCAGAGTTCTTTACAGCATTTTTCAAAACTCTGTGAAATTTGTCTTCTGTTATTGACTTTCCGTAAAATTAGGGAATAACTTTTATGTATGTATTTGAATTTTTGATAGTGTTTTCATAGTATGGAATCCATACTATGTCATCAATTGTTGATACATGCATCCCCATGGACCACTACAGTTAGCTAACCTTGGTAAAGTCTGATTAAACACCATGAAAACAGCTTCATAACATTTTCCTGTACTATATCTGGTCTGAAACCAGTCGCAAGTTTAGCAATGGATTTTTATTTCCACAGACATTGAAGAGACTAAGGCGATCAAAGAGACGACCCAGATCCTGTTCACCAAGACGGTATGCTAACTAATTTAAATTATGTAATCTACAGACGTCAGATTTGTTATAACAATTTTATTTTTTCTAAACTTAGAATTAAGAAAACTCCTAGATTTTTATTTTATTTCAAGTTTCTTTTTTTAAAGATTATTTTAAAATATTTTATGTTAATTTTATTGTAGTCAGTTTTATTTTTATTTTACCTTTTGTACACTTACCTTAGACATAATATTTATTTAAGAGAAAAGCTGAATTGCAAATGTTTATTTACTAAATATTTTTATTTTTGAATATAAACAATATCCGAATTGTCATACCTCCATATGCATTGCGTACTGAAGTCACACTTTTTTGGCCATTGCTAATTCACTTTTTATGCGTTTTTTTATTGAAATTAGAAAAATTGAAACAAGTAGAATGGGACAGTTCAATTCAGCACATCTCTTAATTAATTACATGTAACTATACTATTCAAAAAAAGTAGGGGATATTTGATTTTTAAGTGTTATTAAAGTCACCTAATGAAACTGACGAAGAAACAAATGACAAAATGAAATGAAGTTCACATTCATCGATTTATTCCAAATGATCGTTAGACTAAGTAAGGCACAGACTGACCATTATAAGGGTAAAATGATACCCGGGGTCAAACAGCAAAGTTACCACAGCATCACAACCAAGTCAGTAACGGGTAAATCCTCCTCTGTTTGCCAAACAAGCATTGATCCGACGTGGCATACTCCTAATGAGACGTCTAAGGTCATTTTGGTCCAGATTGTCCCATTCCTGTTGCAACGCAGCAGCAAGTTCTTGGACATTGGCAGGACGTTGTTGACGTTGACGTAACCTCTGTCCAAGCATGTCCCAGACATGCTCGATGGGGGAGAGGTCGGGACTCAGTGCTGGCCAAGGTAATTTGGTGATGTTCTGTTGTTGGAGGTAACCTGTAACGATCCTGGCCCTGTGACATCTTGCGTTGTCATCCTGGAAGATGAAACGGCGGCCATGACGTCGTGCGAACGACACAACATGGACTGCCAAGATGTTGTCCCGGTAGTACTGGCCTGTAACACGCCCTGCAACAACATGTAAAGCCGTTCTTCCAGCAACAGTGATGCCTCAACACACCATAACAGAACCACCCCCAAATCGATCATGTCTGATGACGTTAACGTCTTGGAAGCGCTCGTTTCGACGACGCCACACCCTCCTACGTCTGTCCAAAAAATCAACAGTGAACCTTGACTCATCTGAAAGCATCACATTGCTCCAGCGTCGATTATCCCAGTGTTGACGATCCCTACACCAACGACGTCTTGCCTGAATGTGATGATCTCTCAAACAAGGGATCACGCGAGGACGTCGGGCGCGAAGGTGACCCCTATGCAGTCGATTCCGAATCGTCTGGCCACTCACTCTCACACCAGTGTCTGTTTGAAGACGAGCGCTGATCTGATTTGCTGTGATGACACGATTTCTCAAGGCCAAGGTACGGATAAATCGATCCTGGGCTTGAGTTGTCGCCCTTGGTCGACCTGAGAGTGGTCTGTCCTGTACAGATTGTGTATCACGGTATCTGGACCGTAGCCTGCTTATGACAGACTGAGAAACATTCATCGTCCGCGCCACAACCGCCTGTGTTGTGCCGATCTGTAGCATGCCAAGGGCACGTAACCTTTCATTTTGGGTAAGCCGACGCATATCAAAATTTGTTTTCTGGTCACTAAAACAATTAAACTGATGTTTCCACCCTGGAATTCAATGCCACAATGACTGTAACATTCAAAGTCAGAGTCGTGCAAATCTTGGGTTGGACCCCCATGATGATCCCAAGCATCACCCGCATTCCATGCGGTAGCTATTGGTGCGTTTGGGCGTCACATGTAACTGGAAATGTTTCTTCTGTTAGGTTCTATAGTGACTTTTTTCGTAGTCATTTGCATATTTTAGTATTATGCCCCCAAAATCAAATATCCCCTACTTTTTTTTAATAGTATAGTATAATGTAACTTTTCTGTCTTATTTTCTATGATATAATTAACTGAAACAAACATCAAGATTTTTTCTTATTTAACTCTTGAAGTGATTGAAATTGAGTGATTGCTGAAATAGATATGAATGCTGTTCATATTTCAGAAAAAGTAAAATATATAGCAAAATTGCATCAAGCGGTTATGGGAGAAAAACACGCAGGTACATTGTGTTTGTGGCATGTCTTATAATATTATTATGTACACTCTATATTTTACACATCAAATAATCATGAGTAAATTTAATTGGTTGTAAATAAATTATATTATTCAGTTCAGATTACTAGTAAGTAAAGTTCAGTTATCATTCCCCAGCACTATAACACACTGATAATAATTCGCAATACTGAAATAAAAATTAAGCTAGTTATTTTCCCTTTTCTCACCTTCACATGTCTGATATATTAAATCGATTAACCACACTTCATGAAATTACATCATTTGCATGAAAATCTTGGAAATGTTATACTTTGAATTGGGGGGTATGGATGGCTGAATGGTTAGTGTGCACGCGCTGTATCATAAAGTCTGTCATTGAGTCGACTGGCGTGGTTTCAAATCCCCGGTTGTACGTGACAAGGAGTAGGGTCGCCTGTCCAACCTTGTGGGTTTTCTCCGGGTCCTCCGGTTTCCTCCCACTGCTAAAGACCCCTATGCGCAAGCGAATTATTGAAATAATATTAAAACCATATGTTAGTCCCGAAATGACCTAGTTTGTGTCGAGTGGACGTTAAACCCCATTTCTCTCTCTCTCTCTATACTTTGAGTTGAGTATGTATTAAAATTAAAACATATTAGTTTCAGGGTTTCCTATTTCGCAGTAATGGTCATGATTTTTCTATATTAAAAAGAAAGTGTGGAGAAATATATGTAATTAATATTTGTATTGTGTGAATATGTAAAGAAGGATTTGCTTTGATATTCCAATATGTACCAAGAAAACTATCGAATAAATGAAATGATTGATAAATGGTTATTTTGATGATTTTTAAATAGGAAATTGATCATAAAAAAAAATTAACTCATATTTTTAAAATACATTTTCCAAATAATCTATCATTAAACCATGTAGTTCGTAATATTTAATTATTATTCTGTGAAAATATTATAATTATTTAGTCCATTTACAATTTAATTTCATTGTGTCTTAAATATTATATGCAGCAAGTTTTATTTTATGTTTTGAATAGTAAACAACTAAATATGAAAGCTTAAATGTGCCTACTACAGGAGATGATCCACCCATTTCTGCATTCTAATGATAGACAGATAGGAATGGCAGCTAGTAGAATCAATTTTCAAAAATCTTTTAGACACTCAGTGAAGGATTACTTCCTTGAGGTCACTGGTGGTGCAAGAACTAACCATGATTTTCAATTGGAAAGGTAGAAACACGACTAACAGTTAATTTAGGCACACAAACTCTACAAATGTCGCCATTTAAGCTTGGGAACCTGATATTGAAAGATCTAGTAGTAACGTCACAAACACATTGTTTAGTTTTATAAATGTTGATTAGAGTAGTGGTCATTATTACCAATCGTTTAATAATGATATAAAAACTGAAGGTCACAGTGTAGGACCATCTCCTTCAATACTCTTTACATATCCCATGAAATCTTGTTGATTGAAATAAAAATTACAAAATATTTAAAAGATAATAACCATTTTCAGGATAAACTTTAAAGGAAATTTAATCAAACTTTTGAAGACACAATGCAGTTATTAAATGGATTCTTATACCATTAGTTAGACAAAATTTGTCAATGATAAATTTGTAAGCCTTAACCATTTTAGTTTAATTTTATAGTCATAATACTTTAGTTATTATTTGTTAAATGCTTCTTTTTTTAAAAAATCTTTCTTTTTTAATATTTTTAATATTTGCTGATGTTACAACTTGTGGTCTAAGGGAGCTTTGTCTACAATTTTTATAGACTAGTAAGTGCTTGTGCTATTTTAGATACAGTAACTTTTATATCAAGAAGTCAATTTAGAACAATTGATGTGGTCAGATGATAGAATCATAAAATTATTTTCAATACTAAAGTAACTTTGGTCCAATTCTAAATGCTTTTTTTGACCTGGTTGCCCCTTGTCAGTGGTGCAGGACGGAGGGCCTGAAGTAAAATCGAGGTCCCATGTATACATTAGTGTGCATGTAAAAGATCCCATGGCAGTTGGAATTTGATATAAGAGTAGGCCATAGTGCCGCTGCCCAGGCCAAATTTCCCTCATAGCACAATGTATGACATATGCCCGTCTTCATTAGCCCAGTATAGAAGCAGAACAGTAGGACATTAAACCCCATTTCATTTCTTGAGTAAAACAATAATCATCTATCAATTAACATTGTTCTAAATTGACTTTTTAATAAAAAAAAATAGCTAGGGTTTCTGTTTCATCGTACATGCACGATTTCTTGGTCCGTATCAGAAAACCTGTTGAATTGCAACTAATTTTATTATCTGAAACGTTGAAATGCAATTAAAAAAAATGATCATAACAAAAAATCTACATGCAATCTGGTCTTTAAAAATATATTGTTAACATATATAGACGTAATACAACATGGATTATGCACAACTGATGCTAGAAACAAGTTTTTGAAATTTTTGTAAATCATGTATTTTCGACCCATCATCCAGTGATTATAATTTTGAAACAGAAACTATGGCCTAATTTAGAATTAGAACACTTGTTATTAGATTCCTACAATAATTAGTCAATATAAAATTTAAACTGAACATTGTAATTTCGTAAGTTATAATTCTTTTAGATTACTTACATAAATATGATGATTAACTTGTCTTTTCAAAGATAATTTATTTCAGTAGAAAAATGATTTTGACTAAAACTAAAACTGAAATGATTAAATTGAAAGGTTTAGGATATATAATCTTCCTGTAATTTATAATTTATCTTATCTATTTTTCAGGAATAATGAGACGATTGCAGAAGAGATCTACAGAAACAAAATACAAAAAACAGGTGTTGATGATTTTGATATTAATTATGATAATTACCAAAATTTCACAAGGCACCGTAATGGCACCAAAAGACTCAGAGTTGATGGTCAACAAGCAGTGGACTTTAAAAATTATCCAACTTTCACTAAGTCTAGGCCATCTGGTTACATTTTACCACATCTTACTGGTACAGATGACCCAGATGCTAGCATTATGTCGGATGATGATGATGATGATGATGAGGGATATAGTGGTGCAGGTAGTTTGCTAGATGATATGGAGGATACTGATATAAAGTCACAAAACTTGAGACGTTCAGGGAAAAAGTCTGCTGGGCAGAGAACTGCTTCTGGAGTATTGCGTAAATTTCATCCACCAGCAACACCTAGACTAGGCAGATCAAGAACTCGAGTTCCACCAGGTAAAGTTCAACCAAAACAATCAAGTAGTGGGAGAAAGTTAACTACACCTCGACAACTTAGCCAAGATCGAAAATCATCCACATCAAAGCAACCAAATACTGGTAAAACTTTGACAACTACAAAACAGCCAAGTAAAAGATCAATAATTGGTACACCAAGAAAAGTTATAGGAAGTAAACTGAAACCTGGTAGTGTACGATCACTGTCAACCCCAAGACAAACTGACAGGAAGAGACCTCTAGCGACTATAAGATTTCCTAGTTCTCAGAGACCAGTTTCCAATAAAGGACAACCAAGTGACGAGGTACCAATAACCAAAAATGGATATGTTCGCAATAAAACACCTTTGAACAGATACCCAAGATCTAAGTATCCTCTTGCCCAAACTAAATATCCTAGTGAAAATGGAAGAACCATTCACTCTAATGATCAGAGACCATTCGCTATGAATGAATACCCTGTTGAAGATGGACCATTAAACAGAACCAGATACCCCAGATCAAAGTATCCACTTGCCCAAAGACCCTTAGATACAACTGGGTACCCAAGTGAAGGACCTTATCCTATAAATGGATACCCAAACGAAGCACAATATCCCACTGCTGGATACCCAAGTGAAGGGCAATATCCCATTGCTGGATACCCAAGAGAACAACAGCATCCTCAAGATAGATACTCAAGGGAAGGAGAGCATCCTCAAGATGGATACCCAATGGAAGGACAATATCCTCGTACAAGATTCCCAAGTGAAGAACCTTATCCACAAGCTGGATACCCAAGTGAAGGGCAATATCCTCAAGCTGGATACCCAAGCGAAAGACAATATCCTCAAGCTAGATACCTAAGTGAAGGACCTTATCCCCAAAATGAAGGACAATATCCCCAAGCAGGATACCCAAATGAAGGACAATATCCTCAAGCTGGATACCCAAATCAAGGCAGATCATTTAGAACAAATAAAGACCCATTAGCCAGATCAAGACACCCCAGTAGAGAGAGGCCATTGAATCATGCTAGACATTCAAACGAGGACAAGGGGCACATTAGTCCAGGACGACATGTTAGTCCAAGAAGATCAACCAGTCCAAGAAGACAGGGCAGTCCAGTACAACTTACTGGTCCAAGAAGGAAAAATAGTCCAACAAGACTAGGTAGTCAAAAAAGACCTGTCAGTCCAAGAAGACCTATCAGTCCAAGAAGACAAGGCAGTCCAACACGACAAATATATCCAAGCCCACCAGGTGGAAAAAGGCAGTACCCTGTTCATATAACTAGACCAGAAAGTGTACATCCTCCAGTCATCCCAACACCAAGACAAATAAGTAGACAAAGACCACTTACCCAACCAGGAGACCCAAGTGCATTGTTTTATAAAGCACCACATACACAACCAAATAGAATTGGTCAATTAACCTCACCACATCAACAAAATGGAGTGACTCGTTCATCTAGACATCCAGATGATATGGGACATTTAGCTTCACCAAGCACAAAACAGCCTGGTGGAACTCCTACACCAGTTTTTGAAAGCCAGTATCCTGGTGTCAAAATACGTGTTGCAACAACACCCATTGGTTCCAGTGCTCCCTTACCACAAGTTATTAATCACAAATATGGACAAAACATTGTATCTGATTATGCCCAAAATCCAAATGATCCTTATTTTATTTCCAGAACACCGTCACCAACTCTTCATCAGCGAATCGAGGACCTTACCCTTTATCATGAATCTGATGTGCGTCCTCCATTTGTTGTGAGGAAGGTATAATTTACATCTTATTATTATCTATCTATTCTGCATCTCCATGAACTTGGACTAATTTTTTTCCGGATTGAGTCACATCAAAAGGGTGTTTTCATGACAATCGATGTAATATCGTTGAACTGATAAAATCTTTTTGATGGTTGTGGACTACATAACATATGAAGATTGGTAGATTTTTAATCCTTTGCTAACCACAATATTGTGGAAGTTGAATCTCTAAAAGGAATATCAGTACAAAATTGGTTCCATTTCATAACATTTGGTATCCTCTGTAGACTATATTTGATGGGCCTCGTTTTCATCTGAATGAATCCATGCTGGGAGATTATTTACTGTTCATATTCTGTTCTTTGCTTAGTTAAATGTATATATGTTTAATAATCATTTTAGTGTGGATTAATACATGAATAATTAGATATTTCCGAAAATGCAAAATTACGATCAGTAGCTTTAAGAGTAGTTACTTATAAAATGTCCTCTTTATTCGTGTAGCTCGCACCCCAGCAAATAATTGGCACTAGATGAATATTAAGAACTCTGCCCTACAGTTGAGCTTGTGACCCTTAATGGACATAAGCGATTAGTCATCCACATAATACAATTCAGGGCCTGTTATTTTTGTTTTTAATCTTATTTCTGTAATCAACAGCTTGATACAGATCTGATTGGTCGACAACCAGGTGGGGTAACAGATCAGAATGCTAAATCAAAACCTCATAAATGTATTCGTTTAAATAAATTTAAACCAGGCACAGGTAAGATTTGTTTAATTTCTTATTCAATTGAGATATATTATTCATTGTTTTGATGTTTTTGAAAGTTATTTTTATTGTTTTCCTAGTAAGGCCATATAAAACAAATATTGTGGTTTTCAGATACCTCTTCTGCCTTACATGACCAGCTCATTCATTACTACATGTTCATCCTGTATTAAAGAGATGTGTATCTATTGAATGATACCAGTTGATTTTACAAGTCCCTAGATCATGCACTACTGACATCTGAATCAAACCTGCTACCTCATTATCTGTAGGTAGTGAGCCACATGATACTTTGACAAAATAAAATCTCCTAAAAAAGATCAAATTTTTGGAAGGAATGTCCAGGAACCAGAAATTTTTTATGTGTGGCCCAATCTCTTCAATGGGATGGTCCTTAAAGGCCTAAACATGAGTACTCCAAACTGCTGCTTGTTTACTCAAGCGTTTGAAACATACTGTAAACCTAACAAGATTTGATTAATTAAAACTGTGCAACACAAACCATTATGATTTCACTGTCATCTGAGCAACAATTAGTACACATTAACACATATTTTCATGTTAACAAACTATTCTATTGTGAAATAATAATCTTTAGTACAGTGCCTCTGAAAGTGCTTACTCATTTTGGTGGATATTAGCAGGACTATTCCAAATCCATATATCCATCCTAAGCAATAATTGATTCCTCGGTTGTAGGTGACAAGGAGTAGAATTGCCTGTCCAACCTCGTGGGTTTTCTCTGGGTCCTCCAGTTTCCTCCCACTGTTAAAGACCCCTACGCGCAAGCGAATTATTGAAATAAAATTAAACCATGTGTTGGTCCCGAAATGACCTAGTTTGTGTCAAGTGGAGGTTAAACCCTCTCTTTCTCTCTCTCTCTCTCCTAAGCAATAATTAACATGTTATTATATCAACTTCATTCACAGATTATTGTCCCCTCTGTTATGATGCCTACACATTAAAATGTTGTTCGATTTGTCAGTCATATAAGCGCCATCTTGGAAGGTTGTATTGGGGTCATGATAAACACTATCATCCAGCTGGTCATATATGTAGATCTTATCAAAACTATATGGAGGTATTATACATTTGTTTGTGTAAACACAACTATATGCATGATTGATACAGCATACTCTTAAAATAAGTTACATGCATGAAGGTGCCGCTCCAACTAAAACATGTCTGATGTGTTTACTAACAGTAACATGCCCTATATAGTTGATCATATTTGTTATTTAAATGTTATTACATGTATAAACCTTTTTGTTTACAATAGACCAAAGGTAAACTTTTAGAAAAATAATAATTATGGATGATTTCTGTGACACTATTCATTGATATGTTTAAAAATATATTTCCCATTATCTTTCCCCATTATAGCAATATAGTGGGGAAGGCAGAGTCTTAAAACATTCTTTTAATGACATTTTCACCCACAGCTAAAGACCCCTACACACGCAAATTAATTAGATACAATCCATACGTTGATATACCATCCATATGAAATAAAATATTGAGTGAACATGAATACCTCATTTCTCTCTTCCCTACTTCTCTCTTCTAATGAAAGAATCATCTCATTGTCCCCCGCCTTTCGAAGAGACATGGGACTATTAAAATAGGTTCGCCTGTCTTTCTGTCTGTCCGTCTGTCTGTCCGTCACACTTTTTGGGATACAATAACTCTACTTCGAATTGAGCTAGAATGTTCAAACTTGGTGTACGTGTTTATTAGGTCAATGCCTTGATAGAGTTTGAAGATGAGCATATTCTGCTTAGGGAAAGCAGAGATAAGTGCAATTTAATTGGTTGATGCTTTGGGACACGATAACTTTAGTTCTAATAAAGTGAGAGTGATGAAACTTAGTGTATAGTTTCATTACATCAATAACTCTCCTTCTAATTGAGGTAGAATGTTCAAACTTGGTGTAGGTGTTCAATAGGTGAATGCCTTGATGGCCTTCGATGATGAATATTGTCTGCTTACGGTAAGCAGAGATAACCAATCTGATTGGTTGATGCTTTGGGGCACGATAACTTATGGTTATAATTAAGTGAGAGCGATGAAACTCAGAGTATAGATTCATTATATCATTACCTGACTAAGTTTGAATGAGAATTTTCTGCTTAGGCTAAGGAGCGATAAACAATTTGATTGGTCAAGACTTTGGAACATAGCAACTCTGCTTTTAATTCAGGTAGAATGTTTAAACTTGATGTAGATGTTCATTAGGTGAATGTCTTGAGTTCAATGATTAACATTTCGAGATAAAGCTAAGCAATTTCATTGTTCGATGCTTTGGGACAAGATAACTTTGATTCTACCTGATAGAGAGTGATGAAACTTAGTGTATAGTTGATAATTAGTTTGATTGCTCGATACTTTCTTTTGAAAAAGATAAATGTGCAAATAATCAGTCTGTGTCATCTGTTTATTTTGGGATTTCAGTGGGGGACATCAGCCTCACTGTTGGCTTGTTATTGTTTATTTTTGCTCCAGATTACAAAAACAAAAGATTTTTAAGTGATGGTACTAATTTTGAATGTTGTGCATAATTATAAATGCCTTTTTTATATATAGCATGCACTGCATGGTGTACAATTCTCTTTTAGTTTCTTTTGATGGATATAGCAGTTTAGAATATTTGCCTAATCAAAGAACCAAATCTCTTCTATCTAAGGTACTGTATTACAAATCTCTGAAACTATCAAAAGTTGTCTAGCTTCCTATTTTGCTTTTTTAATCTTTGATTTTATTAGATTGTGTTTATAGTTTACACATTCCATCTTTCAACCAGGTTTTTATGCGCCCACATTTTTATGTGTAAGTATATTGTCGACGCCCCTGTCCGTCCATCCAAAATTTGTTTGTGGACCCTCTAGAGGTCACAATTTTTATCCGATTTTGACAAACCTTGAAATATAGGTTTATCTGAAAAAGATCTTGGTCCTTTTGTTATTGGCGTGTATCGGACCGTAAGTTGTCGCCGTATCTTCGTGAATTTTGGCTCCTGATTGTCCAAAAAATCACATTTTTTTTAGCATAGGTCACAATTTTTATCCGATTTTAAAAACTGTTTAAATATATCACCATTAAACGCTGTTGATGCTTGAGGTTGACAAAATGGCTGCTGCTTGAAAGCAAATAGTATAAAAGTATGTTATACTTTAAAGATTGCAGTGGACTCTCTGTAATTCATAATTTTTGTCCGATTTGGATGAAACATAAAATATATGTTTATATCCCAAAAATCTCAGTTCTTTTCGACATTTGTGCATCTCACACTTTAACTTCTGGATTATGGCCCTTAGTTGTATGGTCCTAGAATTTTTTTTATTTTTTTTTAGCTTGTTCTTGCAAAATGTGGACGTATCTTGCCAGGCAACCGATAGTTGGGTTGTATGTTATATCTATCTAGTGAAAACTTGGCCAAATTATGTTAGGTTTTATGTGCGCTGTAAAATGAGACATGTATTTGAAATTTTATAATATAGGAAACATGTTAATGTTTTACATTCCAATTGTAATTTTAAATTTTTCACTAGTTAGGTGTGAGTGATATAATAATTTTTTTTTTTTTTTTTTTTTTTTTTTTTTTATTTAGACTCCTACCTCATCCAGAAAATCACCAATATATGGTTATAAAAAATATTTCGATGATGATGATGATGATGAACATGATGATGGCAAGTAGTACTCTCTTACAACATATTTCCAGCTATTCTTCATTTATAAACGAAAAGTATTTAGCATCTTATATCAAACATTTTTACAGCATGTAATATTGTTCAACCTCACCTATTGAATTGATAGAAAAATTTGACTATTATTATAACTCTCCTTTCAGACTCAGAAGTTGCCGAACTAACATCAAGAGTAAGAGATTATGGTGTGCCTTATAGAACCCGATCAGTTAGCCCTGGAAACAGACAGCGTAGCTTAAGTCCATCTTCACGCAGAATCATAAGTCCTAGTTCACGCTTAATAACAGCTCCACGCTCAAGAAAAGACTTATATGACAGTCCTCTCAACCGCAGACTACCAAATGTACGCATAAGTCGAGAGTACAGTCCTCGAAATACATACTACGGACGAGATGTAAGTCCTCACTCTGACAAAGATAATGACAGTAATAAAAGACCACTTGAAAAAGACAGTAATAAACGACCAAATAAAAAGGAAAGTATAAAGAAATATCCCAATGAAAAAAAAAAATCTTTAGATGACGTTGACGGATATCCTATTTCTGACAGATATGATACGGACAAATATAAAAATGAGAAAAAAAAAAACAGGCGCCCAGATACTGGCAGTGATCCTTATTCTGAATCGGCAGATGACAAACCTTCTAGAATAAAGGATGATCCTTATGGCAGAAAAAGTTCCAGAAGTCCCTATTATGACAAAAAACCTGTCACATACCGCAAAAAGAAGGGGACTAGAAGTCCATATACAGATGTAAGCGGGGACTTGCCTGCTGGTATAGGTGGTGATATTGACCCATACAGCCCAAGAGAGGGTGCAGAAAGTCCTTATTCTCATCAACCAGCTAGAAGAATTGATGACACACGCCCTTTTAGCAGAAGAAGAGGCACTGAGAGTCCTTATTCTCAACAGCTAAATGGAATAAGTAAAAGAGGTGCTAGACGTCCTTATTCAGAACAGCCAACAGGAATAAGTGATGACACCTCCCCATATAGTAGAAGAGGTGCTAGAGATTCTTTTTCAGAACAGCCAGCAAGAAAAAGTGACAACACCTCCCCTTATGATAGAAGTGATGCTAGAAGTCCATATTCTGATGAACCAGCTGGAATAACCCATTATGATCAAAGAGGGGGTGCTAGAAATCCTTATTCTGAACAGCCAGCTGGAATAAGTGATGACATTTCAAGTTATGGTCGGAAAAGGGGTGCTAGAAGTCCATATTCTGATCAACTAGCTGGAATAAGTGATAACATACCCCATTATGATGGAAGAGGGGTTGCTAAAAGTCCTTATTCTGAACAGCCAGCTGGAATTCGTGATGACACTTCACCCTATGGTCGGAGAAGGGATGCTAGAAGTCCTTATTCTGAACAGCCAGTTCGACTAAGTGATGATCCACAACCTAATGTACAAAGAAATGGTGCTAGAAGTCCTTATTCTGAACAGCCAGCAACAATAATTGATAATGATTCACCCCATAGTAGAAGAAGAGGCAACGGTCCTTATGGTAAAAGAAGGCAACCTAGAAGGGGTGCTGAAAGTCCTTGTTCAGAACAACAGTCAGATAGCATAAAGGATAAACCCTATGGCAGAAAAGGCTCTTATACTGATCAAGTAGATAGAATAAGTGATGACATGGGTGACCATTATAGTAAAAGAAAGGGTGCCAGAAGTCCCTATTCTGATCTTCCTGGTGATGGTACTTCTAGAATAAGTAATGGCATAAGTGGCCCGTACGGCAGGAGAAAGGATGCTAGTAATCCTTATTCTGATTTAGAAGATCATCCAGCTAAAATACGTGATGACATTGGTGGCTCTTATAGAAGGGGAAAAGGTCCCTATTCTGATCTTATAGGTGTTCGTCCTTCTAGAATATATGATGGTCCTTATAATGGTGAAGTTGGTAGCCCAAAAAGCACCAGGAGGGAAGGTGTTAAAAGTCCTTATGATCTAACAGGTGATGACCTAGAAGGCCCTTATAGTAGAAGGATTCATGGTGACAGGAGTCTTTATTCTGACCGAACAGGTGATCATCCCTCGGCTGCAGATGACATTGATCAATATTCTGACGGCATAGATTCTTCTGCTGGAAATAGAGATGGTGCCGATTACCTATTTTCTGATACAGACAGACCATCTAGAATAAGCAGAAGAATAGATTATTCTTCGAAACGAAAGGGTGCTGTTAGTCCAGTATCTGATTTATCCAAAGATATGGACCAACATTTTAGAATAGTAGACCACATGGATGACTTGACTGATGATATTGACACCATTGATTCTATTTCCGGAACAGATCTTGATGTAGATAAACCTCATGGTAATAAGGATTTTACAGATAATCTAGATGACTTTGGTGATTCAGATGAACACTCTTTGATCAGTGGGGATACAGATACTTATCCTGGTGCAAAAAAGACCATAGGGATTTCTTCTAGAAAAAAAGGTACCAAGAAGTCTCGCTCTGGCACCAAAAGTGGCTTAGGTGATGGACATAAAGAAGTTAAAACGAAATACAAGACGTCTGTTGGTAGAAGCGCTGACGGGACCACAACAAGCACAACCAAAAAATACACTAAACGCATACACACTTATTCGAGGACAACCAAGGGCAATGACAGAACTTTTAAGAAGGATAGCGGCAGTCCTAGTAAGAGCAAGAAATTTGCTACCAGATCTACTCGATCAAAAATGACAAGTGGTTTACCTTCTAAAACGACAGACGACCAATATTCTAGAACAGCAGATGACATAAATTATAAAATGACAAGTAACTTGCATTCTAAAAAAGCAGACGTTTTGCATTCTAAAAGGACAAATGACGTTTATTCTAAAACAACAGACGACATACCCTCATTTTATGATAGGACCAGCAGGGCTGACGCATATTATGGCACACCAATGACAAATTGCAAAGGCAGAAGTGGAAGTCCCTTACCTAGTCGTCCTGTGAGCCCAGTGTTGAACAGAACAAGGTTTCGTGACCGATTTTCTGAGGCTCCATTTTTCAGTACTGCAGAAAAGCTATCTGAGAGAGTAAGCCATGTCATGTGTTAGGCTAGTTTTGACTAACATTTACAAAATTTATTTTACTGCTCTCTTTTATCTAGAACTTTTTGTAAGGCTTTTTATAGTTTTAAATTAATTTTTTAAAGTTAGTGAACATTTAAATAATTTTAGATAATCAGGTTCCATGAGTTTCAAAACAACAAAGCCCCTTGTAACCTCCAGTACAAAATAGAAGCCATATTAGAAACTTCTTTATACCTAAAATCCATGTTCTGTCTTCGCTTTGCCACAATTTTGGTGATGTGGGCCAAATGCAAAATTGGCGCTGGTGTGCCATTAAACTTCATTACATTTCATGTATCATGTAGATCTAATCTGTTTGATAAATAATGTAGCACTTATTGTCAAATCTAATTTGAACTCGTGCCATTAGATTTTTTTATGTAATATTATTAATAATCATTTATATTTGATATGAGCTTACTTTATATTTGAAAATAACTATCATTTTATTTACATGCTGCAGAGATTGTACAGAGTATGTACCAAGATTTTGTTCCTCTTTATTTTACACAACTGTGTTTAAAATCAGTCCCTTTTCCCCCCCAAGTATTAGCCAGGTTTATTATTTAGACAAGGAAAATAAGTATTCTTTGGAAACCACTTAATGTTAAATCTGTCATTGTCACTTTAAAAGTTAATTTAGAAAGAGGGAGCTGTTTGGCGGGGTATTTTTTGATTTAGAATATTTTAGTGTAAGAATCCACAAAAAGTTGTGTCCATATTCTAGCTAGTTATGCTTTTTATTTGAATTCTAACAAATTCCAAAACATTATCTGTTTTACATTTTGACAGTAGTTTAGTTTCAACTTTTTATTACCGGTAGAATTGACTTTGATTAGTTTAGTTTAGTTTAAATTAGGTTTATAAATTATTTTGTTTTTATACGCCCACATTGAAATGTGGTTGTATATTGTCGTCGCCCCCATCCGGTGGACGCTCTACTCTAGAGGCTAAAGTTAATATCCGATTGACTTTAACTTTATACACGGTGTTTGAGGTCATAAGATGAAGAAGCCTATTGGTTTTCAGCGATTTCTGATAATTACTGCCAGAGTTATGGCCCTTGATCAATTTAATATTCGATTGACTTTAAATTTATACACAGTGTTTAAGGTCATGAGACGAAGAAGCCTATTGATTTTCAGCGATTTCCGATATTTGCTGCCAGAGTTATGGCTCTTGATCACTTTGAAAAATCTTGTAGACACTCTAGAGGCCAAAGTTAATATACGATTGACATTCAATTTATACACAGTGTTTAAGGTCATGAGACGAAGAAGCCTATTGATTTTCAGTGATTTCCGATAATTACTGCCAGAGTTATGGCCCTTGATCAATTCAAAAAATCTTGTGTATGCTCTAGAGGCTAAAGTTAATATCCAATTGACTTTAAATTTATACACAGTGTTTGAGGTCATGAGACGAAGATTCCTATTGATTTTCAACAATTTCCGATAATTACTGCCAAAGTTATGGCCCTTGAACACTTAAATCTATGATATTAAAAGCTTTGTATACAAAACGTTAGCATGGGGCAGAACTTTATAAAAACCAAACAAATAGTTTTCTGATAATTACTTCGTGAGTTGTTGCTCTTAATCAGAATTTAGTGTATTATAAATGTTTCATTACCGAAAAAAGTAGAAATATGCGACAACTCTTGTTGACTGCCCAAACGATTTAACTGCTGTGGGCGTATGTTTCGTTGCCTGGCAACCTATCTTTCTTAGAAATTTCTGATTAATTTTGTTCCATAATGTTTAAAATATAAGGTTTATTTTAATGGTATAAACTTTTGTCATATTTACATAAGTAAGGGTAAAAATAATTACGTGTGTCAAGTCTCAAGTCTTTGTCGGATCTTACTAAATTCCAGATTTATTGTCCTACAATAAATGAATGCAAATATATAATTTCTCTACTTCAGGATGTTGAAAGAAGTCATCGTTATCGCTACCCAACACATGATACACTAGATGACCTTGCTTTAGATACAAGTCTAGCTAAATACAGGAGGTACAGTCCCATGTATTCATGATGATATACAAGGTTCATTTTCTATTACATTTTACTAACCGCATGCCCTTGTAAATAAATGTACATGTAATTGTGTCTGACGACATATCGATACAGAAACTGTAAATTAAGATAATAAATTGTGGCACATGAATTTCAAATAACCCTTGTATTTTTAGTTCAATTACTTAATGGGGGGGATAGATGGCCGAATGCTTAGCACGCGCGCGCTGTATCATACGGTCTGTCATTGAGTCAACTGGCAGGGTTTCGATTCCCCGGTTGTACGTGACAAGGAGTATGGTCGCCTGTCCAACCTCGTAGGTTTCTCCGGGTCCTCCGGTTTCCTCCCACTGCTAAAGACCCCTGCGCACAAGCAAATTATTGAAATAAAAAAATTAAACCATATGTTAGTCCCGAAATGACCTAGTTTGTGTTGAGTGGACGTTAAACCCCATTTCTCTCTCTCTCTTTCAATTACTAAATGACATCAGTATGGAGATGGCCACATTGAATTGAATACTTCCTTGAATCTCGCCTTAACTTTAATATAAAGCAATCATAAGGAAGAATATTTCCATAAGACAAATGGAGTAAGCCACATGTAATAATTTTGTACTTTTGCCTAGTATCTGTTGTATATAACAAGTAGGATCGCCTGCCAAATCTGGTGAGCTTTCTTCGGATACTCTGGTTTCCTTCCATGCTAAAGACCCCTACTTGCAAGTGAATCTTTGAAACAGAATTATACAATATTAGTCCCCTTGTGACTATTAGTGCTGAATGGATGTGTACATGTCTCGGTGCAAAGAGTTGATCCAATAGGAATAAACTGGAATTGCCAACCACTTCAGGGTTCTGGGAACCACCGGTTATGCACTGAACTAAAAATTTAAGATATAGCCATTCCACTCTAATTGTATCTATGATTATCAACTTATCTTCATTTATTTCAGTCAAGTACATATTGATAATGGACATTACTGGACAGAGAGAGCAGCTGAATTAAGTGGAAAATCCCATCGAGAATTATTTAATGATAATATTAGTAAAATATATAATAGATTAAATAGAAAAGCAAGAACATTAAGATAATATGTAAACAAGCCTAGAATGATTTAGTAACACATATCAATGTAAACTGCCTTTTATAATATGTGTATTAACCTATGTATTTAAAGTTAAATTCTGTCATGGAACTTTTGATTAAGACAGCAATTGATGCAGGCTTATTGGAAGTGTTAAGAATTATGTTTTTTAACAATTTAATTTTGTTGTCTGGTAAAAAATACAACCTAAAAATGTAACATATATATTTATGGACTTGAATAATAAATTGCCTGCCTGTATGTATAGTATTGTACTTTGTCATATTAAACTTATAAATCTGTCTCAAGTCATCTGACATGTATACTTAGTACTATATGATATTTAACTGTAGCTCTTTAGATCTGTCCTTAAACAGCCCAGATTCTTCTTTTGCTTTCAATAAAACTATATCCATATCAATGTCATTCATTGTCTTAATTTATTCACTGAATTAAGACCTGGATATTTCCTCCCACTCCCCGATACTTTTGTTTTAAATTAAATAATCTATAACTTAGTCATGTATATAATTATAATTATTAATCATTATCATTTAATACACGATCTTAATATTATATTTTTAATTATCAGTATAAGATAAGTATATTGTTATATGGAAATGAAATAATTAGTCTTGATAGATTGTTGAAACTTGTAAATTAGTAAGTTGAAATGCTTTGTTTTAATGTGTAAATTTGAAAATGGTAACTTGATGACCTACTGTTGGTATACATATGTATTTAACACACATATATATAATCTGTTGAACTGTGCCTTTTGCTGAAATTGGCTTAAAATCCTTTTATTTTTTAGATTGGTATTTCTAAGACTTTTAGAAAATACAAATAAAATACAAAGTCACAACAAATACTCCACAAGTGCACACCGTCCTTATTATAAACCAAATATTAGTTAAATTATTTTAAATTGCATTAACTGTGATATTTACTATTATTCTTCAAAAGATATACTTTCTAGGATAGACATATTTAATGAAATAAAATCTTTCTCATTTACGCTATGTTATTTTCAACAAATGATTGCGTTTGCAATCATTTCAAACTAGGCAGGTCAAAGTTGTGCGTGGAACAAATTGCAACTAAAGGTTGTTTTTTTTCTGTTGACTCATTATGATGATGTTAAAAGTAATGCGGTGGACAGGTGATACTATACAGTATAGTCGTAGGAACAAGGATTCATTACAATTGTTGACAAAAATAGACGTCAATAAAATGGACGTGCTACTGTTCTGCTCCGACTGGGCCCCATCAGTGTGTTATGATGGGAATTTTGCCCTACAGTAGCGCAATGACTTACTCTTATATTGAATTCCAGCTGCCAAGGGTTGTTTTTTACTGGAGACGTGCATTAAAGGTTGAATGGGCAGGGCCGACCAATTTTGACATTTGGCCCACTCTAATAGGTTAATCCCAAAAATCATCAGAAGGATTTATGTTTTGGGCTAAATCTATTAATGCCGCTGAGATGTAAATAAGATTAGGGCACGTGATTGTTGGCGAGATTGTAGGTTAGGTTTAAGAATTTGAGGGAGATGTCCTAGGTCAGTGTCTATGATTATCCTGGATACGGTTGACCGTTATAGACAACGATGCACCACTTGTCTAACAACGAAACGTCTGGAGAAAGGGGCTGGAGTAGGGTAGTTTCTTGAGTTGCCGTCTCGTTGATTGTACCTGAAAATAAACCGAATGTATATTAAACTATTATGTAACAGAATTAATAACTATGATGTCATACCTGTCTTGATGTCCTATCTAAGCGTAGAACTATGACGCTATGTAAGGTTAGGCCCTGTACGTACAGTAAAACATTGAATATGTCTTGCCCTGTCCTGTAATCTGATCGGAATCGGGAATATTTCCAAACCAGTGGGATATTTTTCTTTCATTTTACAAACAGTCTAATATCCTTCTAATATCTGATCTTGTTAGGACGTATTTCAGCGAATAAAAGTATGTATTTTATTTGTATCAGATGGCGGCGTAAGCCAAGCTTCTTTCAGTCCAAAACAATTACAAACAACTGTTGATCCATGACAAAAGCAACTAACTTCTCTATGTTTAACCACTGATGTACGTTCATATAAGAGCTGAAAAAATAGACACCCATAGTACTTATTTAGACATAAAGCAAGCAGTAAAACAGTTAAATACAACGTGAAATGAAATGAAATGGGGTTTAACGTTCTACCTTTCTGCTCCGACTTGGCTAACGAAGACGGCCATACGCCATACAGTGTGCTATGAGGGAAATTTTGCCCGGATAGCGGCGCTACGGCCTACTCTTATATTGAATTCTAACTGCAAAGGGTTCTTTTACGTGCACGCCAACGTGTACACGGGACCTCGGTTTTCGTTCCATTCGAATAACTAGGCGCTGTCTTTGCCAGGCCCTCCGTCCTGCATCACTGACAACGCGCCGTAAAATCCCGAGGAACTTTCGCGGCCAACACCGGTATCGAACCCGGGACCTCAAGTTTAGTGAGCCCGCGCCTTACTCACTGGGTCACCGCGGCTCCCAAAATACAATGTATGATTTGGTTATTTGATAAATCAGAAAAATCAAACACAAAATGATTTGACGCTAAGGGTGTTAGATTACATCAAAATACTGTATGTACTTTATGGCCAGTGGACATTTTGCTACAACATAAACTTACCTGATGTAGTTTCATTGTTCCGTAAACAACATTAGTTGGTCTGGTACAATATCTTCAATAGGTGTGAACTGCTCCCTATCAATCAGGAATAACTCTATCGATGTAAAAAGTTTCAGATGTTTATAAAGGTCGTTAGCATTTCTGATATAGGTACCGTTTGAGACCAGTCGATCTGTAGCCCTTTTAATTGTACTGCCGATTCGTCCGCCGCCCCATTACCATGACCTGCCTCCGACAGATTCCATGTAACATGTTTGTACCCTAATTGGAATGGATATGTTGATGTTAAATAAAAATTCATTTTATTTCGGTTTTGCGTGGTCGGACCATCGCTGACGAAGTGTAGAGTTGAAACTGTTGTCGGTGGTGCTGACGTCTCAAGTATTGCTACCAAATGTGCCATAATGGTAAGCGGATCATGTCGCATTGACACCGAAATACTGCAGAAAGAATAAGTTTGATTGATGCCCACATAGAATAAACCAGTATGAAGAGTGGCCTGATTTCTGGATGCCCCAAAGTGGGCGCTCTGAACTTCTTCACTATACTTGCATGCATAATTGTCAGAAAATTGTTGGAAATCCACTGATAGTAGTCAACCACCTTTTCCGCTTTTTCTCTTGGCTTACGTTCTAACCACTGGTCTTACAAGTTTCACATTCCCTATACATACAAGCTTTATTGTGTATGACACACACCATCTTTTTCATTCGGTCGACTAAATCTGAGGAAGTGATGACCTGTTCCTTAGTAAGTACGTCAGCCATTAACTGAGGGTTGCTGTGCTATTTGCAGAGACAGGTGTCCCTGTCTGAGATGGATGGAATGACAATCCAAAAGGGTCGTAATTTTGCAAATTTTGAATACGAAATTGGGGTTGACGGATTTTCATACAAGAACTTTGCATGCAAATTCTGACTGGTCTCGGAAAGTAGTCGCTTCTGTACCTTCTCTTGGTGGTGAGTTATGATCTCTTTTTTACCAGGTGTCATTCTGCTATAGTCATCTCTGGTATAAAAATCTGCCACAAGCTTCTGAACCTCTGAAGAGACGGTATCGTCTCGACGTTTCCGTATAAGATTTGAAAGACAAGGGATTGCTTCTTTTGTCAGTATATGACCCTATTGCTCTTCTATGGCGAATTGGTCACGTTGTCTAATTTTGTTGAAACCCTCTGGTGCCGCTTTTTTTATATTTTTCTACTTTGATTTCTAACTGTGGAATTTATTTTTGTAGCTGGCCAATTTTGTTTTATGCGTTGTACTTCTATCCTTCCTGACCTTTCTGCTGCCTCTCATGATCCGTCTTGATTCTGACGTAACTTGGGGAAAAACAAAGACTTGGTTTCCTGGTTCGACCGCATCTCGGGTACTTGGTGGGGTTAAAAGCTGTTCTTGGAAAAAAGCAACCCCTTGTTTAGCCATGCTTTTCTGATTCTTCTTTTATCTCTGTCTGATCTATCATTTATCGGTATATAACTTTCCCTCTTTTTGTTTTTGTCTTTACGTAGGAAATCTTCCTTTGTTTCTTTGTTTGACTTTTTCCTCTCTCTGTATCTCTTGGCTCTTTCGGCTGGTGTTAGAGGCATTCATCAACGGAAAACATCACGAAATAAGTACATTTGTAATAGACTAGAAAATTTTAAAAAATCATATCCGTTACGTCAGTGTCTTCTCCGTCACCGCTGAAATCACTGAAAATGTGACGGTTATGACTGACGGAGATGACCACTTTAATCTTTGATGGATTATCCAGCTAGCGCGCAAGGTTAAAATGTACGGGATTCCCCGTCTGGTCGAGGAGGACACGACGACAATGCATAAACTGCTAAAAACTTTTCCAAAATGTGTGCTTCACATATGAAGGGGGGAGGGCGAATGGTTAGCACGTGCCATTGAGTCAACTGGCGGGATTTCGATTCTCCGGTTGTAGGTGACAAGGAGTAGGGTCTCCTGTCCAACCTCGTGGGTTTCTCCGGGCCCGCTGGTTTCCTCCCACTTCTAAAGACCCCTAAGCACAAGCGAATTATTGAAATAAAATTGAACAATGTGTTAGTCCCGAAATGACCTAGTTTGTGTCGAGTGGACATTAAACCCCATTTCTCTCTCTTTCTCCCCCTCTCTCTCTCTCTCTCTCTCTCTCGCTTCACGTATGAATTTTTGGTGTTCGGATATGACAAGGTATATGTGGTGATTTAAAGTCTTTAATATATTTCAATGTTTTAAAAGGCAGAGTCTACCTACGTGAATCCTAATGACGTGCATCATTACGCACGTTGCCCCGTGATGATTGTATGGAGTTCCAGCTGTGACTTATTTAAATCTAGTACGTACGTGACGGATATGACAAAAAAAATCCGGGGACATCGATTTCATAAAACTGAAAATGGATTTGCTAATTCTGTTAAGTATGAATGAAATTTGAATTGCGAGGGGGCGTAGAATTTGGCCTTTTAAACATTATCAAACAAAAGAAATCCCTTTAAACAATTAAAAAGTGACTTTTCAGACTGTTTTGAGGGGGCTTAAGATAAAATCGTTCCTATTAATTGTGTTTATTGTTTGGAAAATAGGATTGGCCAAAGGTATCTTACTGTGTTTTCCACCGAGCTTATTCGGCATATTGCGATTATTATTCAAAATTACCCTGCAATTACCCTTTCTAGGTCTAATTGTTACACATTTCCAACTCGATCAGTTGAGCCGTTATTTTTATACGTCCACATTTTCATGTGGATTGTCGTCGCCCCTGTCCGTCCGTCCACAATTTGTTTGTGGACACTTTACGTACAGGTCGCAGTTTTTATCCAATTTTGACGAACCTTGAAATATAGGTTTATCTTCCAAAGATCTCGGTTCCTTTCGATATGTATCGGATCGTAACTTCATGAATTATGGCCCCTGATTGTACGAAAAATCATGTTTTTGTGGACACATGGAGGTCACAATTTTTATCCGATTTTAAAAATCGTTTAAATATAGGCCTACCATTATTACACCCTGGTGATGATTGAGTTCGAATTCCGTAAATATCGGACCGTAACAGCCCGACAAAATAGTCGGTCCTTGAACGCAAATTGTTTTAAGGTTAAGGTTGTGGACCCGCTAGAGGTTTGATGAAACTTAAATATGTTTATATCTCAAAGACCTTAGTTCCTTTGGATATCAAAAAGTCCAGGGACTAGTATGAAACGGCCCCAAAATGTCTTGGGGGATATAATGTAAACTGCGAATTTGTTTGTTGAAAACCGAATTGTCGGATCATTGTGTCAGTGCGTCACTATGATATTTTAAGCGAAGCAAATCGTCTGGATAATGAAGCTAGACAAATTGAACTATTCGTGGTTTTCTTGAAAAGAGCTCAGTAAGGGGTGTAACTCTAACCATGCTTTTTCAAGGCGGCGTGATGACATAATGTGCAATTTGTAAATTTTATTTATTTTGTTGACTCTTTTGTATAAAAACAAACGTAACATGGTCATTGCCATAGGATTTGAAGGGAGTGCCAATAAACTTGGCATAGGTATCATTCAAGATGGTGTTGTCCTTTCAAACCCAAGACACACCTACATAACTCCACCGGGAGAAGGTTTTCTTCCACGGGACACAGCAAAACACCACCGAGAACATGCACTGGACATTTTACAAGCAGCTTTACAAGAGGCAAAAGTCACTCCAGAACAGATTGATGTTGTGTGTTATACAAAAGGGCCGGGGATGGGAGCTCCACTCATTTCCACAGCTGTTGTTGCCAGAACTGTAGCTCAACTATGGAAGAAACCCATTGTAGCTGTAAATCATTGTATAGGTCATATAGAAATGGGTCGGTTAATAACTGGAGCAGTCAATCCTACAGTACTTTATGTCAGTGGTGGCAACACTCAGGTGATATCATATTCACAGAAACGCTACAGAATATTTGGTGAAACTATTGACATCGCAGTCGGCAACTGCCTTGACCGATTTGCTCGTGTAATAAAACTTTCTAATGATCCAAGTCCAGGTTATAATATAGAACAACTGGCTAAAAAGGGTGAAAAATTCCTTGAATTACCCTATGCAGTGAAAGGCATGGACGTGTCTTTTTCAGGCTTATTGTCATTCATTGAAGAAAGAGCACCTGTATTGATTAAAAAAGGGGAATACACACCAGCTGATTTATGTATGTCATTACAAGAGACAATATTTGCTATGTTAGTAGAAATTACAGAAAGGGCTATGGCTCATTGTTGTTCACAAGAAGTGTTAATTGTGGGCGGAGTTGGCTGTAATAAACATTTACAAGAAATGATGAGGAAGATGGCAGAGGAAAGGGATGCTGTACTTTATGCTACAGACGAAAGATTTTGTATTGATAATGGTGCCATGATAGCACAAGCAGGACTAGAAATGTTTAAATGTGGAATGACTTCACCTCTAGACGACACATTTTGTACCCAGCGTTACCGAACAGATGAAGTGTTGGTGAAGTGGAGAGAATAAAAAAAATGGTATTAAATTAATTGAAGATGTACATGTAATGAAATTTTCAAGTTTTTAACAGTTACTGTAAAACACATAAATAAGAAATTAAACTCAGTGTGAAAAAATTGTGTTTTGAACCGTGATTGAATGAAGCAACTATGTGTGAAAAATTTATAATTTATTGTGCATCTATACCCAAAATGATGTACCATTCTGTTCTAGATCTGCATCTAAATATCAGTAACTTGATATGTAATCCAAATAACAAAAATAACTTGTAACATTTCCACAAATTAGATTTATTTTGTCTATTAACCCTTTTTATTGCCACATATTAAAAGGCAGCAATTTTTGCAAGGGTTCTATATACCAGTTGTGTGGTGATTAAATAATATTAACTTTATGAGACATTGTTAATTTTTTGTGTGGTGGAGGCAGACCACCATTAAATTTCACCATCTCGGTACCCACAAATTGTAGTTCGTCTATTTATAGCAATTCTCTCTCTGTCTCTTTTCTTGCCCTTTGCATGCCCATTTTTGTTGATTTTTTGTCTAGAATGGACGAAGAGGGTTTAAATTAACATTTTCTGCCAGGTTTTGGTAAATATTCCTGATTTAGAGGCGGAAGGATAACAGAGTTATCAGGTTGATATTTACGGCGAATAGTTACGTTTTAAGTATGCTTCTTCAAGTTTGTGTATCTCAAAATTTTGGTGGTCAACCTCATACAAATTTTGGTGCAGAGACATGAACATTTGTTTCACTGTCTGTAGTGAAAAGCATTCAGCCCAACGAAAATTTGGGGTAAAGTTGCAGCCGGGCAAAGGGACCAGAATTAACATCGATGTCAATGGGGAAATTAATGGTGGTCTGCATCCTGGTGGTATAAACAATTCTTAAACAGTTATCTCCCCTGTATTAAGTCTTATTATGCTTTTGGTGTATTTTCGTGTCACGCACAAGTCAAAAATTCTGTCCAACCCATTCTGTGTATAGTTTACAGAGAAAATTTTTAATTACACCAAAAATATTTATATGGAAATGATTTGAAGCGGTATAATGGTGGGGGGCCATAGGTGTACATCTCCGAATTGGGCGACCCAAATATTTGGGAGGAGTTTGGAGAGCAAACCGTATTCTCGTTCGAATCCCTGGGTAGACCGAGACGATCCATCAAGAATTTTACAGCCTGGTTGTGGTTTCTCGGTTGTTATGGGTCACGCCTGTGTGGCTGACAAGCAAAGTGTGCCTAATCGTTTGAATTGTTGCAACAGAACAAGTCTAGCTACCCATATGTACACATTTGCGTGTACGCAAAAGAATAGGCAGAAATCCCTCTGTACAAGGAAAATTTTTCCCTTACATTGCGCACGTAAACATAGAAATAAAATCTGTCAGGTACGCGCATGGCTCAAATTAACGGCAGCATGATTTACCAAAAAGTACCCAAATCCAATATTATTTAAGTCCGATCTGCATCGTAGCAATAAATACATATATACTATCTTCTATAAGAGACTGGCCTAGAATATCAGTTACCAAACTCTGATGTATGTAAATTTAATTTACATATAGCCTACATGTAGCGGCAGTCGACCATTCAAGAATTTCATTCATTTTAATTTCATCAATCAAATATATGTAATATAAGAAATTCAAAACAAAAATTGTTGTCGACAAGCTTCAATTTTTGAACGAAATGATACTTGGAAACAGTAACTTTCAAAAAAGTAAACTTTTCTCTTCGGGACATAAATACTGCCATCGGAAATGAACATACCTTAGTAAAAGAAACCATTATTTCTCTCCCGCCAATATTGACATACGTCGACCAATCTCAGATGTCATCAAAAACACTGCTTAAGACTCACGACCCTTCCTTCCTCCCTTAAGAACACGCCCTTTACCCCTCTGAGTTAATTCGACTTCAGTGTACAACATTAATTTTATCATTAAAACATTCACTATTCCGCTAGAACATGACAGTAATTTAAGAACGCGAAATCCCCTTCTATCCCGGATAAGAACGACCCAAAATGACGATTTAATTCGACTTTTGCGTACAACGATCATTTTCCGTGCATACGTCCACCAACCTCAGATGTCGTCAAAAACACTACTTAAAAATACTCACGACCCTTTCTTCCTCCCCTAAAGGCACCATCCCGGTTTGAACAGCCTCAGAAATAAATGTCCGTGTACGTATGAAATTTAAGGCCAAAATATATAGAAATGGTGTATTTACCTTGTCTCAAACTTTCAGCTCTAAATATTGAGTCTTCAAAATATAAAAGAGATTGGACCTTTAAGAACACCCCCTTTACCCCCAGAAGAGTTAATGCAACTTCCGCTTACAACATTAGTTCTTTCGTTAAACATTTCACTATTAGTACGGGTTAGTACGGGTTTTATATAGCTGGGCTCTCGGAGAAGGGGACCGATTTAGTTGATGACCCTAAAAGCTCCTGACGTCCATTCTGTTTCACCACAATACAATCTGTAGGATTCATCATACTCATGATATTCCAAGATCTACTACAAATCTAATCACCCAAATGTATAAAAAGCAGGCATTATCACCACCTTAACTAAAAGAGCCCAAACCATTTGTGACCCCGAATCCCTCAACCTAGAAGTATAACACCTAAAATAATTCTTTATACAACACAACGGTTATTCAGAACACATGGTAAATAGGTTCATCAACGCCACATTATCCAACCTTCCAAAATTTGATAAACCAAGAAATGATACACCCCCAATACGAGTCTTTATACCATTCCGCGGCCACACCTCCCACCAAATTAGAAGGTTATTTAAAACAGAAGCAAGCATAGAAACCACATTCCCCAAAAGCGCAATAACTAAGGAGTTAGTAAACCTCACAAAGCCTACCTTCCCAAAAGGGTTGTGTCTACCAAATTAACTGTAGATGTGGAGAATATGACACTGGTGAATTCAAAAGAATCTAAACCTCCGAATTAAGGAGCATGTGTCCAAAGCCCCCATCAACGTCTTTCAGGTTGGGGGATTCGGGATCACACAAAATGGGTTTGGCTCTTTTAGTTATGGTGGTGATAATGCATGATTTTATGCATTTGTAGTAGATACTTTGGTCCATGTGTGTTGGTTTTCTGTACACTGAGGTGGTGACATTGGAGTTCTCTCTTCTTACATTTGGGAGGCTGCTGTTGGTTTCACTGGATGTGAAGGAAGGGTCGGGGGTCTTCTTAAGCAGTGTTTTTGATAACATCTGAAGTTGGTCGACGTATGCATGATAGTTGATCGTTGTACGCAAAAGTCGAATTAAATCCACATTTTGGGTCGTACTTATCCGCGATAGAAGGGGATTTCGCGTTCTTAAGGTAGTGTTATGTTCTAGCGGACCAATAGTGAAATGTTTAACAAAACAATTAATGTTTTACGCGGAGGTCAAATTAACTCATCTCTCAGCAGGGTAAAGGGGGTGTTCTTAAGGGAGGAAGGAGAGAGATAGAGAGAAACGGGATTTTACGTCCACTCAACACAAACTAGGTCATTTCGGGACTAACACATGGTTCAATTTTATTTCAATAATTCGCTTGCGCGTAGGGGTCATTAGCAGTGGGAGGAAACCGGAGGACCCTCGAGGTTGGAAGCTAGGAAGGAGGGGGTCTTCTTAAGCAGTGTTTTGGCGAAATCTGAAGTTGGTCGACTTATGCACGAAAGTTGATTGCTGTACGCAAGCCGAATTAAACTCGAAATTTCGACGTTTTGTCGGACCGCCCACCCCCATGGGAAGGGGACCCGCAACTTAAGAATCAAGGTTTAGAGTATCGGGCACCGCTGTCCACTCATCTAGCATAGTAGAAATTTTGTACTCGATTTTCGAAACAACCTGAACCTAGCTCCCTTACTACGCGCTGTAGATTGTATCGCACGAGTATATATATCCCATGAACGTGATATTCACGTGTAGATGTAGGCTTATATGCGCTAAATGCTATCATCTATAATAGATCTCAATCAGGGTTAACTATATCGTTATCTACTTTATAGATAAAACGCTTGCACAAGCTAAATAACCAAATCACTACATAGAGTTAACCTTGGCCTCTATATACTTACACAGCTGATAACATATGTAGTTGAATGTGATCGTTATAGACCTATTATTACGTTGTAGTTGACAGACAACAACTCGGCCAAGAAACATGTCATCGTTTGCTCCCACGTCCACGTCGTCTGCTGGAAATAAAAATGCACAGTTTGCACAGTACGATGCACCTGACGCAGTTTATTTCCCAGGTATGTATATATTTTATGATGTTATTATAGTTTTCTAAGGTACGTTTAGCCAACTGTCATTCATTGTATGGTTTCTAAAATTATTGTGTTCACACTTTAAAAAATCCTCCAACTGTCTGCATCAGCCCCATACTAAACTTAGGCTGTCTCTCTACAATTATCCCTGCTTGAGAACAGACACTAGTCTAGTTGGCATATTATTTTAAGTCCTAAATCGACGATTTTAGTCGAAAACACTAAGTATATTTCTAGAATTTTGAGAAGTACACATTCTGCGTTCATTTAATAAAACTAAAAAGGTTTAATCAGTCATTTTGTGTATGACGGCCATTTAGGGCAGATATCTATTCTCAAAGTATGTCCATCTTCATTAGTCAATTCGGTGCAGAAAAGAAAGCTATTTAACCCAATTTAATATAATTTAAAACCCACAACGTATTTTAAATGAATGTAAATGCAACAATGTTGTACAGAATAGCAGATGAATCACATCCGAATGATTTTGATGAAAAATGGGGTTTAACGTCCTACCTTTTTTGCACCGACTGGGATAATGACGACGAGGTCCCGTGTACACATTGGCGTGCACGTTAAAGATCCTTTGGTACTGGGAATTCGGTATAATAAGAGTCGGCCGTAACGCCGATGACCGGGCAAAATTCCCCTCAGAGCACACTGTCTGGCGTATACCCGTTTTCATTAGCACAATCGGAGAAGAACAGTATGACGTTAAACCCCATTTCATTTCATTTTGACATTATTAAGGTCTAAGTTTTGACCAATATAAAAGCTGGACCATAATTGCTTTTCCTGGCGTAGATAATTAGGACCAAAATAATATGATAACCGTTATCAGTGATGATTACAGTATCGTGAAATGTGTTACAATTTACAAAGACCTATCTCAAATCATTATAGAATAAATTCTGAACTTATATATATATTGACAGATAAAGTAAAAAGGGAAATGTACTAATACATAAAGTTATCAATTTAAGATAACATAACACTTTTATACCGATAAAGACAGAATATCTGTCATAGTCCAATAATAAATTATTGTCATCTAGTATCTTATTAGATACCTAGATAACAAAAAATATCCAACTGAAAATACATATATGTACACCTTCATAAAGACGCAGCTCTTATTTCTAAAAGCATTTGAGGAAATATTTGAAATAGAGTGTCCGGGTTCGAATCTCAGCATTGGCCGAGAATAACCTCAGGAAATTTTCAAGCCTGGATCCAAGTGCTGCCTATTCTTTGCGGTATGAAGAAATCCGAGGTCCACCCATCTTCACGTTGGCGTTGGCGTGCGCGTAAGAGTTAAATAGCCCATGACAATTGAAATTCGAAGCAAACGCTTAGTAGTAAGTAAAAATTTCCTCCTTAGAACACGCGACAATGAAGTTGTGTTGAAACTACTTATATATATGTGATGTGCACTTTCATAAAGATGCAACTCTTATTTCCAAAAGTATTTGACGAAATATTTGAAAATTAGAATTCGGGTAGATTTAGATACAGGTCATCTGGGAATGGTAGCAAAAGAAGGATATGGGAACAGTTGTGTGGGAATTCGCGACGTTGTTGAAAAGAAATGGAATGAAATGGGGTTTACGTCATATTTTTCTTTACCAACGGAGATAATGAAGACGATGTAATTAAAGAAGAGAGGCCTTTTATGAAGACATGTCATCAGACTACGAAACGAAAAATTAAGTGCAACAGTTCATTTACAAATATTGCGACAGACTAAAAAGGACCAGTGTCATGACTATTTAGTAAATAATGATTCACCCGATCTTCATCTAAGCACTGATTAATAATAGATCAGCATGAATGTTGGAAGAAAGTTCATTAAAATTATGATAACTTACCATTATTACCATTATTACAGGCATACCAGCAATTCCGTTTAAACCTGATGCTGGACCAAACGAAACAATGGTTTACAAAACATATAATCCAAAACAGGTATGTCCTCTGGAAACAATCTACATGTATATCAATTTAGAAAACTTAAAATGTACACTGTCAATATTTTGTGTGTGTCTTGATACTTTCTTCTTATATTACTTGCAGAATGGACACAAATCACCTGAAGTAACCTACAGGCCTAAAGATGAAATACAAAATTATTCTTGATTTTATTCTTTTTTAGGTTGTTAATGGAAGAAGTATGGAAGACTGGTTGAGATATTCTGTATGTTTCTGGCACACATTCCGTGGAACAGGTAACAAAACATTTTAGCTCTTTCTTTTCTTACCAGGTTTACTTGCCATGCCCCAGTATATTTTCATCTTCATTTGATGCTGTCTTGCTTGTATTTAGGTCAGTACTGGCTACTGTCTTTTGAACGTATAAAAAAACCCAAATTGGTTACTGCCTTCTGAATGATTCGCAACTCGTTATTTTATTTTATTTTTATTGCTCTGGTTCTTTAGAAGTCGAACCTAATTGCTCTGAATCTGTAGACATCGAACCTCCAGTTATGTGGATTTCCAGATATACATCGTATATTTGATATTTTAAGGTGCTGACCCTTTTGGTTTCCCCACATTAATACGACCATGGGATGATGGAAGTGACAGTTTAGCTAATGCCAAACGACGTATGAGAGCTGGTTTTGAATTCTTTTCTAAATTGGGGGTAAAATACTGGGCCTTCCACGACAGGTAATATACAAAATTTCTTTGAGCATATTTTTGTTAAAATGAATTAATGTCTCTTGAGACCAAAAATAATGTCCTTAATAGGTATAAAGATGTGAAATAATGTCGGTCGAAATGAATTAAATTGCATTTATTCCGACATTTCCTTTCAAGCCGCTATAAGTGTTGTAACTGTTGTATATTATATATGTCGGGCCACCGTCCTGTACACACTTTAAACGTAATCGTAAAACTAAGAATATTATATCATATAAACTAGTGTATATGTATTGTTATATATTTAGATCTTTAATGTAGCCGATCCATTTACTGTTTTTAGAGATATAGCCCCAGAAGGTGCCGATTTGGCAGAATCCAACAAAAATCTCGACGTTCTTGTTGATTTAGCCGAAGAACTCCAAAAGAAGACTGGAGTCAAGTTGCTTTGGGCGACATGTAACCTTTTTGCTCACCCAAGGTAAAGGCAAATTCAACGTATTGTTTGATAATGCAAATCTCATTTATTATCCCCAGCAGAAACACTTGTCAATAAAACAAATACGGCAGGTTGAATGTCTTATCAATTCGGATGTCATGAACGATCGGTGCAATCCAATTCAATCAAATGTCCGCAAGATAAATCAAAGCCATGGTATGTTCTATCCCAGTACCATGAAATAAGACTTTAAGGGCGATTCTAGTGTCTTCAATTGTTATAACTCCGACGCACTTTTAAGATGTCTTGGCAGTTAGAATTCAGGGAAAATAAACGCCAATTATTATCATCATTACTTAGAGTACACTCAAAATACAAAGTAATATCAACAATGAATTTATCATCAAGTATAATTCTAAACTTTGTGCGATGTATTTCTATGTTCCCTGTTTTTCGTATGCCCAGGTATATGAATGGAGCCAGTACTAACCCCGATGCCCATGTTTTGGCTTACGGTGCCGCTCAAGTGAAGAAGGGTTTGGAAGTAGCTAAAAGACTGGGTGCTGAAAACTTCGGTAAGATTGTTCAACTTGTTTCCTTTACCATTATCAAAACCCTTTAAACACACTTTGGGTGGAAATACGATATGGTCATATTTATCTCTATGGTTACGTGTGTAATGCGGGGTAAAGGGTAGTCTTGGAAATGAAACGGGGTTTAACGTCTTACCGTTCAACTCCGACTGGGCGACTGAAAACGGAGGTAATCTTGGATTCTCGGCTAGATTGTCCGGGTTCGAATCTCACCATGGCCAAGAATAACCTCAGGATATTTTCAAGTCTGGATCCAAGTGCTGTCTATTCTTTATTGTATCCGAGGTCCACCTATCTTCATGTTGTGTAAGAACCCTAGACAATTGAAATTCGGAGCAAACGCTTAATAGTAAAATTTTCCTCCGTAGAACACGCGACAATATAAAAATAACCGCAAGTTAGACTCAAAATGAAGTTGTGTTGAAGAGACGTTAATCCCTATCACGGCTGTTTCTCTACTATTTTATAAAACATTTATTATGAAACGCATCGCTGCATGAAGTTCTTATTTTCTTATCATCAACATAATATGATGTATTTTTGTTCTTCAGTATTTTGGGGAGGTCGCGAAGGATACCATTCCCTCCTCAATACTAATGTAAGACGAGAATTGGATCACATGGCAGCATTTTTTAAAATGGCTGTAGGTAAGTTTACATTTCGCATTTGACAGAGAAACAGTTCGACAAAAGCTCCTATTTGCAACAACCAACTATTGTGGAGGTAAAATCAGTAATTCAAAAAAGAAACCTTTCGACGGCCTGCATGTATTGTTCTTGAAATAAAGTATTCAGCTTTGTAATATTTTCAGCGTATAAGAAAAAGATAGGCTTTACTGGAACTTTATTGATTGAACCAAAACCAAAAGAACCAACCAGACATCAGTATGATTATGGTAAGTCCCTGTTTGAACTACCTTGAGAATTCTTTTGTCAATGTGTCTTCCAAGTTGTTCATTACGTGGAATTGAATCTATGAATCCTGGCATGAAGGTGTAACCACTGCCACGGCGTAGTCGTGAGAATATCCAGCTCGTCAGAATGGCAATATAGTGCGAACCTAACAAAAAAGATGTACCCGCGCGTGGTACCTGTATTGAAAGTACCAGGTCTCATCCCTTGGGCGATTAGGTGTCTCACAATGACGCAGAGGTAAGAATAATCAAACCCAACATCGACGACTTCTAATATAGAAGTAAAACAGCACAACCAGTAATCAAAATGTTTGAAATTGTATTTTAGATGCAATGACTGTGATCGCCTTTCTTAAGAATTATGGTTTAGACACAGAATTTAAGGTAAGTTAGTTTTACTTATATTAGGACATTATTTATATATTGGACATAAATACTTTGAAAACAGATGACGAAGAAAAACCTACAATGTATTTGCAATTCTATTGTTATCATTTAATTTCTTCAGTTAAACATTGAACCCAATCACACAACATTGGCTGGACATTGTTATGAACATGACGTCACTGTTGCTGCTGCGTGAGTTTTTACATTGTTTTCTCAAACTTTAAAAAAAAGTTGTTGCCCTTAGATTTCTTTGCCATGTGAAGCTCTTTCTAGATGTCATTAATTGGCATACATAACTTAAATTCGCTGAAAAGGGAACACACTGTTAGCTATTCTGTTTGAGAAAATGCATTGCTCTGCAAAACCAAACCAAGTCATTAGTCTAGTTGTTGTAGCTACTTTCGGAGATCTTATGACCAAAAAGTGGTATTCTGGTTACTCGCAATTTAGATCATAATATTTAAGAGTCTTTGTTTTCATCCTAAGTTTGTATTTGGCTGCCTACTCCATGTTTTTCACGTGGTGTCCCGTTTGCCGCCACTTCTAAAGACCCTACTCGCAAGCGAATTATTAAAACAAAGATATGCATGCTGGTCTCCAGTTTGTGTTGAGTGAATGTTAAACCCTATTTCTTTATCTCACAGGTTACTGATTTCACCGCTGCTCTTGTGAAAGTTGGATAATTCAATTAGAGTTAAATTATATATCAAAGGTGGTAACTCACATGACTCATGAGTGAACATTTTAATTCTGTAATTTTAAAATAATTAGAACTATAATGCATATTCTTCTGTGTGTTTGTCTTCGCAGATATGGACTATTAGGGTCTATAGACTCGAACACGGGATCTCCAGATTTAGGTTGGGATACTGACCAATTCCCTATGGATATTAAAAATACCACAGCTGTAATGAAGGTTAGAATGACTTCTCAGTTTCAATTATTATTGTCAACGTAATCACGTTGTGAAATTTAATGGTGTCCATATAGAAACAGATAAAATAGGATGGGGGGGGGGGGATTTTGATCAATATATCGGTGAAAATATTCTGTGATGAAATGATACAAAACCTAAACTTTAAAGATATTAATTGTGTTGACAAGAAAGTTAAGTACTTAAATGCATCTTTATTCATTCTTCAGTTGGTATAGTCGAATCTTGTCTATCTCGAATATAAGTGGCTGGTCAGACATATGTATAATGTTTTTTTATAGGTTGTTTTAGAACAAGGTGGTATACAACCAGGTGGTTTAAACTTTGATTGTAAAGTAAGAAGAGAATCTATTGAACTTATGGACATGTTTATAGCTCATATTGGTAGGTACAATATAGAAATATCCGTCATCGTGAAAATCACAGATCATGTCGACAAAGGCATTTTTAACAAACTTACAAGAAATATTTGCTCCATTTGTCACAATTTGTGTTCCAGATTTCCAAATTTTTAAATGATTTTATTTTAAAACATTGAATTCCATGCCATTCATGTACATGTTTTTGCTATATTTCAGGTGCCATGGACGCCTTTGCAAGAGGATTATTATGTGCTGCTAAAATATTAGCCGAAGGTGTCATCAGTAAACAAGTAGCTGTGAGTAACAGTAACGAATATATACATGTATACAAATTTTGCAGTTTACAAGATTTTTACGAAATTAAAAGCGGCTATCTGGGTTCATAAACACTACAATAAATTTGTGTATTAAGTGTTTATACTTCCAAACAAGCATAAACAATTCCTGATCATTATGTATGTATACCTTTATTCGTTATTCATTATTTATTTTTTTAATTGTGATTGTTTCCATTTTGGTAATTTTCAGGAACGTTATTCAAGTTTTGATAGTGGTATTGGTGCTCGAGTTGAAAAGGGAGAAGCCACATTTGAAGAACTCGAAGTAAATTGTTAATTATTTTTCCGTTTTTTATTTCAGGGATTTTACTTGGGTAATTTAAAATTCTAGAGAACAGAAATTATAAAAACAATTGTTATAGACACCATCTTGACACACAGGCGCCTGTAACGTGGAAAATATTTCAAAAATAACATCAAACCATAACTATTCTAAGTATGTGTCTAAAGTCTGTTACGTCCATTTTCGTAAGCCAGATTATCCAATAAACTGTTTCAATGGCATTTAGTAATTGAACTAGAGTATACAGGTCACAATTCTATGGAATACAATTACTGCTTTTTACTGAGCGACGTTTCGACTAGGCTTCTCAAGTCATTGTGACCTGTATAGATTATCTAATAACTGCTGATTCCAATTTCTAACTCGGGCAAATAACTCGTCTGAAACCGATTCTCTTTCAGTAGATATAATAATACCGAGGTGAAAAACGGGTTGGTCTTAAATAATTGGGGTCAAAGTTCTCTGGACGTAACAGACTTTAGACATTATAATTAGTCATAGTTTGATGTTATTTTTGAAATATTTTCCACGTTACAGCGCCTGTCTTGACATCGATGGTCAGTTACAGAAAAGGTTTATATTATAGTTATTTGCGGATGATCTTTTGACAATTGATATGACATCGTGAAATCAACAGAAAGTATATTTAGTTGTCCCAAAAATATGTTGGGATTATTCAATTTTTACAATAGATCACCTTTTAATGTACATCATTTGAAAGTAAATATGTAGTCTAACATATTGTGTGTGTGTGTGGGGGGGGGGGGGGGGGGGGGGCGGGGGTGCATGGCTAAATGGTTAGCGTGCGCGCGCTTTATCATAAAGTCTGTCATTGAGTCGACTTGCGTGGTTTCGAATCCCCGGTTGTACGTGACAAGGAGTAGGGTCGCCTGTCCAACCTCGTGGGTTTTCTCCGGGTCCTCCGGTTTCCTCCAACTGCTAAAGACCCCTACACGCAAGCGAATTATTGAAATAAAATTAAACCATATGTTAGTCCCGAAATGACCTAGTTTGTGTCGAGTGGACGTTAAACCCCATTTCTCTCTCTCTTTCTCTGTCTTACATAATTATTGTGTCTTTAATTGTAAATATTTGTCTCCAATTTTATTATATTCAAAAATATAAAATTTATTTTCAGAAATTTGTATTGGAAAATGGAGAACCAAAGAGAATTTCTGGTCGACAAGAACATTATGAATCAATGATTAACTATTACGTTTAATTTTTAAACTGATCAAACTTCTGATTTAAATGATCATAATATCAAGAGTTCTTCGCTGGTAACTGGTTTAATAAAAAAAATGATTGCTTTGTGTATAAATTGCATAATATACAAAGGGCTATCTACACTCAAAGCCATTAAAAACGCAATGTCAAATTCAAAGTTTATTTACTGCAACAACTTTTAATAAATGTACATACAATTGACTAAATCGAGATAACAAGCATCTGTAGATAATTCCATGAAATAATTAACTACAAATGCACAAAACCGAAATGTCAGAGAACCATGAAACAAAGCAGGGGTCAGCTGAAGTCAATATCGGGTATGTCCACCCTGAGCTTCTACACATGCCTGATGTCGCCTTGGCATGGACTGGCACAGATGTCTCACTACATGGGATTGTTTGCCAATGATTTTGGAGTGCTTGTGCCAACTCTGCAACAGTTCGTGGTGGCACGGTTTGAGTTCGAACCCGTCGTCCAAGTTCATACCAAAGGTGTTCGACCGGGTTCATGTCGGGGGACATAGCGGGCCTTGTCATGCTGGAAACCATCTGTCGACGGACGCCATGTTGCGCCAGCAATGAAAGCAACACCGGACGAAGGATGGCGTCAACATAATGTTGAGCGTTGAGATTGCCTTGGACCACCACCACCGAAGTGGGACTGCCTAAAATCGCGAAAAAAGACAAGTGTTGCGTTTGCACGAACAAAGTTCATTACCGAGAACTGATATTGGGTTCAAACCCAAAACTCCACAAAAAGAGACCCATCACAAGTTTCACCCATGTGCCATAAGATAGGTTTAAAGCCCAAGAAAATGTTTACCAGAAATATTTCACGAATTAGGCATTGCGTTTTTAATGGCTTTGAGTGTAATTAAAATTAGATTCCTATTCGTTCTGTAACCTTCGTCAACTTCAAAATGTATCATCAAGTCACATTTATGAAGGTCTGTGTTTTGCTAACGAAATAACGAATATTGACAAGCTAACATGAGGATATTAATCTTAGGTAAACCAAGTTATATTCTCGAATGTCGCTTCAGTGAGATACGTCACGTAGCCTATAAATTTGAGTTTTTTGTTGGCCGGTGTAATGTTGCTGGTGAACTTGAATGTTATAGCCTATTCGGGTCCAAAAATTTGTGCCACAAATCACTATAGGTACCCCGATTTTTTTTACAAAATTTTCTCGGAGTAGAGACACCCTCTAATCCTGCGTCCACCACGATTGGGTAAAAAAACCCGATTTATTAGGGATATAATTCAACGACCTTGACATTTGTATGGAAGCCTAGTGCGGCCATGTGACAATCGCTTCCATGACTTCTCACATTAACTATATGGAAGAATAACGTTTCCAATATTATTTCAATGTTCACTGTACAACCTGCATATGTCAGCAGTTCAAAATACGTATTTTAGTTTTACAATTTGCAATTTTCATTGCTCCACCATTCCAATGTCACAGTGTTAAAACACAGAATACACTTTTCAAAAATACAAATACAGGATAATAGTTATTTTGCACACTACACTTCTCCGATCCGAATTTTGCATTATAGACAGATGCATAATAGAACTTAGCATATTAGAACATATAACTTATATTTGATCTACGACGAAGCTCATTTGCATACGGAAATTAATGACCAAAGGAAATTAAAAGAAGCTTCGGAGAGGGTGGGGGGTATCAATAGGGTTCATCCTCTCAAGACCGCAATGCTGCCACCTTTTTTGAAAAAAGCTGTAACCTCTATTGCATTAACATGGTTTTCAGCAAATGGAGTTCATCCTCTATTTACCTCAATGCGTCATACCAAAGCTATTACAAACTGTAGCCTATGTCACAGTTATTAAGTTTTCGGCAAAATGGGATATAAACTGTAGCCTATGTCACATTTATTAAGTTTTCGGCAAAATGGGATAACTCTGGAACTAAAGGTCGCGGAATGCTGAATATCGAGAGGGTTTGTTCTCTCATGGCCCCAATGCTCCCCACCAAATTATAAAAAAAATCCGTTAAAAACAGGGTACCCTCTATCACGGACACCAGTTTTCCATCAAAGGGGGATAACTTTGGAATGGAAAGTTGTGGAATGCTGAAAGTCCATAGGGTTCGTCCTTTTTGGCCGCAATGCTTCAAACCAAATATGAAAAATAAATTGTATACAAACTACAGCCTTTATAGCATAAAAAAGGTTTTCGGAAAATTAGGCATAACTCTGGTACGAAGAGTGCCAGAACGCTAAATATTGATATGGTTCGTCCACTATTGACCACGATACTTCCCATCCGTTGGGAAGAAGGGCATTACGCTATTACGACAGGTCCTGGAACGCAGAATATTGGTAGGGTTCGTCCTCTTGTGATCCCTTATGTTGTCCATCAAATGTAAAAACTATAGCCTCGTTTATTGTTTCACAAGGTTTTCGGAAGAGGGGGTATAACTCTGCTACGAAAGCTCGCGGAACGCTGAATATCGATAGGGTTCATCCTCTTATGGCCACAATGTTTCACACCTTATTTGAAAAGAATTTGTCAAAAACTGTAGCCTCTATCGCGTTTACAAACCAATTGTTCACAAACACTGATGGACCGACAGACAGGGTGGCACATAATAGGCCTACCCTCACACTAAAATGAAATGTATTCATATAAAAATGTCTGGCCAGGTGTGGATTTAGGGATGGGGGGACGGTGGGGGCGCCCCCCCCCCCCCATGAGATAATAGTATGCACCCCCGCGTGACAAAGAAAGCGCCCTAAGGAGTTGCGTAGAGAGGTGTGGTGGGGGGGGGGCTCCATGCGTATTAGCTGCACTCCCAATTGAGAAGATGGGGATTTTCAAACGTGAGTCAAGGACGAGGGGGCGTGAAGTCGAGGAAAAATAAAATCGCAACTATTCGCCCTCTTTCCTCGCCTTTTCACCTTTTCGTGTCGAGATCATAAATGACGACAACAGTCTTCCACACGAATGTCAAAGTCATTGTATTGTGTAGCGGACGTATTTATGTAATAAATGTGTTATCTCAAAAGTCGAAATCATAAAATGGTCACAACAGGCTTCCATACTTTCATGTTATTATAATCACGTCCTTGACGAAACTGAAACAGGACGTTTTATCTGTATTACACAGCTAAGATAATTATATATCTTACGTCATTATTTCAAGGAAAAGTGCGTTGATATCAGTTTGAAAGCATGTTTTGCGCTTCTCTACCTTCAAATATGGTATAGGTAATACATAGTATATAGGTAATACAGGTTACGTGTTGACCTATTATGATGGCAAGTAACAACCAACGATCGGTCTGCAGTATTTGCTTAAATAGCTTTCATGAGCCTAAAATTCTACCGTGCTTTCACACATTCTGTTTGGCATGTTTGGAAGACTATATTCTAAGAATAGTTACGAACAAAGACTCGAAAGAGATGCCGTGTCCATTGTGCCGTAGTCGCATAACAATTCCTAAAAATGGTGCAAAGGGGTTCTGCCACAATTTCTACGTTGCGGATGACTTGGAAATAGACAGTGTGGAAGATGAACAATTCGTCGCAGGAAGACCATTTGTAAGTGGGTTTGTAAATTCTCACCCGATACCAAAGAATTGTGATTACCACAAAATAACTGAAACAACAAAAGACTCTGCCGAAATACCCACGGAGGATATATGCCATAACCACAGCAGCATTAAAAGGGTGTCGTTTTACTGCACCGCGTGTAATCAAGCCGTTTGTTCTACTTGTCTTCAAAATGAACATAGTGAACACGCATTTTATAACTTAGCAGAAGACAGTGCGATCATAAGAAGAGAACTCGGCGAAGAAATTAAAAAAATGGACGACGAGATCCCAAAACTGGGCAGGTATTACAAGTCATTGAACAGTCAGATGTCCGACGTCATCAACTCCATAAAACAAACATGTAAAAAAATCGACCAGCAGGTGGAGAACATTTGCATCAAAGTCAGACGACATGGGGAAGAATTAAAATACACTGCACAGTCAATTTTACGCGAAGAACAAATGAAGACAGATAAAATTAAGGAAGATATTGCGAAGTTATCAGACGATCTAAGAATTTGTCGCGTCAAAGCTGCATCAGTTTTGGAAATGAATTCAGTTGTCCAGTTGGCAGACGTTTTGACAAAAACGCGGGAAAAGATACATACAATTGTCAAGACTGCAAAAGAATGCACTTCTTATAACGGACGATGCGTAGATTTCCAGGTACCCAATTTTGTCAATGATATATATTTATCTGAAATGTTGGGGCAGCTTCAAATTGTAGATGGTCCAAATTTCCGGGTTAGTTTTCACTTGGAGCAGGTGACATCGGAATATTGCTGGAGCGAGAACCGATATATTCGCGATTTACCATGGTACGTTGGAGTGAGGAAATATGAAGAAGAACGAATGGGAATTTACCTGAAGTTGAATAAAACGGCAAAGAGATGTAATCCTTTTTCAGGTCATTATACAATTAAACTAATTAACCATAAAGATGATAACTTGTCAGTGACAAAGAAGTCCATACCAGATTACGATTATATTTTTATACCTGGTGGTAAAGGTTGGGGATGGAACAGCTTCATTGATTGGCAGAAGTTATCAGATCCAACAAGCGGTTTCTTGGACGGTGAAAACAAATTTTCAATACAAATAATGGTAAAAATTACAAATCAGTTAAACGGAGAAACTGAATTATTCCACGGTGACAATAATACTTGCTGTTAGATTTTAATTATTTATTTACATTCAAGATGTTTAAGGATGGAGTGTTGACATTTCACACACGCATATTTTAATGTGGTCATATAATATTGCTGTAATACCCGTCGGTGTGTCGTGCACATTTCTTGTTAGCACATTTACATTTAGAGGCTACAATAATAATATTTTTGAAATTGATATTGATTATCTTAGAAATGGTTCCACTATGTCTTCCTCCAGCCACAGTAGTGGGTCGTTCTAAGGTGCTCCTTTGAGCAGGTTTTGTCATGATTTGATGACAAAAAAGTTGCTGGCCTATAACTCCCTTAATTTCAAATTAAACCGATCCCAAACTGTACTGCATATAGCTTATCATATAATAAACCAATTTCCACTGAAATAAAGATGAAACGTTACCGCATAATTATATTTGACTTAATCCAACTGTTACATGAAATATCTGTCCATTTTTTAAAATGGCCGCCGAACCAGAATTAGAACACACGCATGATTTCACATCTCCGCGAAAATACAGAAAAACTGTTCGGTAAGATAAGATTGAGATTTCAGTGTTCCACTCTTCACTATTTGTAACATAATTACTTATTTCCATGCAAACTGTGATATGTGTTGAAGATTTAGCAATTGAACCTATTTTTACTTGTGCAAGGGTTAGTGGTGTGTATCAATTGTAGTGGTGAAAAAGACAATTATCACCGCTACAAATATTGCGGCTAGCATTATCTATCATTGAAATGGCGAATCCTATTGAATATCAACGTTTTTCGATAATAACCTTCCGGACTATTTCCCCGATTGTGAGAACCTGAAATTTGTACCAGTTTACTTTATTCAATGGAAAATCCTCCTGAGTTTAAATGTCCACCCGTCTGTGGTTCACATTTTCTTTTATATAGTACCCACCAAGAGACTACAACAATCCACATAGCTTTTTGAAATTGACATGGATTGGTTTTCTCGTTAAAAGGAAGAAAGTCTTGGCATAGGCCTATCTTTCTGTAATTTATATTTGGTTGCCAAATGCCAATTCATCCAATTGAAAGGAAGAATACTATTGATTTTCAATGAAGTTAAGTTCATAACTGCACAAATGACTTTGCTGCTGGTGAAAGTATGTGTCATTGCCTTGTAACATATGGTTTATCTCGGGAATTCAGATTCATTATTCATGTGGTGTAGCATGGTTTCGAAATTTGACCAGATAAACATAAACAGGGCCTTCAGAATCATTTCTATCAACATCACTAAACTCTAAGTTAGCTAATCACAATGATAAGGGATCTACATAATTTAATGTTATTCATAAATATTATATGAAGATATAAACTCTAAGTTAGCTAATCCTTTTCATCCAGTGTATAAAATTCACAATGATTTATGATCTACATAACTTAATGTTATTTGTTATTCATAAATATTATATGTAGATATATTTTTATATTATAATTTATAAATTTAGCATTAAATCTATATTTATTCTTTGCTCTTTTTTTGTTCAGTCATTTTTATATGAATTGAATATTGTTTAACCTTTATACTGTCATTTTCATAAATATTGGATCTCAATATCACAAAACTTACAAAGAATCATTTTAAGCAAATTCTGTTCATATTTCTTGGGGATACACCGATAAAAAAAATGTGTTGGTGAGTAGAATTAAATGAATATGGAGTCTTTGCCGATCTTGGATCACAATGAAAAAGAAAGAACCTAGGGTATTAATTTGAACATTTTATTTAATAATTTTATTCATGTAAAGACTAAAATACTTTTATTTGATCTAACAGTAACATTAATTTAATCTATCTACACATATAATAAATCTGATCTCTAAAACTCTTAATATTTTTTAAATTTATTTTACAGTTTGTCAAATTTTGGGGAACAGAGGAATATCTACAATGGCAATAATGGCATATATTTTTTCAATAGTTACATGTACTAAATCATAAGATAAGAGTTAGCAATTGATTGCATATATCTGTTTGTTGTTGCCTTATTTCTCCACACAACATAAGAACCTTACAGTTAGCATGGATTTACCGGCATGCAAATCCAAACATTATCAATCTGTATACATATGATAATGCCATTAATGGCCTGAAGCTTATGAAAATTATTTCAGAATTATCACTTTTATATACAGAAAATTAAAAGTGGCAGCATGAAATGTACTCTAAAATCTGCCAACCCAACACTGAGACATAATGTTTAAACTTTCTATTTGATTTGTGGTTTTCAAGATGTTGGTCAGTGTTTGGAATTTCAATGATATGTGGCAGTTCTAGGAGTCATTTTCTTTCATCATTAAAAATGATTATATACATGTAATTACAAAAACATTGCGATCAATAATCATCTACATGATTGTAAAAAAAGTACCTTATAACTACTACCGCATACAGTACCTGATGCATACACCAGATTTTATCCTAAAGAAAAATGAAATATCGAAACAAATTTAAGAGCATCGATTTGTAAAACCTATTTTGATATTTCATAAGCTCAGAGCTGAACAAATATTAGATGTAGGTCAAGAAAAAATCAAATATGTCCGATATGGATTATAGTTCATTTTAAATAAAACTGATTAACAGAACACTTAAAAACATAATAATACAAATTTCACTAAAATCTTTTTTTTTTGTGTGTATTTTTAGTCACGCTTACAGGATAAGCTTAGGCTTATTAAAGATTGTCATGCATACACATATAAATGTGAACCATATAATGATATAAATATAGTAGTGTCTCCAATCACACCAAGTTTTTTCTGGACTGCCTTTTCCACTGATAATATTTTTTATATTAATCGTCCCTCTTGCCAATCATCATAGACACAACAGGAAAAGGGTCTTTCCTTTAATAATGAGATTTTACTTTTTTCTGAAGCGCATCGCTAACCAGATATCTTTTGGCATAATTGTCACTCTTTTAGCATGAATAGCGCAAGAATTACAATCTTCAAACAAGCTGACAAGATAGGCTTCTGCAGCTTCTTGCAAAGCTGCTATGGCAGTTGCTTTCCAATAAAAACTCAGATTTGGATACAAGCAAACCACAACATCTCTAACAACCCTTGAGAATGGAAGTTTCCTCAGCAACAATTGTGTTGACTTCTGGTATTTTCTGATTTCTAGCAATGCTTTTGTGCCAGGTCTGTGACGTCTTCTTCGTTTCGGTTGGGGGTCTTCACCCTGGTTGTTGTTTCTTTCAGCAGCCAATCGACGATTCCTTACATCATCAAGTCTTTTGGGACTAGAAGACTTACGACCAGCACTACCCGGTCGAACCATTGTTTGTAAGTGTCAGATGTACATTCGGTTAGCATTTGCAAGATATTTGTAGAAAAACTTCGAATTTCTTGATTTCAAAACAAAATAGTGCAAAGCGCGGCACTCGCCCAGTTAGTCAGAGTTACCTACCCAATAAGCTATTTTCGGTTATCCAGTCTTTAGAGGCAGATTCATACGGCGATTCATTCTACTACTAGTACTACTATTAGTATTAGTCCTAGTTTTTTGCCACGAGAATATTTAAAGTCGATAATGAAAATTATATTACGCCCTTGGAGGTCCTGCTGAGTATATAACTTGGGGGATAAAATAAGCATGCAGTAGACTTATTTTATTATAAATTATTAAATGAAGATGAAGGCAAGAATTTAATAATAAAATGCAATGCAGGGGCGGGCTGCCGAGTGCAGTGCTTGCAGTCATAGTCATAGTCAGTCATAGAGTTATAATATTATTAATAACTAGTCTAATATGTGTGGGCCCTTGTGCCAACTGGTTTACTTAGGCAACCCATCTTGTGTGACATTAAATTACGAGCAAACGAAACTAGCTTGATTCACCTTTACAACGCCCACTTAGTTATTGATCATTTAACTCCTCGGATTTGCCCGGGCCCCAGTCCGTTGGCCGAACGCAATTATTCCCGAAAACAGTCCCTAAAGTCCTTTTGTTTATTGTTCTTTTCTTTTTGATTTTATCCAATGTCCCCTTGAGATTTGATCACAGCTTTGGAGCACATTAAATATAGAAAATAAAGAACTCACAAAAATCATGTTTTATTCAAACAAACATACAGGTGGAACCAGTGACGGATCATGGCAGGACAACGGAGGTAAATGCCTTGGGCCCGGGCCCCAGCGATTTGGTAACAATTTTTTTATATATATATATATATATATACATTTTTTGGGAAAAAATAATGAAGACCCATTTCCAAAAATTTGTGAAACAAAGTGACTTTTTTGCAATATAGCCTACTCCACAGACCACCATTTCAGGTCGAAATTTCAAAAATCAGGGGAGAAACCTCGGGGCCCCCTCAACCCATTCCTCCATTGTCTTATACTATCTCATCACTATCATAATATTCAAGAGAGAGAGAGAGAAATGGGGTTTAACATCCACTCTACACAACTAGGTCATTTCGGGACTAACATATGGTTTAATTTTATTTCAATAATTCGCTTGCGTATAGGGGTCTTTAGCAGTGGGAGGAAACCGGAGGACCTGGAGAAAACCCACGAGGTTGGACAAGAGAGAGAGAGAAATGGGGTTTAACATCCACTCGACACAACTAGGTCATTTCGGGACTAACATATGGTTTAATTTTATTTCAATAATTCGCTTGCGCATAGGGGTCTTTAGCAGTGGGAGGAAACCGGAGGACCTGGAGAAAACCCACGAGGTTGGACAGGCGAACCTACTCCTGGTCACGTACAACCGGGGATTCGAAACCACGCCAGTCGACTCAATGACAGACTTTATTATACAGCGCGCGCACGCTAACCATTCAGCCATCCACCCCCCCCCCCCATAATATTCAAGATTATAGTTAACCACCCAGTGAGTAGTACCACTAATGTGTGAGTCGTAGGGCTACAGAATCTACAGACGTTTTGTCAACTCAACTCGCACGAAACAGGCAGATCTTGAGATTCTGTTCCATTTCAGATCCTCTTGTTAACAAGAATTTGCCAGGAAATTGACAAAAAATTTAGTTACAGCCATTCATTGAGGGGTGGGATTGTGGATGGCACCCTCGATTTTGCCCCCCCCCCCCCACCTCCTATTCACAGCATCTAGATCCGCAACTTTTCCTTCTTTTGACCAATCATAACCAAATGATGTGCAGGTTATACTGAAAGACTTTCTTCTGTGATTGTTCTGTTCTTAAACACTATCCACTAGGTGTCATCTCATGGTCAAGGCTGGATTCAGAATAAGTGTGGAGCAGTGTTGGCACATTGTGCACTTTCTTTTTTTGTTTATAATTTGTTTCATTATTGTTCTTTGATGTGTTTTGTTACCTACTTCGTCTGTTAAAAGTCTATTATAAAAGCCAATAATTTAGTGGCATGTAACAACAAAAGGTATTAGCGAGGTGGAGTTTAAATGATTAATTTTAAAAGGTCTTGGGGTAAAGAGTAAGCATGGCTTTTTGTGAACGAGAAATGGAGAGATATTTTACACTTGGCTGTCAAAGTCGGTGCTATTTCATAGAAGATAACCTTCAAATAATCTATACCAACAGAATCACCGGCAATCGAAGATACTTCTTTGATTGCAAATGCCCCACTTTGTTCGAGGCCAAGCAAATGAGCTCTTTCTGAATGTGTCCTCTCTCAACAAATAACCATTGGATTCTTGCTACAGTGTTTTGATGTGATGAGTCAATTGCTACTTGTTAGTTTTTGGTCCCTCAATTATAAACACACAAAATTAATCTGCTCTGATTTGATGAAAGATATGCTTCAGCAAAAAAAAGTTTTTTTTAGCATTTGATTTTTTTTATTATTAATCCCATTTATACAACAAAATTTTACCAGTTTACAAGTTAATTATGGCATGAGGTGTGATACTAATACTATTACCATTTAATTCAGTTATCATACTATTTTGAAGTCATGTACATTAACCTAAATAATCACTCGGTCTATCAAGTTCACAAGGTCAAAAAATCAAACAGCTAAGGGCAGTATAAATTCATTGTAATAGAATATAGTTATAAAATCAACATTGGTCACCCACGACAGAGGATTGAATTAAAAAATCTCAGAAATACCCCTTTTAAACCACCTAAAATGTAATCACATGTTACATATCTGATTATTGTGTTTCTTAGCTTACCATTAGAGGTTGGTTACAGCAATTTAAAGGAAAAGTACCGAGATTCTGAATTTTACCCACTTTAATCGTGAATGAATTCCTTAGTCCCTACTGTACTGGGTTAAATAAATACTATTCTAAACATCCAAATTGATGTAAACATATGACTTCAAAATTTTCATTCATTCAGTTTCAGTTATGGTATGGTTGATGAGGTATATGTATGACACAATACTTTGTGTAAAAATATAATAGATACATAATTGAAAATCTTAATGAGAAAAATATAATAAATAAGTGCTGATATTTGATCTTATACAGCAAAAAAGTTTTGAACATTTCTTGGGGATTTACACAAAACATTATTTACAAACAATGAGAGAAATGTTATTTCTTAAATGTTAAGGATCTGTTTACGAAAGTAAATTCAATTTATCTAATGGGATTAATTGCAACCATAGCAAAAGCTTTACCTTTAATGCTAAAATATAACAAGACAAGCACTATTTTGTTCTGTCCCTGTGGGTTTTAGAATAATAGTCTGTGTGCATGTGATCTAAAAAAAACAAACAACCATCACCAAGTAGCTAACAAGAGGACAATTCACAACTCTTTCATATCAGCAAATGCAAATAAGTACCAGTATATAATTTTTTTTTAACATTTTCAATTTTAGAAAGTTTTAACACTGACCAAATATTTTATATGTTTGTTCCTCGAATCTTTGAATTTTAGTTGTACAATCTTCAGAAGACTAGACAATTTGATACACAATAAAACATAACAATGTACATTTATTTCAATAATATTTTTACAACATTAGATGGGTGGCTGTAACTTCAACAGATAATCATAGACTACTACTTATACACTGACTACAATACCGTAATACATGTTTCCTTTTATATTTACAAAAAATACTGCTGTATGATTTTACAGCTTATATATTAATCTGGACAAATATTACTCAAAATAACAAAAAGATTTCACGTTATTACCTTTGGCTATGAAAAAGATAGTGGATTTAATCAATGCACATCTTGGATTGATATTAAAAAATTAATAGTTCACACCTTAATTTTTTCTGTAAGTTTTACATCATTAAATGGGTTTATTATACAAGGGTGTAAAATTAACAGCAACATAAAAAAAAGTCAAATCCTCACAAACAATGCTGTACAATTTGGTAAAAACACAGCATACATAAGAATATAGGTTCGAATACTGTTAATATTATTATTATAAGATTTACGTAAGTTGTCTACCAAGTGTTCCCTATGTAATTTCAATTAGGGGCCTACTCAAAGAGTTCTTATCACAAATATAATTCCATTTACTGAAAGTGCTCTCATCACTTATATAATTTTATTTATATGTCATGGACAGCTTGTTTATAAACAATAGTTGACAAACAGTGCACAGAAAATGACCTTCAGTCTTTTAATAACATTATTTGTATTGAACATGACAAGTGACATGAGGTTAGATTACTGAATTGCTTGTATAATTTAATACATTACAAGTATTATGTAAAACCAGTAAATGCCTTGTAGAAAATAGAAATAATAAAACACAGCATAAACTATGCACATATAATATATATGATATATTTAAATATAATTACACATTATTCAATTACTTCAAAATATATTTGAGACCTGTAATTTTAAATTGATGATGACGATAATGATGATGATGATGATGATGATCAATATAAATTACCAAAAAAAAGATGAGATTTTATCTCCTGCAGACATTCTGTTAAATTACAGACTTTTTTTTATAGCATTATATATTAGTATACAAATTTTGAAATAATATTTTAAAACTCATTCGCTGTTGGTTTATAGACTGATTGAATTATTTCTTTGGCAATACTTTTTTTTAACCTATCGTTACCCTGTTATCATTTTATTTTGGGCTGCAATGTGATGGACATGTATACTAATAAATTCTGGTTGTTTCATCTGCAGGTAACTAACTTATCAGTAAACTTTAGTCAGCCAAAACAAGGTTTCTTCACATACGTATCCATTTATAAATGTATTTCATATTACATTGTAAATTACATGATTAGGATGACTAATATCCATCAATATAAAATTATCAGAGGCAGTTTTATGTCATTAGTTACCTATTTTAAAAGTCAACAGTTTCCAATCAATCTACAAAAAACATTTAAAATATATATATCAAGATAACAAATATTCGTATGCTACAACAAAATAAAAGTAACATGGTTATAAAAAGAGCAAAATAAAATGATGATTTCCATGAGATTTGAAAGGATAATGCGAAAATAAAATGCACCATATGGTCCCTGTTCAATTTGAATTATTTCAATGTTCTATCAATGTAAACAATTCATTCATATATAAATCATATATTGGCAGCACTAATAGATAAGAAGACACCTTGTAATTTTTATAGCAGATATGGATAAAAAATATAGATTTCGTATGGCAGACCTATTGCTCAAAGTAGTCTGTTCCGAAGAAACGATCACCGAAATTCCCTGAAAATAAATAGAAAGTTAAATATTTACAAATTCAAAAAGATGGGTAATGAATAATATGCCCATCTGTATTGTTTGCACAGTCCATGAGGACTGTTGCACTTACTCAGATGATAACATTACGGTATTCATAAGATTTTTCCGCTTAATCCAGGGCAATTCTGGACAATGTGTTATAGGGGATACTCGATTGTCAGTCCAGAACGTTCCAAATTGACAGAATTGCAATCAAGTAACAAAGAATTCGGTCCTGTCACAGTTCTGTTAGTCCCAACAACTGAGGCGGTCTGTGTAGAATCGTGACGTTATAAAATACGACAAAAAAGTTTCAGCAATCATGGTTGGTTGAGATATTTTCTTACAGTGCATGCTTTGTAACTCAAAATTCTGTTTTTCCCCCTTTTGGGGATTGAAAAAATGAAATTCCGGAACGTTCAATCAAGTCTCCCCATAAATAGTCAAAATGACCATGGGCTAAAATTCCAATTGTCAAAAATGTAATACAATTTTTTATTTATGTATCCACACGATTTTTTGGATGGGTTCTAGAATCTGCAATCAGTCAAAGTTAGACATATTCTCATCTCATATATTGTGTATAAATTTTAAGTCAATTAGATGACTATTCTAACCTCGGGAGTATCCACAAGATTTTTTACGGTGATAAAGGGCCATAACTTTACAAAGAAATATTGAAAATGGTTGAAAATCAAGACTTCTTTGACTCATGAAAATAAACAAAGATTTCAAAGGGATTAAGCTTCACAAGTCTAGAATTTGTTGTCTTATGAATATAAACACAGTATAGAATTTTTATGTTAACTGGATGATTATTTTAGCCTCTACCACAAATTGTAGATATATACATCCATATTCCACATTTAATGTGGGTGATCTTTATCTTTATCATAAAAAAAAATGACATTCCTAAAGAATTTTCTTCAGTCTGTACTAAATATACTAAGCAGCAAAAGAAACGTCAGGTTGGTATGTTGTTACTCTGAATAGACGCATTGCATAAAACTTGCTGAATGTGCTACATTGATCAAGCTCTCAGACCCCACGTCATACCACATTTCGCACGTCATCAAAACAATGTTTTCCATCATGACAACACCCGTGCTCACACCGCCAGAGTTACTTGGGACTTTCTGCAGCAGAACGGTGTCAACATTATGCACTGGCCAGCCCTTAGTCAGGACTTAAACCCGATTGAACATCTTTGGGATGAAATTCAGGAGACTTAATAATGTAGTACCGAGACCAAACACAGCCGATGGATTGTGCCAGGCTTTTCTGAGAGTGTGGTTCCAGGTGCCAATGACATTCATCAATCGTCTGGTCCAGACTACGCTGCTGTTATTGACACTCGTGGTGGACACACCAGATACTGATGTATAGACTATGTACAGACTCTAAACCTTCTCGTAATGTCTTGGAATTGTGATGAATTAATACTAATGTGTCAACATACTTAATACTGTTCACAAAATATTGCTTTGATCCATTTAATAAGTCGTTTTCTAGAATGATCTGATTAAAGTGCCTCTCTGATTTTGAAATCGTACTGACGTTTTTTTTCCTGTTTAGTATACATGTATATAAATACATAATATACAAATTGAACCTCTCATTTGGTCTATATTTCTTTGATCTATATATACGTAAGAAAACTTACCTATTCCCGGCAATATATGGAATTTATCATTGACCTCTTTATCCACAGCAGTCGTGAGAATTTTTACTTTTGGGAATGCATAAGCAACTGAATAAACACCTAGAAAATAATGAAATTAAATTAATAAACTTTTTTACTTACAAAAATAATACCTAAGATTTAATTCAAAGAAATTTGCGCTAACAGTAATAACCCTGTTGTCAGATATAAAGATATAAATTAATTTATTACAGGTAACGATTTAACGATAAAGTAATATAGAGAACAAGCTAAAAAAAAATGCAATTTTTCGTACTATCAGGGGCCATAAGTTTTAAGTTTCATCAAAATCGGCGGACTTTTACACTATTTGCGTACAAGGAGCAGCCCTTTTGTCAAGCAGTTTCGTTTCAATTTTCTCGAAATTTGAACTCAACCTTCATTATGGTGTAACGGTGATATATTTTAACTGTTTTTAACGGTTAACAAGGCAAAAATGTGATTTTTGTGTACAATCAAGGAAGTTGTGGTCTGATATGCGCAAACATTGAAATGAACCGAGATCTTTGGGATATAAATATATATTTAAAGTTTCATCAAAATCGAATAAAAATTGTGATCTCTAGAGGGCCCACAACCTTGGTATTACATACTTTTACACTATTTGCATACAAGGAGCAGCCATTTTGTCTGGCAGTTTCGGTCTGATTTTCACCATCGTGTAACAGTGATATATTCAAACAGTTTTTTAAATTGCATAAAAGTTGTGACCTTTAGAGAAACTACAAGCTAAAAAAGCGATTTTTTGTGCAATCAAGGGCCATAATCAAGGAAGTTATGGTCCGATATGTGCGAATAGCTAAAGGAACCAAGATCTTTGGGTTATAAACATACATTTCAAGTTTCATCAAAATTTGATAAAAATTGTGATTTCTAGAGTGTCCACAAGCTAAAAACGTGATTTTTCGTACAATCGTACAATATACTGGTTTAGCGCAACTAATTTCAAACCAAGGAAATATTAAAAATGCCTTTATGGATGTCAATACTTTTCGAAGAGAATCAAATATTTTGATAGTTGAACCGTGACTTCATAAAATATACAAGCATGCCTAGTCGGATTTATTATTATTTCAAATTATATTATCACCGGCGCCAAAATGCTCTAAAATGAGCGAAGAGTATAATTGGAAGTATCTCTTACAAATAAAAGCGAAATTTATATCATTCTATCGGGGATTCAGATTCCTTTACGGTACCTGAAAATAACAATAGGCCTATTGTGCATGCAAAACATAAATTTATAGAAAATTGGCAATTTTTTGATGACATTTGACACGTAAAAACAGAAAAGCAAAAAAAATAAAATCTGATCTTAGCAAATCATCTCCAAACTGAGCTAATTATGTAAAGGCGTTTTTTTTTTTTTTTAAGTCATTGTTTTATTATAAGCCTACCTGAGAAATAAAATTGTTACAGCTTGTCTTTTTTATCACACATTTTTAGCAGATAAAATATTCCAGTTGGTGGAAAAAAATATATAACATTTTTTATATAAAAATTATCATCCATTTTGGAGGAAATGAACTGAAAGCCAGTGTGAGCCCTGAGAAAAATGTAACTTATTTTGCACTAAAAAATGCTGGGATGTAATGGCCATTTGTCGTTTACCTAATCATTTTATTGATTTTTATTGATGTTTAAATGGTTATAACTTATTCAATACAACATGAACGATTTTTTAGTGACTATAAATGTGAGGAACTAAGTTAAGGCTTGTTATTATAAATATTGTGGTATAATTGTCAAAATATTTATAGATTTTTTCTTATGGTGGGGCACGATAACACAGGTTGGCCTTTGGTCTTTTTTTTTCTTATTCACTAGTAGAATTTAAATAGTAAATGGTACAATTTTAACTGGAATAAACCTCAGCAATTCCTGCACCCTTAAAGAGCTATAAAGATAGGTTGCCAGACAATGAAACATACACCCACACACAGCAGCTGAGTCATCTGGGCAGTCAACAAGTGTTGTCGCATATTTTTTCTTTTTAAAGTAATGAGAACACATGAAAATCTGATTGCAAGTAATAACCCATAAAGTTATTATCAGAAAACATTAGAATTTGTTTCGATTGTTTTTCTCATGACCTTAAACAATGAATATTGACTTTAGCCTCTAGAGCGCCCGCAAGATTTTTCAAGGGCCTTAACTCTGGCAGTAATTATCGGAAATTGTTGAAAATGAATAGGATTCTTTGTCACATGACTTTAAACCTGGTGTATAAGTTTAAAGTCAATCAGATATTAACTTTAGCCTCAAGAGCTTCTACAAATTTTTCAAAGAGGTCAAGGGCCATAACTATGGCAAAAATTATCGGAAATCGTTGAAAATAATAGGCTTCTTCGTCTCATGACCTTAAACACTGTGTATAGATTTAAAGTCAATCGGATATTAACTTTAGCCTCTAGAGTGTCCACAAGATATTTCAAAGTAATCAAGGGCCATAACTCTGGCAGTAACTATTGAAAATCAATAGGATTCTTCATCTCATGACCTTTAACACTGTGTATAAATTCAAAGTCAATCAGATATGAACTTTTAACCTCTAGAGTGTCCAAAGTGTTTAAGGGCCATAACTCTGGTAGTAATTATTGGAAATCGCTGAAAATCAATAGGCTTCTTCAACTCATGACCTTAAACACTGTGAATAAATTTAAAGTCAATCAGATATTAAAGCCTCTAGAGTGTCCACAAAGTGATCAAGGGCCATAACCATGGCAGTAATTATTGGGAATTGCTGCAAATCAATAGGCTTCTTCTTCTCATGACCTTAAACACTGTGTATAATTATAAATCAGATATTTACTTTAGCCGACAGACGGGATCGATCACAATATACAACCACATTTCAATGTGGGCGTATAAAAATTTAACATAACAAGACATGTACCTGATTCTGCCATTAGAAGAGAACACAAGGTAATATTTTCCTCTTTAACATCATGATCTAACAATACTCTAATGGCCATCATGGCTGCAGCACCCGTAGCAACAGTAGCATCCATCAACATAACATACTGGTCCTTTATATCTTTGGGCAATCTAAGGTAATGTAGCTAAAATAAATAATGATAATAAGTATAGACTAAATCTGAGATGTTTTTCACTTGTGCCCATTAACATTTAAATGATGTAACTCCCAGTACACATGGAACCTTCTAAGTTGTCAACAGACATCCAGAAATGGTAATTTATTGCCCTGGGTTACAGAGACTTCAGAAACTAGAATTAAAGTTAGCTTGTTCCAAATTCTCAACCAATCAAATTGCTTATCACCCTTATAGAATTCCGTCCTCGTATTGATGTAATCAATCAATACATCAAGTCTGAATCAAAGTTATCCTGTTTAAAAGCATGGACAAATCTCTGCCGAGTTATTGTGTTCAAAATGTTGTGATGGACAGACAGATGGCTGAACGAATAACACTCATTTTATAGTCCCCTGCTTTCTCTGAAAGGCAGGGGGACAAGAGGCATTTTAGGAAAATCAAACAATAGTTTACTATTTTTGTGGACAAACTGGCTGTTTCTCGGCAAGAGCTTAAGTTATAAACTAATTTTGATATACCAGGTACAGGGACCGTACAATATAAATACATTTATATTTTCATAAAATTTCGTCACTTCTCATAAAATAGAAAAATATTATAAAAAAATATAAAATTTCACCATTTCCAATAAAATGAGACGAAATTTTTTCAAAATATGGAATTAACCATAATTCGCTACTCCCAATAATAAATTTCTATACTAATAAATCCGGTTTTGAATAAGAAAATCATCCAGGCATTTTATGACCCCCAGCTTGCTGCTCTCTTTTATTTAATATTTGACAGTGTTCAGTTAATGTTATGATAGTATATTTATATGAAATGAAATTAAATAAAATTTGGGTTTAACATCCTACTATTCTGCTCCAACTGGGCTAATGAAGACGGGCATATGCCATACAGTGTGCTATGACTATGAGGGAAATTTTGCCCTGACATTGGCACTCTGGCCTACTCTTATATCGAATTCCAACTGCCAAGGGATCTTTACTTGCACATCAACTACTTGGTTTTTCATACCATCCAAACAACTAGAGAGTTGTCCTTGTCAAGCCTTGTGTCCTGCACCTCTGACAAGAGGAAACCACGTCGGAAAACCCTTATGAACTTTCGCAGCCAACACCGGGAGCGAACCCGCACACTCTAGGCTAGCGAGCCAGCATCTTACCCACTCAGACACCGTGGCTCCCACGGATAGGCTATATGAACACAGGTGAAGATGACTGCACCCATTAACACTACCAGTGCTGTTTGTGGGACGTTTTTATATTTACTGTCAGTGCAGTTATATAATATTTGATAATGATAAAAGCATAAAAAAATCATGAAATGTTATAAAACCATCATGAAAATCATAAAATTCCACGAGAAACATTATGATGAAAATCTGTGCAAGGTCCCTGCAGGTAGGATAATTGCACCCAACATCGGGGAAGTTCGTTAAATTACTAAACAAAAGCTTTACTAACAAGGATTATTCTCAGAAAGTACACAAGGTTATTTTGGATCTGGTCAGGGTTTCAGGAAATCTTGCCCGTAATTCAAAGACTTCCAACTACTACAAGAAGTCAAAGGCACTCATTTTAGGCATATGGGGTTTATTCTGAAAGTGAAATCTTACCAAGAAACTAGTTACTACATGTACCTATTATTTACCATAGTTTTCTAACTTTACCTTCATCACCAAAAGTAAGTTTATGTTGGAGCAAAAAAAAGTCCATGAATATTTACCTCAGGTTCTCCTGTATCAAAATTGGTCTGGATAAGTATTTTACCAATTCTAATATTTTTACATACAGCACACAAAGCTGATTCCATTGTTTCTCCCGCTCGCAATATAGACACACCACAAATCTATAATTAATAGTAAAACTATTCATTTTTCGTCTTCATATGTTACTACATTCACCATATATGAGGTCATTATTAGCAATTTTGATTAATTCTGTCAATTATTTTTGATGACTTGCAAGGAAACTTTTCTCAGTTTATCATTTACTTTATTTTTTCCATACAAATTACTAAAGCTTATATATAAGTACTGTTAAATCAAGTGTAAACTGTTTATTAGTGCAAAATTAACATGAGTTACACAATTTTAACTTTCTTATTCTTTATCAAATATATATTACTAACTTTTAAGTTTGTGAGGCGTTTTCCCTCATAAGGAATTAACTGAGGTGTTTCAACACGCACACTCTGAAAGGATAAACAATGAAAACCTAGTTAAAGAAGAAAAAACACTGGTTGCCAGGCAAGATATGCCCACATCTTGCAAGAGATGGATGGATAGAGAACAAGCTAAAAAAAAAAAACCGCAATTTTTCGTACAATCAGGGGCCATAATCCAGGAAGTTATGGTCTAATTCTCGAATATCTGAAGGGACCAAGATCTTTGGGATATAAAGATATATTTTAAGTTTCACCAAAATCGGACAAAAATTGTGACCTCTAGAGGATCTACAGTCTTTGTATTGCATCCTTTTACACAATTGGCGTACAAGAAACAGCCATTTTGTCGGTGTTATATTTAAACGTTTTTTTTTTAATCGGATAAAAATTGTGACCTCTAGAGGGACCACACGCTAAAAATGTGATTTTTAGTTCTATTATGGGCCATATTCCATGAAGTTACGGACCAATGCCAATATCGAAAGGAACCAAGATCTTTGAAAGATAAACCTGCATTTCAAGTTTCGTCAAAATCAGATAAAAATTGTGACCTGCAGAGTGTTCACAAACAAATTGTGGACAGACAGGGGCGACGATAATATACGTCAACATGAAAATGTGGGCGTATAACAACAATTCAAATTTAAGGATACATTTGTTAAAGATGCCATAGATAAATCTGCAGTTAAATTCTGTTTAATTGCTTCAAAGTTAAAACCTATAATCCTAAAAAAAAATCAACTTGGCTTAACACAATGGTCTGTAATAAAATTACTATCCATGACCCAAAACAGACAAAAAGCATTCGGGGAGGTCTCTAAATAATGCCCAATCAAAAATGCAATACAGATACCATTTTTGACCTTGAGTAGTACTGTCATATTTCCAGTCCCTGGTAATGCCCAGATCAAGATCCAATGGAGGACTTGTATATAAAATAGACACCATTATAAAAACATATCTAGATGTTTATGTTAATTTTGTTTGTCAAATCAAACCCGGTTTCATTTAATTTGAAGCATTTGATCGAGTTTATAAAATTTACCTTGAAAGGAACCATAGACATGGCATATTCAAATAATAACCTCATTAATCTCTGAGAATAAAAAATAAATTCATCTCTGGCTGTATCTTTGTTCCTATAAATAAAATTATACATAAAAGAATGTCAAACAACAATATTTCACCATATCATAAGATACACATTGGGCCCTACAAATCACAACTGAATTTTCATTGGCAAATGTCATTGTGGCTGTTATATTATGGTGAGATCTGGATTTGAGAACAAGGACTACGGCTCATGAAATTTACATACATACTTGTATACATATATGCATTGATTATTCAATCAGCTAGACCTATAGGTTATAATTTACTATAATATATATGTAAAGGATAACTTTTTCAAATCCCACCTTAAGATACAGCTACTACTATCTATTATAGTTATAATATCCAATGAGGTTTTAATTGTACACTACACCCAATCTCTACTATACATTTCAGTCATGGTGAATGTTAATTTTGACATGAGATTATTGTCAATGGACTAGGGGTGGTGTTTAGGCAAGCAGTGCCTTTACTATTTTACACAAATAATCAGTTGTCTCTTCAGAATATTCAGTGTGAACATGAATAACTACACGTGTCTCGTGGCAAGTTCTGTAAATAGTTCAAATTTAAAAACTATCAAGTTGTAACTAAATGGAATTAGGATTTGAATAAAGTCCGCACTAATTTTTAAAAGTAGATGTCTCACCTTATAAACGTGTGTAAACCCAGTATCTGAGAGGTTTGTTGTAAGACGTATAAACTAGTAGGCATTGGTTCTCCATTACAACCAGCATTAGCTAATTTAGAACGAAGCTTAAATCCTCTCTACAAACATAATTATATTAAATACATTATGAACGAAAAAGAAGGAATCAGATTAATCGCTGACACAGTATATTTTAATTTTGAGACTGTCATAGATAGTAACTGTTATTTTCAATATAGAAGAGTTCTATTTTCTTCAAAATGTATATTTTACATGCACTATCAATTTGTACTATCCAACCAACTAGACACAATTTACATGTCATCCCAGGAGACAACAAAAGTAGTATTGATGTACACATGGAAAAAATCAACTATTGTATAATAGTGTTCAAATGATCATATTTAGCACTGGGTAATCAGATATAAGTGCTATTTGCAGGTAAAGCTTAATACGAAATATGCCGATAATCAAGATAAAAATAAAAGTATTGTAAATAAGTCAACAGTGAGGCTGATATCCCCTACTTACCACAATCCCAAAATAAATAGATGACACCTTAATTTATTGCACATTTACCTTTTTCAATAGTATTGAGCAATCAAACTGATCGATCTCAGTCATGTTTTTGAAGTACCTGGTAGTGAAACTAGGCCTATACACAAAGTTTTATCACTCTCCATTAGTTAGAATCAAAGTTACATGTATCTTGTCTTAAAGCATCGATCAATGAAATTGCTTAGCTCTGCTTAGCTTTAGAGAAAAATGTTTATCATTGAATTCAGTCAAGACATTCATATAATGAACATCAACACCAAGTTTAAACATTTTTCCTCAATTAAAAGTAGAGTTGTTATGTTCCAAAGTCTTGAACGATCAAATCGCTTATTGCTATTTAGTCTAAGCAACAGATTCTCATCATTGAACTTAGTCACGGTATTAATGATGAATCTATACTTGGAGTTTCATCACTCTCACCCCAGACAGATAGACAGACGGACTGATTTTAATAGTTCCTGGCTTTCTTCGAAAGGCCGAGGGGACAATTATTCCAGGAAAAGTTTGGGGGAAATACGATTGAAAAATGCCTTCCCATAAATGAAAAATTCAATAAAAAAAAAAAAGAAAAGTAATATTTTAAGTGAAATAACTAGTTACAAATTTATTGTGAGTGAAATGGATGATATGGGAGTGATACTTTCTATTAAAGCAACAAAAAGCTAAACTATTAGTCATTTATACATTTATATAAACACAAAAATATTCAGTAATCCAGTTTTCTTGCAGGATTCCAACATACATAATAAAAGTGGACTTACATTTTGTAACTGGGTGTGAACATGCAAAACTATCAGATTAATGGCAACATCATTTTCTCCTCCTAAACAAAGGTTAGAATTGATCATGTATAAATCAGGGGATGGTCAGCATGCCAATCAAAGCCAAACAATATTTTATGTCAATCAAATGAATAAATTTATTCATGTCAAAAATCTGTACCTTATGTAAACACTTTGTGTTTATATGATAAAATATTTAATATATACATGACATGTAACTGCTACATATTCTTTGACATGAATCATTTTGACTGACAAAATACACATACAAAACAAGAGGTCTAAGGGCCTTAATCGCCCATATTCGCCCATAATAGTCAATGGGCTAACAAATAATATGGCAGGATAACAAGTGAGTGTTGACAAATTTATACCTAGTTCACCAACTGTAATAATATTTATTCAAGGGACACTGATGCATAATACCTTACTGGCGTCAGTGCTTGAATTTTCAGTAATAAGTCAGTAATTTTGCAAATTTAATTACATTTATTTTCTTGGTCAGAGTGATAATGTCCGTTTAAGCCTGCCCTATATTTTTTCATTTTAAGGTAACAATTGCCTTGAAGCTACTCAATTAAAATAAACATAGTTTGGTTCAGTTCTGCAAAAAACTGACAAAATAAAAAATCTAAACTCTTGTTTGGTCAATAATTTGTTCATACCTCTAGGTACAATAATATCAGCTACTGTCATAGTTGGTTCTATATAATGTTCAAAAGCTGGTTTAACAAATTTGTTATACTGATGAAGAACACCCTCAAGATCTCGTGCCCTGACAGTAATATCTCGTATTAATCTTCTCGCTAATCGAACATCGGAATCTGTGTCAACAAATATTTTCATATCCATCATCTGAAAAACAAAATATAATATTTCTCATATTGTTCTCATGCAGATTATGATCAAAGCCATGTTTAGTTATTTTGTTAATGCCTGGATATCAAAATTCTATTTTTTATTGAAGAGCCTTTCTTCTTTCTATATAAGGATTGAAGAATTGGAAATTTTGCTATTTTTAAAAATATATTGATCTGTTGAAAAGTTTATGCCACCACAAAAGATGACGCTTTGTTCTTTTTGAGGACAAGACTTAAATGTTTAACATTAATGAACCCTATAAATACCTGTAATAAATCTTTACTATAAAATGTCAAAATGCCTTCAAAAATAACCACATTGGCACCATAAATGGTTTTCTGAAAAATAATAAATTCATTAGAAAACAAGCAGTTGCCCTGCAAGATACACCCATATTTTGCAAGAGAAAGAGAGAGAACAAGTTAAACATACCAACAGTGAGGCTGAAATCCCAAAATAAATAGATGACATATATTAATTAAAAGCACATTTATTTTTTTCAAAAGTATCAAGCAATCAAACTAATTATCAACCAGTGATGGGATTTCAAAATATTTCTTGTCAGACATTTTTTCCCAAAAATAAAGGGGCATAACTCTTATCGTTTTTTAAGCAGCTGTTTTCAAACCACAATTAAGAATCATGTGTCAACAAAAAATTCCAATTCATACGTTATAAAAGATAGGTGCACCTCATTATTTTTCATGTTTAATTCCCGTACGGTATTCAAATTTATGTCAATAATATTCCTACAAAATTATTTGACATCATAATACCATATAATGAAAGTGCGCCAACTATTGTCGATCCCTTCCTGTTTCAAATTCCTCAACTATACACTAAGTTTCATCACTCTCTATCAGATAGAATCAAAGTTATCTTGTCCCAAAGCAAAGACCAATGAAATTGCTTAGCTCTGCTTAGCTTTAGCTCAAAATGTTAATCATTGAACTCAGTCAAGTCAAAACATTCACCTTATGAACATCTACAAGTTTAAACATTCTACCTTAACTAAAAGCAGAGTTGTTAATGTTATGTCCAAAAGTCTTGACCAATCAAATTGCTTAACACTCCTTAGCCTAAGCAGAAAATGTTCATCATCGAACTTAATTTAATGAAACTATACACCAAGTTTCATCACTCTCACTTAATTAGAACTAAAGCTATCGTGTCCCAGAGCATCAACCAATTAAATTGCTTATCTCTGCTTACCCTAAGCAGAAAATGCTCATCTTCAAACTCCATTAAGCCATTGACATAATAAACACCTACACCAAGTTTGAACATTCTAGCTCAATTAGATGGACAAACCCATTTTAATACTATAGTCCCCTGCTTTGTTCGAAAGGCTGGGGAAAAAAAAAAGAAATTCTTCGTACAATCAGGGGCCATACGGTCTGACATGCGGCAATATGAAAAGGAACCAAGATCTCTGGGATATAAACATATATTTGACGTTTCATCAAAATCGCATAAAAATTGTGACATCTAGATTGTCCACAAGCTAAAAACATGATTTTTCATCAAAACAGGATAAAAATTGTCAGATGTAGAGTGTCCACAAACAAATGTAAACGGATACAAAGGCGACGACAATATATGTCCACATTTTCACATGGATGTATAAAAATTTAAATACATGGGAGTTTTATCTAGTTAAAATTAGTTGCTTTTTATGATTCTGATTTTTTTCTTATTTAATACAGCTGCTAATTGGATGGCTGATGTCAGCTTTATGGATGAGTCTTCAGTGCCGTCAGTGGGAAAACAAGCCAACAGTGAGGCTGATGTCCCCCGCCGAAATTGCAAAATAAATAGATGACACATATTAATTAATCGCACATTTATTTTTTTCACTAAGTTTCATCACTCTCTATCAGATAGAATCAAGATTATCTTGTCCCAAACCATCGACAAATGAAATCGATTAGCTCTGCTTAGCTTCAGCTCGAAATGTTAATTATTGAACTCAGTCAAGACATTCACCTAATGAACATCTACATATACATCAAGTTTAAACATTCACCTAATAGACACCTATGCCAAGTTTGAACATTCTACCTCAATTAGAAGGAGAGTTATTGTGTTCCAAAGTTTCTACCAATCAAATTGCTTATCACTCTGCTTACCCTCAGCAAAAAATGTTCATTATCGAACTTAGTTAAGGTATTCATATAATAAATCTATACACCAAGTTTCATCAATCTCACTTAATTAGAACTAAAGTTATCGTGTCCCAAAGCATCAACCAATCAAATTGCTTATCTCTGCTTACCCTAAGCGGAAAATGCTCATCTTCGAACTCCATCAAGGCATTGACCTAATCAACACATACACCAAGTTTGAACATTCTAGCTCAATTAGGAAGAGAGTTATCGTGCCCCAAAGTATCAACCAATCAAATTGCTTATCTCTGCTTACCCTAAGCGGAAAATGCTCATCTTCGAACTCCATCAAGGCATTGACCTAATAAACACATACACCAAGTTTGAACATTCTAGCTCAATTAAAAGTTATCGTGTCCCAAAGCATCAACCAATCAAATTGCTTATCTCTGCTTACCCTAAGCGGAAAATGCTCATCTTCGAACTCCATCAAGGCATTGACCTAATCAACACATACACCAAGTTTGAACATTCTAGCCCAATTAGGAAGAGAGTTATCGTGTCCCAAAGCATCAACCAATCAAATTGCTTATCTCTGCTTACCCTAAGCGGAAAATGCTCATCTTCGAACTCCATCAAGGCATTGACCTAATAAACACATACACCAAGTTTGAACATTCTAGCTCAATTAGGAAGAGAGTTATTGTGTCCCAAAAAGTGTGACGGACAGACAGACGGACAGACAGATGGACAGACAGACGGACAGACAGACAGACAGACAGACGGACGAACCCATTTTAATAGTCCCCTGCTTTCTTCGAAAGGCGGGGGACAAAAAGTAGATCAGTGGAAAATGTCTTGCTGTGACTTTCATTAGTACATTAACTTAGCAAAACATGATATATTGATAAAACTTAATGTTACATAAAATGGAGTGCAGTAAAATATAAGCTATGGAATAAAAAATGAAAAAGAAAAGATTAATTTACAGGTAAACTATTAAATAAAACATAGCTTGCCAGTCAAGGCACAATACGCCCACCAGGTTTATGAGTGTACTGGGCAAATCCTCTATTTTTTTTCAATTATAACATATTCGGATATGATTTAGGTAACAACTTGTTATATTAAATTCATTTTTCAAAGAGCATTTTTAAAATTACTAACGTCCAATTTCATGGTAACAGAGACATTTGTAACTTGAACTAGACATTGCTTTTATCATATTTATTGATGGAATTCTCTGAAAATTAGGATATATAAAGCAAATTGACCACATAATAGGGATTATCCCCATACATTTAGAATATATGATATTTTTTCTAGTCAAAGAAAGGAATAACTAGACAGACTTTTGGAACAGACGAAAATCTCAAATTTTCAATATTAGGTACTATGTATATCATGGATAAATACAAATGAATCACTATTGATAAAGACTAATGCATCTTAAAAGAATGATTTTATCATAATATTGTGGTAGAACTGACAAATATATGACCACATTATCATAATAACTGCAAATATGCATAAGAACTAACCTCAGTGGGCTCTCTACTGTGTGTTTGAAAATTATATACAGGAACTTCAACTATTTTTCCTTCTTTTAATCTTCTAAGTGTGGCAATAAGTAATTCAAAATCAAAGGCATCCGGGTGATCAAAATTATATTCGTTTCTGGCAGCTTTATCATGTTGTTCTTTGTTCAGGACCTGCATTAAAATAACCATACAATTATACAAAACATTGAAGATAGGTTGCTAGGCAACAAAACATATGCCCATAGAAGCTAAATTGCCTGAGCAGTCAACAAGGGTTTTAAAACAATCGGATGATAACTTTTGGCGTTGGAGCATTCCCAAGAAATTGTGGACGAGGATTGTACAGACATAGATGGGTGTGACAGCAATATGTGTCCACATTTTGAATTTTGGTCTTTAAAAACAATATTTTGTTTGGAAACAAAGACAAGACAGGTCAATTTATTTCCTAAAGTCAAGTGTACAGCGCAGAAGAAAAAGTATTTCAGAGAGAGAGAGAGAGAGAGAGAGAGAGAAATGGGGTTTAACTCCACTCAACACAAACTAGGTCATTTTGGGACTAATTAGGCCTATATATTGGCTACCGGATACTTGTTTTAAAAAATTCCGCTTTGCAAAAGTATAAGAGAGAGAGAGAAATGGGGTTAAACGTCCACTCAACACAAACTAGGTCATTTCAGGACTAACACATGGTTCAATTTTATTTCAATAATTTGCTTGCGTGTAGGCGTCTTTAGCAGTTGTCACGTACAACCGGGGAATCGAAACCACGCCAGTTGACTCAATGACAGACCTCATGATACAGCAAGTATTTTATTATTTATCTCTTGACAAACCATTAACAGAAATAAATTTGTACTTGAATGAGGATAATCATAATATATTCTAAGAAACTAACATTATTATTAGAGAAAGATTTTTCTGGTCATTGTCTGAAGACTGCTAAAGATGTCTTAAATAAGAGGAATGAACCGTTTAAATATATTCCTACAATATCCATCCTGAGGCTTGCTAATTAAGAGGAGCATACAAATTCCCTTCGGCCATACATAACATTGTTTTTGATTTTTTTTAGAAATAATTATAGATCACCATAGCAACAACAGGAGAAACTCATAGAATTCAACTTATTTCGTTTTCGGAAGAAGTACCCTAAGTAGAACTGGAGGCTAAATTTGTCTTGTTGTTTGACTAAGCAATGGTAACTAACAGAACATACAGATATTATGATAAGAATATTTGAGCCCCTACCTTGTAAAATGAGTCCATACTCAAAAGACTAACCCATGGTACATCTAATGCTTCTATAATTTTTCTAGCTACTGATGTCTTTCCTGAGGCACTTCCTCCAGATATTCCTTTAAAGAGAATTCAATTTCTAATGAATGGGGTTTATCAAATACTACGTAATGAATTAAAATGAAATGCACATGCAGCTTGATGACAAAATATAAGCAACCCTGTCAAAACAATTAGGACATTAATCCCCTATTCATTCATTCATTAAATACTTTCGCGATTCAATTTTACAAGAGATTCCAAATCACTAAGATGACTATTAGCAGCTTCAGTAAAAATGTTTCTTTTTTAAAAACATGCTATACAGGATAAATTCACTTAGGTCTACATAATTTAATTTGAAATTAAAAAATTGAATTTGTGCATTTTATCAAACATTTTTATTATTCTGGACTTGATGAACAGAATACTGCACTCAAAGGATGAAAGCAAGTCATTTATTGTTAAATAATTTACACATTGGCATTGCTACAAACATAATAAGCATAACAACATTATATTTACCTATAACAAATGGTTTTTTCAATTGACCCTGAGAATTGTACCATGGTGGTCTTCCAGCTGTGTATAAAGTTCTACTACCACTATGTACAACACGACCACTTGATTTAGCTGAGCCTAACAGAGATTTGGCCTTCTTTTTGGCAGCAGCAGATTTTGTAGGACTTTTGGGAGATTTAATAGGAGATTTGGGGCCACTTTTTATAATAAATGTTTGATCTTCATCTTCTCCACTGAAAAATTTAAAAATAACTATATAGAATATTTATATAATTCTATTTCACACAATATTTGCAACTCCCTTTAAAGTAAAGAATAAAAAATTTTGATCCAATTAAACATCAGTTCATCAGCAAATGTACAATTTTTTAAGATTTGTAAAAAAAAAAATAAGTGCACACAACTTAGAAAAATATAAATGTATAATAATTGTCAGTGAATACAGTTACAATAAAGGACAATATACTTTGTAGATTCTACATCAGTGACCAATTCTGCTTTCGTTTTTTCTTCCATCTTATTCACTGCTTTCATTGGACATGCTCTCACTTCGTATGGTATTACATGTACTTTTATACAGTTTAATACAGATTCAGCCATTTGCACACAAATAATACTTTATAAAATAAGCCAACGTAATCAAAACATTCATTCAACAAACATACACTACAGTTATGACACCATTCCAATTAAAAAACTTAAACAGCACTCATAACAAATTCCAAACATATTTTAATTGTGTTATTACACTACTATGTTCTTATCATTTTTGAAAATTACAATTAACTGATGTCAAGTAATCAATTATCAATAGGACTATTAGTTATACTCTGGTTACAGTTAAAGCACTCTACTGTCAACATTACCTTATTAACCATTTAAATGTTTAAATAATATCCCTTTCAATTTCAAACTGTAAAGCTATACATGTATTTAAGACTTTAAAGGGAAACATTTGTTGAAAGATAACAATTATTAAATCTAAAACATACATTTTCTCAATTTCCTCCCCACTGTTACTGGTATTATAATTCATAGTGTATGTAGCTTCACTAAAGACACAATATATGAGTCACTCATGTTCTACATGAACATAGCCTACATCAAAACATTTACTTCAACAGACATGAATGTTTCCTTATTACAAGTGTTTCCTTTACACTAATTACTCAATAGTTTTGCTGTAACTATCATATTTTATTTTCTTAATAGAAAACCAGTAAAATTTGTGATTGCCCTCAACAGCTGATGACAATCAAGTGTCAACACAATGACATTCAAAAATAACAATCAAAATTCAACATTAAAAAAATAACTACCCTTTTAAAGTACATCATGAAGATAAAGGACATATTTTTTTTACATATTCTTTCACGACCAACTTCTTTTAGGATATTACAATATCATAATTGAATAGAACAGAGTTTAACTTGAACGTCACTTTACATTTTGAAACTCAAAAAACCTGTGTATTTTCTCTTAGATAATACATGTAGTGGGATGTCTAACACATTGGTTAGCTCTGACAGCCAAAGGTCTTGATTGCTCAACTCCAAATAATATCCGCTTCAAGGAATATTGATGAACAAGGTGGATTGTGTAACACTACATGTATGTCATGACATAAAAATTATTGTCTCGATCCACTAATTCAAACCAATTTCTATATTTTTCCTCCCACTCAATCGAAACATGTACATAAACCTTTGTATGGCCTTTGGGAGCCACGGTGGCTAAGTGGATAAGATGCTGAGATGCTTGCTTGCTAGCCCGGGGGAGTGGAGGTTGCGTGTTCGATCCCTGCATTGACACAGAAAGTTCATCAGGATTTTCCAACATGATTTCCCCTTGTCAGTGGTGCAGGATGGAGGGCCTGACAAGGACAACTGTCTAGTCATTTGGATGGGATTAAAAACCAAGGTCCTGTGTACACATTGGCGTACACGTAAAAGATCCCTTGGCAGTAGGAATTCGATATAAGGACATAGTTCCGCTGACCAGGCAAAATTTGCCTCTTAGCACACTACATTGAGAATCATAAACTAAGATTTTTTAAATGTTGAAATATTTTCATCTCTTTAAAATTGTGTATCAGATCAACTTGAAGCAATCACTTTATTCTTTTCTCCAAATCAAAGAACCCAAAGAGTTCTGTATTTCAAAAGGATAGTCTGCCCCTCCCCCTCCCCCAAATAAAAAACAGGATGTCAGATTCCTTGTCAATATTAGAGTGCCATTTGGTATCATGAGGAGCCAATCCCCATGGTGGCTTGGTAAGTAAGGCGCTGGCACACTAACAAGGGATTGGTCACATTGGCATACACATAAAAGTTGTTATTTGAAGATGCGTCGACAGAACAGCAAAAATACTCTGCAATGGTGTAAGCCAAGTTGGTGCAGAAATGTAAGACGTTTCAATTCATTTGGTATCATAAATTGACTCAAACTTAATCTATTCATAGTTTAGGTGGCAAACTCTTAATGAACTTTGAACCAATGAAATCTTGGATACATAATCAAGGGTTGACATCGAGATAGTGACCTTTAATTTAACCTTTCTGTGTCATATTAAAAAATCAAATTAGTTCAAATCATATTTCTGTGTTGGAAATGGCCACTAAAATCTACAATACATTTAAAAAGTAGGCTGCACAGTGCATCTGTTTGGGAAAGACTTCCCTCACAACACACTGTATGGCTTATGCCAATCTTAATTACTCCGATTGGTACAGAACAGTAGGTTGTTTCATCTCATTTCACTTTGTAACAAGAGCATTGCTAACCCTGCAATATACGTCCACATTCCTGCTTTGATTGGTATGGTACTTTTTAAAATGAAGAGAATGAAATATGAAATGGCTGTAATATGATAAAAGGCAAAGAAGGCTAGGCATTGGGTTTGTTTTGTCAAATTTACAGACAAAATATTAACAAAAAAGTGGGTATGAGTCTTTACGGTATAAGGAATAAATATGCAAAGTTCCAAGATGATCCATTCAGAATTGCAGTCTGTAGACGATAAATACAAAAATTGGGTGTGGCTCTGCCCTTGGAGGTTGGATATGGAACAATATAAATAGGTACCACCCTGTTATTGAAATGATTGATATGCTGAATTTGAACAAAATCTGTTTATTATTGCAACCTGAAGAGTATTTACGAAAAAAAGTGGGTGTGGTATCACACCCTTGGGGGTTGGGACATGCACCAAAATAAATAGTTGCTATCCTTCAGAATATGGAATAAATATGCAAGTTCCAAGATGATCCATTTAGAATTCCAGCCTGTAGACAAAAAACACAAAATTTGGTCGTGGCTCTGCCCCTGGGGGTTGGACATGGACTAAAAGGTACAACCCTATGCTGGATCATTCCAAATTGGATCCAAATCTGTTAATAATTGCAACCTGTATATCATTTACAGACAATATCAACCAAAAGTGGGTGTGGCACAGCAGAAAGGGCAGGGAGGTGGGGTGGAGGAGGGGGTCGTGCACCAACATCAATAGTTGCCATCCTTAGAGTATAAGGATAAGAATATCAAGTTCCATGATAATCCATTCAGAATTGTGGCTAAATGCAAAAATTTGGCTTGGCTCTGCCACTGGGGGCAGGGTATTCACCAAAATCAATAGTTGACTCCGTTAGGATAAGGAATACATATGCCAAGTACCAAGTTGATCCATTCAGAATTGCAGCCTGTAAACGATAAACAGGCTATAAGGAATACATATCCCAAGTTCAAAGACGATCCATTAAGAATCGTGGCCTGTAGGTAACACACAGAGACACAAAGAAAAAAATGGGTGTGGCTCTGACCCTGGGGGTTGGGCAATCACCAAAAAACAATAGGGGTCATCCTTAGGGTATAAGGAATAGGTATGCAAAGTTTCAAAAGGATCTGTTAAGAATTGCGGCCTGTAGGCGAAACATAAGACACACAAACATTGGGCGTGGCTCTGTCCCAGGGGGTCAGGTATGCACCAAAAATAATAGATGTCAGCCTTAGGGTAAAAGTATAAAAAAGTTTTCAAGATGATTGATTAAACATTGCAGGCTGAAACTGACACACAGACACGCAAAAAGAAAATGAGCGTGGCTCTGCCCCTGGGGGTTGGGCATTCACCACAAACAATAGGGATGTTCCTTAGGATAGAAGGAATAAGTATGCACAGTTTCAAGATGATATGTTAAGAAATGCAGGCTGTAGATGACACACAAATAAATACAAGAAATGGACGTGACTCTGCCACTGGGGGTCAGGCATGCACCGAAAACAATACGGTAGGGATCATCCTTAGGGTATGAGGAATTAATATGAAAATTTTTCAAGACGATCGATTAAGAATTGTGGCCTGTAGGCGACACACAGATACACAAAAAGAAAATGGGTGTGGCTCTACCCCTTGGGGTTGGGCATGCACCCCAAACAACAGGGATGTTCCTTAGGGTACAAGGAATAAGTATGCAAACTTTCAAGATGATACGTTAAGAAATGCGGCCTGTAGATGACAAACAAACAAATACAAGAAATGGATGTGGCTTTGCCCCTGGGGATCGGGCATGCATCAAAAACAATAGGGATAATCCTTAGGGTATAAGGAATAAGTACGTAAAGTTTCAAGATGATCACTTAAGAATTGTGGCCTGTATTATGAATGTGGACATATAAAGATAGGTTGCCAGGCAACTAAACATACGCCCACAGCAGCTAAATCGTCCGAGCGGTCGACAAGAGTTGTCGTATATTTGTTCTTTTGTAGGTAATTAGGGGGCATTTAATAGACAATTTCATACAGATGACATTATAATTTTCGTCGTTTGAGGGTTCACAAGGTTCTAAAAACTAAAACAAGGGCTGTAACTCTGGAAGTAATCTACAGAAATTGTTGAAATTCGACAGACTTTTTCGTTTTACTAATTCAAATAATACATATCAATTTCATACAGATCAGATGATAACTTTTGTCGTTCGAACGTTCACAAGATTCAACAAAGTAAAACAAGGGCCATAACTCTAGAAGTAATTGACAGAAATTGCTGACATTCAATAGGTTTCTTCATTTCACTAATTTAAATGATGTATATGAATTTCATACAGATTCAACAAAGTAAAACAAGGGCCATAACTCTAGAAGTAATTGACAGAAATTGCTGACATTCAATAGGTTTCTTCATTTCACTAATTTAAATGATGTATATGAATTTCATACAGATTGGGTGATAACTTTTGTCGTTCAAGCGTTCACAAGATTCAACAATGTGAAACAAGGGCCATAATTCTAGATGTAATTAACGGAAATTTGCTGAAACTCAATAGGCTTGTTCGTTTTACTAATTTAAATGATACATATAAATTTCATACAGATCAGATAATAACTTTTGTCGTTAAAGCATTCACAAGGTACAACAAAGTGAAAAAAGGGCCATTACTCACGGTGTAATTGACGGAAATTGTTGAAATTCAATAGGCATCTTCGTTGCATTAATGTAAATGATGCATATCAATTTCAAACAGATCGGATGATAACTGTTGTCATTAGAGCGTTCACAAGATTCAACAAAGTGAAACAAGGGCCATAACTCTAGATGTAATTAACGGAAAACGCTGGAGTTCAATAGGCTTCTTTGTTTTACTAATTTAAATGATGCATATAAATTTCATTCAGATCGGTTGATAACTTTTGTCGTTAGAGCGTTCACAAGGTGCAACAAAGTGAAACAAGGGCTATAACTCCAGACAAAATTAACGGAAGTTGTTGAAATTAAATAGGCTTCTTCATCTCACTAATGCAAACAACATATATCAATTTCAAAACAATCAGATGATAAATGTAGTCTGTAGAGTGTTCACAAGAAATTGTGGACGACGGACGGACGGGGGCGACGGCAATATACGACCACATTTCCATGTGGGCGTATAAAAATGCAATGAATTAAAATGTCCCTTGCTGTAGTTTTCAAAATGTTCTCCATAAAAACTTTTGTATAATGAATGAAATACATTTAGGTTTTATCATAAAATAACATGTCACCCGTGACCTATATCATGTTTTGACAATTTCTCAATAATATCAATATAAAAAAAAATGAGGGGGGGGTGTAATTATGATAGAGAGTCTATGTACAGGTTGACAATTTATTTTTATATTAATTTGATTCAGAAGTGGTAACAAATCATAATATGAACCCGATCATTGCTCATTTTGATTCTTTATCAAATCAGTAAACAATTGTATTCAATTTTATTAAAGAAATCTCAAATCTGCATCAATTTAACATGCACTCAAAGTCAAAGCCATTAAAAACGCAATGCCAAATTCAAAGACTATTTTCTGCAACAACTTTTAACAATTGACAAAAATCGAGATAACAAGCATCTGTGGATAATTTCATGAAAGAATTCACTACAAATGCACAAAACCGAAACGTCAGAGAACCATGAAACAAAGCAGGGGTCAGCTGAAGTCAATATCGGGTATGTCCACCCTGAGCTCTTACACATGCCTGAAGTCGCCTTGGCATGGACTGGCACTGATGTCTCACTACACGCTGTGGGATTGTTTGCCAATGATTTTAGAGTGCCCATGCCAACTCTGCAACAGTTCGTGGTGGCACGGATTGAGTTCGAACACGTTGTCCAAGTTCATACCAAAGGTGGCGATCTTGAGCAGCGGTTGTTACAGATGGCGCTCCAGGTCGGGGTGGATCGGCAACTCTTCCAGTGGCGTGGAAGCGTTGTCTGAGGTGAGCAATGGTCTATGGGTGGACATTAAAGTTTCTGGCGACGGCTACCTGTGAAGCCCCCTGATCCAGCATGCCAATAGCTCTGTTCCTGTTTTCTTGTGTAAGGCGTGGCATTTTTCTGAAGTGATGAATTTTGAAATTTTGATCTGTATTTAAAGGGCCAGAGTGCAGGGAATGCACGTGCAAAACGTGTGACATGGGACTGCTTAAAAAAGACAAGTGTTGCATTTGCACGAACAAAGTTCATTACCGAGAACTCCACAAAAAGAGACCCATCACAAGTTTCAGCTATGTGCCATGATAGGAAAGCCCAAGAAAATGTTTACCAGAAATATTTCATGGAATTAGGCATTGCGTTTTTAATGGCTTTGAGTATATATCTGGGATGGCTACTAGCCACTATATGGAGTTCAAACATTTCTGATCTTTGAAATTTGATTGCATAATACATCTTTTCCTCCCCACCCACACTAACAGTCAGTAGATTGGTCTAGCACGACTAATTTCAACCCATGGACATGTAACCTACTTTGCACTTGTTGTTTATGACTGCAGTCTATTTTATTGAACTTTAAATGGTTAGAACTTATGGATGTTTTGGTTATCTAAAATGGGTTGGGGTTTTTTAAAAAATGGAAATATTATTATTAATAAATTACGGAAGTTAGACAAACGTTTCAGTCAGTGAGGTTACATACATGTACATGTAGGTTCTAACCGGGGGTGTGACAATTTAACCGATACTAAAATAACAGTACAGTACCAAATACTACCACATCGTTGTTAATAAAAATGACAGAATACTTCAATTGTAATATATAAAATAAAATTTGAGATAATTCACAAAAAATGTGAATGTGACAGTCCATGTCTCGCCATTCCAGTTATCTCCCGTGATCGCCCAAAACTAACAAATATTAACCCATATAATACTACCAAGCATCAACCCATTTCTGTAAAAGTACAATTACTTGAATAACAATGTGTTAGTTTGTGGAAATAAATTACAGTAAACTTCGCATAAGTCGGATCTAAGTGAACTGACCAATTTTATCCGATTTAAGCGAAGATCCGAGTTAGCCGAAGACCGAAATTCAATCTTAGTTCACTAAGAAATAAACTGCAAGAGCCAGTTAATAACTGATTCAAAGGCACATTTCAAGCTTTTGTTCGTATATGCGAGTAGACAACTTCCATTTTGGTGCGAGTAGATAACTTCCGTTTTGTCGCCATCTTTGAAAAATGTCTTAAATTTTCTCGTACAGCAGACAGCAAGTATCGAACTTACCGGGAAAATTCTATTATGGTGTCGCGTCAAATAAACTATGTGAGTCAAAATCATAGGGGAAAGTATTTTTGGGCTCTGTGCATGGAATATCTAACCGCGTTTTTGACCAACGGGACAAAACTGACTTAGTCAAATTCTGAACATACTGCCGATCAAAATTGGGCGAAGGGAAAAAAAACAAATTAGATCAAATGGACTGAACATTTTAATCGGAGTTGAGCAAAGATCCAACTTAAGAAATCTAACTTACGCACAGAAATGTAATAGGAAAAACGTGCAGGATCAAAGGGTCCAAATGATTTTATCGGAGTTGAGCGAAGATCCGACTAGTACGAATCCGACTTATGCGAGGTTTACTGTATGTATTCATGTTTCACCGCCCCATTTATCACTAATACTATAAATATTTATTTCATATTACGCTACAATTTTTGCATTTTTTAGGAGAATTAACTCATTGATATTCAAGTATCAGGCCTTATTGAAGAATTCTGTAAATTTTGGATTATAACAAGGTACATGACTACATGTAGATGTGGTTGTATTTTGTAGTAAGTATTGCATTAGAATTTTGTTATATTGGTTTAAAATTGGTGTTTCAGATTTTTGATACTGGTACCGATACTATATAAATAGACATTCCAGTTTAGCGTACAATATTTGCTATACGCAAATTAACTACAATTTTGAGTACAATAATACATTGTAACATTGTACTACTTGTAGGCTAACATATTCAAATATTCCTGCCAGAGCTAATAGAAATTAACTGTGGTAGGGTAAAGTATTTGACTGTTAGAAACCTCTCAGTCCTCTGTACCTAAAACCTCATACATTCTGGTTAGTATTTTTAGATGTAGACCTACTGTCAGGTATTTGGTAATAGGTATTAGGTGATATGTAGGCCTACTTGAGTACTTCAGATGCTTACTCTTGAGTCTGATACTACTAGTACTACTATAACTATAAATAGACATTAAATTATAAGTTAATTACCATGTACAGTTTTGCTAATCCTCCAGGAATTTTATCAATTATATTTAAATTATTGATATATATATATGCCAGTTCTACATCACAGTGGGGTAATATGCGCTGATAGTTGATAGTACTGTGTAAAATAGTCATGAGTGCAAGCAAAGCAAAAATAAAATAAAAAATCCATGACCATACCATTCGCAGAATTTTAAAAAACCAAAACACGTGCCGTTTTGTTTTCGTGTATAAAACAAAATAAGAATGAAAGTTTTAAGCTTGCCAATACGCCAAATTAACCCAAACAAATATAGATGAGACAATAGATAGAATACCTATCAGATATAGAACTAGCTGAGCTTGGAGGGTTGGTAAATTCGAACACATTTTCCGACATTTTCAATTTTGCAATGTTTTGATTCAGTCCACTCAGCAGCAAATTTTCCGCGACTTTTAATGAATTATCATTTAATTTAAACATCATGTAGGTAATTTATTCAAATTGTGGTAATAGCTAACAACGAAATTTCCCATTATAACTCAACTAATTAAAGAAATCTATTTAAATATATTGGAAACTGGTTCGGGCTAATATTTTATCCCAGCGTTGATTGGCTGGTAAGGATCAGCAGACGATCACCCTGTTTATTAATGGTTTTGGTGTGATGAAAAGCATGGTATGATTATTGTGAAGGTTGGAAAATTCAGCAGCTTAATTAAGTAAAGTGGTAATTAGACATCAACTTTAAATGGTATTTACTCAGACGACAAATAACAGAAGAGTAAGGATTGATTAAAAGTAACCAACCCCCTATATTGTGGTTGTTGGTAGTTTTCCTTCCAAACGCCAAGGCCCGTCTTAGCTAGATCTAAGTCTCTAACTCAATATCATCCAAAATCTTCAACATTGAAAACACGATTTATTTGCCAAATTAAATCAACATTCATGTACCGGGAAAAGATGGGCTTTTGATATCCAATATTTAAGACAAAATAAACATTTTACCATTGGTACACGAATCGTGTACCATAATGCGCTTCAGCCCCAGTTGTTTCAAGAGACTCGAGGGGACGAGGCTAGACACATTGCACCAAATCAAACGGTGTATGCGTAGACTGGAATAACCAGACGCTAGAAATTTGCACTCGCTTGAGACTGCTGGCTTATTTCGCCGAACATAACTGATTTGAAATTAGAGTAAAAACGGAAACCATTGAATGTAAATCAGTTTATATACAATATTCATATTACAGTATATGCGTTGCGACCCACTTTTGTCAATTTCTAGGTCCCAAATGTTAGTGATTTAGCTCCTATAAGTCTTCTAATTCTATTCTAAAATGGACACTGGCTGCTGGGTTTTTTAAAAGAAAATAGGCCTAAGGCCCTAGTCGATAAATTCTCTACATGTCACAATCTATATCTATTTACACATCACCATAAAGAGCCAAGAAAATGATCAAACAAAATTTATGTACTTGGAGCCACTTGACTAAGCACTAAGCCAGTAGGCCTATAGAGTATAGGCCTACACTTTTACAGCAGATTCACACCTGTCACCAGTCAGACTGGCAGTCTGATTTAAAATGGACTGGACCTGATGTTAACTTAAACATATATTATGCAAGATCTTGAGCTAAATCTGCCTATTGCTTGCAGGTCTTTCTTAAGGCTTGAAATGTTATGTAAACTATTAATTAGACTTTTATTAACATGACTAGACCATAATGCCATAATCAACTCTTGATTGATGTCATCGGATATCTCCGATAAATAGATTAGAAATAGAACGGTTCGGCCATATTTTGATTTAGGCCTTTAAATCTAAAAATGGTGAAGCGAGGCTAAGCTTCGAACAACCAGTGCGGTGGTTGTAATTATTGCACACACCTTGTCAAACCTTCAAACGCTATAGTATAATATCTTTGCTCGCAATGGAGCAATATTTGAATCAAATTTTCCATAAATTCATTTTGCATTATCTATTTTGTAACTATTATAGTAGCCTAATTAGAATGGCCAGCTCTTAATCAAATCTTAAATAATGTATCTTTAAGTTATTCACTCAAACTAAAGACAAAGTAGCCTATCTATAGCGACTTTGCCATTTATTGAAAATACACAGCCGGGATGTGTACTTCCTGACGCCTGGCTGATTTCTTAATCCCCTAATAAAATAAAACAATTAACTACGTTGTATGTCGGAATAATTTTTTTATATGAAATGAGCAATACAAATTGGCATAGCTTAAAAGAGTGATTTAACTTTAGAATTAGAATTTGTTTTATGCCATTATTATAACCATCACAGTCTTTGTATAGCCATATGAATTCCTGTATCATTTCGATCAGAATGTATTGAAGTAGGGCCGCCTATAGTAAATAAGCCAACAATACACCTACCGTACAATAATTAATAGGATTCCAATTAAAGCAAGATGAAATTGTTATCAACGCCGCTAATTAGTAATATATGAACACCAAATGGAGCCAATATAGCTTTTAAATAATTAATTATGTCGGCTTTTACGAAACAAATGGCCGGGTTTCAAGTAATAATCATTTAAATTAATTTGATCAACATACCAGTATTTCTATTATTTATATTAATATTGAACATTTAGAAAATGGAGGAAGAATAAGCTTATTTAGAGCAATCCTCTAATATATATATAGTAGTTTTTTCAATTCGGATAAGATTTGTCAAGACGAATGATTGCTATAGCCCCACCATATATGTTTATCCGTATTTATCTCACACAATGCACTCTTTTCGTAACAAAACATCCACATCATTAGTGGAGCACATGTAGCATATATTCACATTTCCTCTAGCAGTGTTATGATTTAGAACAAATGAGAATACCGGTACTCCAATTAGTAATCAATGTTTTGTATAATATAGCTTTTATGAGAATTACATCTGTTAATCTCACCAATTCATTAGCACCTTAGTCATCAGATTAAGATTGTTGATTGGGTAATCAAGTTTAATTAGTTTCTTGGTCCTCAAAGAAGCCACCATAGCTATGTGTGTTTTCTGTTATAATCGTCACACGACTGAATTAGAGTAAGGTTTAACATTGCAAGGTGTTTTTAAAGACAAACTTTGAGAACTGAATTCCCATGCCATATTTGATTCACTCTATATTTACTTTGAAATTACATGTTAAATAGGCCAGATAATGCTGTTTATTGAATAATTTTGATTGAATTTAAGTAAGCACAAGTTTCCAAATTAAAAAGATGTTGGTGTGAGCAGACGACAAGAAAGCCACAAGTCTGCCTCTTTCAGATTATTTTCTTTAAAAGATGTTCATAATGAAAAAGGAATGAAATTTTGTGTTATTTGTTGACTAGCTGCTAACTAAGTTTAAGCATTAACTGATATGATATCAATAATGGATGGTTACGAATTTATGATTGAATTGCAGAATTATATTTTGTGTTTGAGTATTCTGAAACATTCAATAAAGTTATGCCAGGGACCATAACAAATGTATACAAATCTCCATAAATAGATAATGAATATTGAAAAGTTCAGTCAAATTGCTCTATTCTAAACAACGTTTAACAAGAAATACCTGGTAGTGTAGATAGCCTTGATTGTCAAGTACCAGTAGTAGATCTAGATAAGAAGTTTTAAACCTCATCTCTCCACCCTATGTGTCTCAAGATAATTAAAGTGATGGTACTAATACTATACCATTCTATATGGAAGAATTAGATATGAATCACATCGGAATTCAATAAGCAAAACTGTTAATTGATTATTATTATTTATTACATTTCTGCCAAATCCAACTACAATTAAGCATATAGGCGGGGCTTAATATAAGCTTATGTCACGTTAATCAAAATATGCAACTTTAGACAATTTAAAATCGCAAGTGGAGAACCTTTATGAGTCATGTGTGACTATAATTATAATGCACCGTAAATATGAATGGCCCTTCCAATTCTGTGCAAAACACAGCTTTACTGACAATAGGCCTATTTGCATATAAACAAAAGTTCATATCTATATTTTGTTTCATTTTTTTATACTTTCGATGGCCTAAACTACATGAAGATCTGACAGGTTGTACTGTGAGGCTGCGTCAGGGGTCGTACAAGCGTTTTTTTATCCTATGATGTCAGACATTGATTAATCATCAGCATTGACATTTTTAGTGGTTTACCCACAGTTCATTGCATTGCACTCCAAGAACTGACTGTAACGGACCCTTTCATCGGCTAATCTCTCACTTCAACAAAGACGCGGGTTATATAACAACTCTTCCAGAACCTAGTGTAGTAAGGAAAAGTAAAACGAAATTTTGAACTATAAAAAACGAAACGAAATAGGATCTGTGTTTTAATCAGATTGTATCACTGCCAGATACTTTTAATTAGTCCTAATAGTATACAATTAACTTATTTTTAAGATGTTACATGCATTATTTTATGCAAGAGCTAAATCTGCCTATTGCAGGTCTTTCTTACGGCCTGAAATGTCATAGAGAGAGAGAGAGAGAGAGTTTAAGTCCACTCCACACAAACTAGGTCATTTTGGGACTAGCATATGTTTTAATTATATTTCAATTTTCTATTTTCTATTTTCCATAATGGCAGATATTGTCTAATCCACTTAATATCTCAGCTATACAATGGCCTAGAGAGTTTATTTGGAGCTTGTCATGTAAATAAATGTCTAAATAATAATTTATACTGTATAACATATGAAGCCATAAAAAGACATATTCATCTGTAATTAACCTAGATCATTAACCTTATGGAGATCATGAACTTTAAGTTATGGGGACCATGCTTAGATAAAAGTACATTATGGACTGTAATCCTGTAAATTCAAAAACATGATTTTTTATTGAAAATCTGTTGAAATACCATTTTTAAATGAAAAGCCAAATATTGTGAAAGTAAATATTCTGTAGGTTTAACAGTATGCGCCACTATATTCTTTTATTTTGTAGGAATTTGCTGAATTGATGACTTAAAATGTTGTTCAACAGCTTGGTTCGACTTGGAGGTGACTATGTTTCATTTGATGGCCTACCCTCCATAGTGATGTTATCTGTTGGTTTTATTGTTGTTGCTCTGTCTTGCCTTTTCTTCTACATTAGAAATATCAAAAAGGTAAATTATTGTAAAAGAATAAAGCTACTTCTAAACAGTGTGTTGTATGACTACAAGTCAGCATGGAGAGTGTGGAAGGAAGGAACAAAAAGAGATACTTGTTTGTATGTTGACATTCACTGGATGTATGTTGTAGGACATTCTTCTTCTTCTATTAGTGTTTAGCCTCCGCTTCCATCGATGGTCATATCGCAGACAAATTGTTTTCTGTTATTAAGTTTGGCGCAAGTGCAAGGTCTTTCCCGTAGGAGGAAATCAGAGTAAACCCACGAGGTTGAGAAGACGCCCCTATCTCCAAGCCACATACACTCACACCAGAGGTTGAAGCCAGAGTTGACCAGCCATGTAGGGCCTATATCTCATTAGTTCTCGCTCAGGAAATCAATTACCCTGTATCATTTGGTGTCTTTTTTTTTTCAGATTATATCAGTTATTCGACCTGAACATAGTTTTACAGATAAATCTGAGGCACCTGAGATTATCATCATTGGTTCTGGAGTTTTAGGGTCTTCAATTGCTACTGTTCTGGCCAAAGATGGTAGACGTGTTACTGTAATTGAGAGAGATATGAAACAACCTGATAGAATTGTAGGAGAATTATTACAGCCAGGAGGAGTAAAAGCCTTGATAAAACTGGGTTTGGGTGGTAAATAATGCATACTGCAGATTTTTCAATATATGTTGTTTTGTTTTTTTTTATATCAGCCTTGTTATTAGTTGGACTATGCATCAACCGGCAAAGAATAGTGTCAATATATACCATGGCCTAGGCCCTAGGCACACACATCCCAAATAATTGAAGATTTGGGTTTTGTGCCCCCCCCACCTCCAAGCGTTATCTTGTTCCTCATGCACAATTGGTGTTCACCACCCCCTTGCTGAAGCTAAATATAGAATATTTAAATAAATATTATAACATTCTAATTAACATTTAATTTTTTTTTTGTTTTTTTTTTGGTTAGAATGTCTTGAAGGATTAGATTCTCACCCAATCAAAGGATATGTCATACATGATTTAGAAACAGAGGCAAAAGTAACCGTTCCTTATCCAAAAGATCAGGATACAGATGAAATAATACAAGGTCGAGCATTCCACCATGGTAGATTTATCATGGCCCTTAGAAAAAAGGCACAAGAACAGGAAAAGTAAGTGTAGTCTTTCAAATGTTGAATCTGACTGAATGACCATATAGTTATTATACTAATTCAACAATTTCCATAGTAGATTTTCTGAATAAAGACAGTGTGATGGATTAGAAATTTTCACTGCATCAGGTATTAGATGAACAAATTTCCTTTTGGTTTTACTCTTCATTAATTTATTTTGAAAGCTGATATTGGTAGGATAGTCTTTTATCTCATTTGAAAATATATCTTAACTTTGTTTTACTGATTTGTTAAAATGATAAATTGAATTTTAATTTAGATGAAAAGACATAAACATAATTGAGTACGGTAATGTGCGGCATTCACAGGGCATACAAATTAAGATATTCCTCCATTGCAACATTGTCATCGCCTCATCGGCTATAGTTATAATCTAATGGACTTATGCACCATGTTCATGTTCATAAGACGTACCGGTAGATGCCTATTGCTTTTCACCAATTTTCATAACTCAAACAGCGAAATTTATTATCTGATTACCACTACATGATTTGCATAAATCTTAGTAATAGGAAGAACTAGAATCCATCAAATTTTAATTATTTCTGATAATTACTTAATGGGTTGTTAACTCTTGATCAGTTGAATACTTCCTTTATCTACAAATTGGGCGTATGTTTCGTTGACTGTCAACCTATCTTAGTCTTGGTATTGCTACCATTACCTACAAAATAAAGATCTAACCGCCTTTATAGACTGCTCAAGTCAAATGATGTATATTAGCTGTTTTGGGCTTATATATTTCTTTGCAAGGGAACCTATCTTTGTTTATTTACAAACACATGGGACATTCAAAACAAAAGGTGCCTATTAACAGATCACCTACCTATACTGTACATTTGTGTGTTACATTTTTGTCAATATTTGAATTTATCTAATTTTTTAGAATAATTTGCAATTGACTGCTTTTTTTCTTGAAGTAGCTAAGTCCATAACCCAATATCATCCAAAATCTTCGACATTGAAAACACGATTGTTTTTGCAATTTAAATCAGCATTGGTCTTGTGATCTTACCTGGAAAAGATGGGCTTCTGATATCCAATATTTAAGACAAAATAAACATTTTACCATTGGTACACGAATCGTGTACCATAATGCGTTTCAGCGCCATTTGTAACAAGGTGCTCAAAGAATGAGGCTTGACTCCGCTAGACATGTTCCACAAGTCATGTCAAACGGTGATATCATATTCTTATTTGGAGAGCATGCGCAATAAATCGGTTTTGACTGGAATAACCAGACGTCGAACATAACTCATGACAATTCACAGTAAAACGGACACGATTGAATGTAAAACAGTTTATATAAATTCATATTACATTACTATATGTGTTGCGACTCCTTTGTGCCAATTTCTAGGTCCAAAATATTAGCGATTTAGCTCCTTTAAATTGAACCGTGAATGGAGTTTGTATTAACAATGTGATTACTATGATACAAACATGGAATTTACTATATTGGTTACATTAACTTATTAAATATTTTGTAACTAATGGATTGAATCTATTATTAATTGTTGCAGTGTCACATATATTGAAGCCACTGCAAGTAAACTGATAGAAGACAAAGGTGTTATTGTAGGTGTTCAGTACAGAGAAAAAATGTCAGAATCAGCAAAGGTATTTTTATACACCCACATTTTCATGTAGAAGTATATTGTCGTTGCCCCTGTCCGTCCGTCCAAAATTTGTTTGTGAACATTCTACAGGTCACAATTCTTATCCGCTTTTGACGAAACTTGAAATATAGGTTTATCTCCAAAAGATCTTGGTTCCTTTAGATATTGGCATGTATCGAATCGAAACTCCATGGATTATGGCCCCTTATTGTACGAAAAATCACGTTGTTAGCTTGTGGACCCTCTAGAGGTCACAATTTGTATTCAATTTTAAAAAAATGTTTAAATGTATCATCGTTATAACCTAATGACGGTTACTTTCGAATTTCGTGAAAATTGGACTGAAACTTCCTGACAAAATGGCCGCTCCTTTGTATGCGAATAGTGTAAAAGTATGTAATACCAAGGTTATGGACTCTCTAGAAGTCACAATTTTTATCCGATTTTGATGAAACTTAACATATACTCTTCAAAAAAAGTAGGGGATATTGAAATGCAAATACCTATGCAGGTTGTGATATGATAAATAGTCATGGACACTTGACATGCTTTGAGAGTATGTTCACAGATGAAGAACTTATCGCCCCAACAGAACCACTGAACTGCACATGCGACACGCAATAGCGTCATACACGTGGGTGGGGTTCATTGTCAAATTTAACACTTCAAGAAAGGGTTAATGAAAACTGCTGCGTGCTGGTTTATCTATCCATGTTTGCTTTCCTATCGGTTCTTGCATAAGATTTACTGTTTACCGTATCTTTGCTTTAGTGTGTTACGTTTAATTTGATCGGGAGACGTGTTCGTCGACGTCAACATCAACCAACAACACTGCAGAATTGGCCGTGGCACTGCAAGAGGAGTGGGTCAGATTGTCCCAAATCGTAATTGGACGGTTGATTAGGAGCATGCCACGACGAATTGCTGAATGTCTGAGGATTGGTGGAGCAATTACTCATTATTAATACAAAAAAATCAAAAACGTCCATTTTCACTTTTGACGGTGTATCTCTTTGAGAGTGAAATGGGGCCGTCAGTTAAGCCGCTCATATGAACTGTTTATGTCCATGTGTAGGCAATTGGCCTGTTATTAACATACACTGGTTACCTCTAATTAAAAACAGCAGTGCATTTCCGCAGTTTTGTATTGTTTTTGAATATCCCCTACTTTTTTGGAAGAGTATATATCTTTATCTTAGTCCTTTTCGATATTTGCGCATTTAAGACCATAACTTCCAGGATTATGGCCTCTGATTATATGAAAAATAGCTTGTTCTCTATCCATCTCTTGCAAAATGTGGACGTGACTTGCCTGGCAACCGCTGGTTTAACATTTAATAATATCTTTTTTGAAGTGTACTCTTAAGTATTAACCATGCCATTGAAATAGCCTAAAATTATCTCTTACTAAAACAATTTGTCATAAAATCAGCCCAGAACTTAAGAATGTAACAAATGCTCCACAGCCACAGGTCTACAATATGAATAAGGCAGCGAAAGTCACATCATGCTAGATACCGAAAACTAAACTATGGAATGAAATGGGACTTTAATTTGATTTCTGTCATCGTAAATTTAACAAACCCGAATCGGATTATCTACATGAATAGATGTTTCTGTTTTCAGGAAATCTATGCTCCATTAACAATTGTGGTAGACGGATGTTTCTCCAAGTTCAGAAAACAACTAGTCAAAGAAAAGGTGGAGATTTATTCTCATTTTGTTGGAACATTGATGGTGGATTGTCCCCAGACTTTATTGAACCACGCTGAGCTAATCTTAGCTAAACCTAGTCCAGTTTTAATATATCAAATATCATCTAAAGACACAAGAGTATTAGTTGATGTAAGGGGAACAGTGGAAGGAAATATGAGAGAATATATGTTACACCAAATAGCACCCCAATTACCAGGTAATTTAACACTGTAACCCAGGTATCATTTAATCTTGTGTATCTAGCACTAATTTCTTTCACATTCGTTTAATATCCAATCTTTGTTTAAAAATTTGTATAAACTGTTTAAAATCACCATAAAACGATTAATTTGTACTTCTGTCCAGTTAAAAGCTGAACATTCAATTTTGATAATGAGTGTCCAATTTACAAGTGTTAGGCACAGATGCCTGTCAGGAATATAGAATTTGTATATTTTCAGCAAAACTATAAAACCATTCCTTTAATAAGAGTTTGATGTATCTGTGCTTACATATGAATGATATGTGTATCATCAGTACTCCACTAGATTTTGTAATGAGTTAAAAAAAATGAACACTGAAACTTAACAGTGTATTACACACCATATATAAGCTTTTTTTTAACAAATTTTATATTTTAGATCATATAAAAGAGCCATTTATTGATGGTGTTATTGATGGACGCCTTCGAACAATGCCAAACAGTTTTCTACCTCCAAGTCCCATAGAAAAACCAGGTGTATTGGTTATTGGTGATGCTCTTAACATGAGGCATCCTTTGACTGGAGGGGGTATGTCTGTAGCACTTAACGATGCTGTTATGTGGAGAAACCTTCTCAAGTCGATACCAGATCTCACAAATTATGAAGCCTTAATCAAAGCCTCCCGTGTCTTCCAATTAAGAAGAAAACATAATCATTCCTTTGTTGTAAATGTGTTAGCCCAGGCTTTGTATGAGTTATTTGCAGCGAGTGATGGTAAGATGTGAAATAATTTATATCTAACCAAGGACAATTAAGGGGACAATATTCTGGAATAAATGGCAAATAAAGAGTTTAAGAAAAACACAACTGTGCATATAGAACATTCCTAATGGAAATTATGTCCCTTTTGCCGATTTCAATAATTTCTATATATTCGTGCCATCATATTTGTGGCTCTTAGATATTTTATTATTCTTGATTTGTATCCACTCCATGATGTTATTGTCTATATTACTATCTAAATAACACTTTTCAGTCTTTGTTTTTCGTTAATTTAAATGAAAATTGTTAATCACTTAAAGATACATTATGTAAGATTTAGATAAAGAACTGAACATTTTTGCTATATTAGCTTAAAAATAGATAATGTAAAATGAAAATCTTGAAAATTTTATTCAAATTACTTCATTCTGAACCAAGTTATCACTGTTTGTAGTTTTGACAAGATGTGTGCATAGTGGTATATTCGAGACTCACATTTTTAAATTAAATTTTTAAATGGCAAACTGTTCTAATCTAGTTAAAATATTGAGTATCCAATGCCATCGAGAGTTGATTATGATCCTGTTTTGTTAATAAATGTCTAATTAATAGTTTATATAACATTTCAAGCCTAAAGAAAGACCTGCAATAGGCAGATTTAGCTCTTGCATAATGTATGTTTAATATAAATATCTGACTGCTACAAAAGTTTTGAAAAGTCCAAGATTGCTGATTCTGAGTTAAATTAATGATGTTGAATCTGACTGTTATGGTTGCACTGTATCCTACATTTTATACTGCTCTTATGGAAGAATGAGAAAAGCAGAGATTTTTCATCTTGCTTTCTATGGATCTTCTCTAGAATTCCTTAGCTTTAATTCTGGTATTCATTGTTTATTTCAGTCCATTTACATAATTTAAAGAGAGCTTGTTTTGAATATTTTAAACTTGGTGGTGAATGTGTGTCCGGTCCTGTGGGTCTTCTTTCTGTGTAAGTACATTTTTATACATCAAAATTTAATGTGGACGTCTATCTGTCTGTTCATTCAAGTTTTCTTTTGAATGCTCTTCACACTACATTTCTTCTCAGATTTTTTTCATTTAGTAGCAAGGAAAATGCCTAGCTAAATACAAATGTTTTTGACAGCAAATTTTAGAGCCATTTCTCCATTTAAATTCAAGCTTGTGAACATGCTATAGAACTTAAAGTTCTTTATGAAATATTTTAAAACTCTGTTGGGATTGATCATATTTGGACCTTTAAAGCTTATGATCGAGATACAAATTCTACGAAATAACAGATTATGAGAATGTGATATAGGACAAAGTTCTTAATGGCGTTTTTTAAGACTTACGGAAATTGGTTATTAAGTTGGATTTTGGGTAAGCAGAGATAAGCAATTTGATTGATTGATGCTTTGGGACACGATAACTTTGGTTTTAATTAAGTGAGAATGATGAAACTTGGTGTATAGGTTCATTACATCAATACTCTGACTAAGTTCGATAATGAGCATTTTCTGCTCAGGGTAAGCAGAGCGATATGGTAATTTGATTGGTCGAGACTTTGGGGCTAGATAACTTCAGTGAGAGTGGTGAAACTTTGTATATAGTTTCATTACACCATACCTTATGTGATACCCTCAATTTGCTTATTTTATTTTTATTATTATTTTTTTTTACAGAATGACACCCAAGCCTCATCTTCTAATTGGACATTTCTTTGCTGTAGCATTGTATGCTGTGTTATCAGTATTCCGTAGTGAACCTATTTGGGCCTTACATCGTGTTGTGTATCGTTCTTTTATGATTTTCTATAAAGCATGTGGTGTTATTTTTCCTTTAATGTGGTCAGAACTGAAAGGATTGATATAAAAAACCATCACATTTCACATTTTTTTTTTATAAATGTTTTTTTTTTATAAGATATTTTTTTTACAGTGGTGTATACAAAATTATAAGAGAAGAACTTTATATATAATTTAAATTATATGAAAATTTTTATTGACGTTTTTGTGTAAAGACACTCACTCACACCATTTTACCTGTGGAAGAAAAGTTAAATAATATATTTGTGTCTGACCAAGTATTTTACAAGAAACATATGATTTTAACTTTATCATAGTGAATGATCCATTTTCTCTGTTATCACACACAAATTACAACTAGAACTGCGAGGTGATACTGATGTGTTTCGCTCCCTCTAGCACCAAACAGGAACAATACCACGTCACATGTGATCCAATTAAGCCATGTTTGGTAACGTCATATCCCGTCCACAAGCCTTCGTGCATGCACAGGGGGATGGAACTCAGTCGGTGGAGTGCTGGACTTGTAGGTCAGGGGTTCGAATCCCAACGAGGACAAACTCAGAATTGTTTTCTCTATATATATAATGTAACAGTTATAATTTATACTTCCGTCTGTGCGTACTACACAATTGGTTAAGAATAGTGGATGATAGAAACTTTCAAAGTTTTATCACTATAAAGCTATACCGCCGCTACCCAAAAACTATCGAACCAGTTTCTATAAGTAAGTAGGCTGAAACTTCCAATTAGTGTTATCTATATAGTACTCCTGAGTGATTTTACCAGTACAAGGCTTTCAGGTTGCAGTTCTGTTATTTAGAAGGAATGGAAACTTTGCTAAAGAGACAGACTGGTCAATCGGTATTACCAACCCTTTTTAAACAAGGATGATTACAAGATAATATGACCTACATGCCAACTGTCAAAACATTTATTTATACATTTATACATAATGGAAACAATATGTACCATTTTGCGATTTTGAAGGCATCGACAGGCCCTAATTCCTACCAAGTTTCAACCTGATACCTGAAATTGGGAGAGAGATAAGCCATCTTGAATGTGGAAAAAATGCTTTGATTCTAAAACTAAGCTATCAAACATCCTAATTCCAAAAAAACATCATTTAGACTTAGAGCCCCTATAGTATTTGTCCAACTCCAAAGCACCCAAAAATGAAAAAATGAAAACCCAACAACAATCCGTTTAGAAATAATCGAAATAATGGCAGTTTTTGTCCTCTCCATAAAACTATTGCCATTTGTCAAAAATGACCCAATTAATATTTAATAAACAGTTCCGTGGAGGCCAATAATGGTAATTTTTTTCCTATATATAAAACTATTCTCGTTTGTCAAAAAGACCCAATTTATAGTTCCATGGAGGCCAATAAAATCTGTGTGGCAAATTGTTTGCACCATGCACAGTTTTGGCTGCAACTTCTGACTTCTGTATTGTCTGTAATCACTGCTACTTAATTTTCACATAACCCTACTGGTGGCTTCACTAATCCTTAGTTGATTAGTTCCTCTGTAGATTATTACCCTCTTGAGTCCATGTCCTTTGATCTTGTTGTTGTCGTGTATTACTATTAGCTTGATAACTTGAGAGAATACTTTTTGAAACATTGTCTCAATAAATTAGTAGCTGTTTTTCCATGAGTATGTTTTATTGTTTGTTGCTCTATCCAGTTACTAAATGCCTCTAAAAGATTACAATTTATCTTTAAAGTTACAATTTCATATTTTCTAAGAAAGTCAAAACATAATTATTTTTATGTCTTTTGCTCAATAGGTTGTCAACTCACTATTATACGATCATAGGTGTCATTCTCACACTTAAAAATCAAAACACCGGAAATAGTAACACAATTACCTCCCTTGTTTTCCTATTCCCCACCATGGTATAGCTATCTACAAACGTTTGAATTTAAAGTTGAAAATGATATTTTTGCCATTTTCTCAACTGGCAATAGTGAATTATAGGATAAATAGTATTATTCTTTAACAAGGTAGGACTGTTTATAGATACCATCTATTTTAGGGCTTTATTTTAATACATTTTAAAAATATAACTTAAAAATATGAAATTGTAACTTTAAAAAAATAGTTCCATAGAGGCTAATAAATCCTGTGATGGCAGATTTTTTCCACCATGCACAGTTTTGGCTGCAACTTCTGATTAAAATCCTTAAAAAAAAAAGAAGCAATAAAACGTATTTTGCAAGGAAGGTACCAAAACACTTAAAAATAAGGTAGTGAAGGATTTTATCAAGTTAATTTTCATCTTGATTACAATGTTGACATAAAAAAGTATTTCAAAATCTTATTTTTTCTGTTTTAAATCTTTTTAACATATAGATATTCCTGAATATTGAAAATTGAATGTTGTTATAACAAGGTTCTGTTGATATTTTTAGATACATATATATTTATGAATTAAATGTCATTGTTATAGTTATATTCAGAGATTTATTACATGCATACCCCCCAGACCTTGTCACTTGTATCCTGGGTGTGACTTTCATATGGTCATTTTGTAAGCCCTCATTTTAATGTGGTGTTACATTGCCATCATAATTGTCTGCCCCATAAGTCTGTCGTTCACATTTCTTGTCGGCACAGTGGCAATCTGATTAAAACACAGATACTATTTCGTTTCATATTTTATTGTTCAAAATTTCGTTTTACTTGTCTTTACTTCACTAGGATTTGGAAGAGTTGTTATATAATCCGCGTTCTGGATGATGAGAGGGATTAACTAATGAAACCGTCTGTTACGGCGAGTTTTGGGCGTGAGGTGCACAGAACTGTGGGTAACCCACTAGAAACATCAACGCTGATTGGTTAATCGAATGTCTGATGTCATAGGGTGAAAAACTGCTTGAATGACGTCTAAGAGGACCTTCCTCTACAAACGGTCAGATCTTCATGTTGTAGAGGCCATCGAAAGTATAAAAAAATGAAACGAAATATAGATCTGTATTTTAATCAGATTGACACAATGGAGGCTTCAATAATCTGCATATCTTTTTTAAATTGATATGGGCTGTCTATATTATTGAAAAGAAACAGTCGGTTGGTTTCCAACATTTTCCAGTAATAGAACTAAGACTAGTAATTAATTTGCCCGATTCCATGATAGATGAATGTAGTCTTAGTTCGTCTATTTATTGCAGTTCTTTCACCCCATCCCCCACCCCTTTGCATGACAGTTGTTGACTTTGGGGTCAAGAATTGAAGAAGATGTTTTGAATTGACATGTGGTGAATGGGCCATCAGGCAGAAGATTAGAAAGCAAACGAAATGAAATGAAATGGGGTTTAACGTCCTACTGTTCTGCTCCTATACTGGGCTAATGAAGATGGGCATACGCCTTACAGTGTGCTATGAGGGAAATTTTGCCCGGACAGCGGCACTATCGCCTACTCTTATATCGAATTCCAACTGCCAAGGGATCTTGTACGTGCATTCCAATGTATACACGGGACCTCGGTTTTTTGTCTCATCCGAAGGACTAGACATGAAAAATGGCAGCACACCTGGCTAAATATATATGAAAAATATTTGAATTTTGCAAAAAAACAAAACACATGGCAAGTCATATGCGGCATACAACCGTAGACACAGACTAGTCGTAGACATATAGAATGACTCAAACTAAATAAAGAAAAACACAGTTATGAGTGAAAAAACTTTATTGCAGTTATTTGAATTTCATCAGACAAATAGCTGGTTTCTTTAGTGAGAAAATTTCTTAATGTGCCGTTGAAAATTTCGCGGCACACTTAGGAAGATCTCTCGGCACACTGGTTGAGAATCCGAGGTATAGTATTATACTAATAACTGGAGGCTGCGGCAGTACATATAGGACTGGTAGACTAATCACCTGAATTCACTCATAAACACGCGAATTCACTTTGCAAATGCCAGATTTCGCCCGCGAGGCCTCTCTATTTACATATATTTTGCATTAATGTTAATGATGAATTACTTTATAACACCGGAATTCACTTGGAAAACATATAAACACCGGAATTCCCTTTCAAAATAATCAGAATTCGCCCGCAAGGCCTCCCTATTTACATGTATTTTGCATTAAAATTGATAATGAATTACTTAAAAACACCAAAAATCACTGGAATTCACTTTGAAAACATAAACAGCGAAATTCACTTTGAAAATGTCGGATATTTACTAATATTTTTCATTAATAATACATTACTTTAAAACACCGGAATTCACTTTGAAAAAAATCGGAATTCGCCCCCCTCCCCCCACTTAAAACAATTGTATTTACTTATATTTTGCATTAAATCCGCCCACAAATCTAATTTATTTCAAATGTATATAATACATACTATATGTTATATAACGAATAACTATTTCGATTTCTGCGTACAGACCCGATGAAGGTGCTGTAGGTGTATTTATTTGAAAGACTACCGGAATTCATTTCAAATATGATAACGTATACGTATGTTACATTGTCTAATGAATAACTGTTTCGATCTTTCAATAGATTATATATTCATTCATTCAGTCAGCAGTCGGTGAATCATTTTATTGAAAGTTGAAAGAGCTTTGTGGGAAAGTATCTTTTAACCAATGAATATATTCTGCAATCCCGATAAACACCCAGTCTGTTAAACTCCCATTCGATTTAACTTTTCTGCTGTTCTACTCTTGACAGGTTTGGCCGATAAGTTATTTTTTTGTATGCATCTACATTCGTCCACAATTTATTTGTGGACACTATACAGGTCACAATTTTTATCCACTTTGACGAAACTTGAAATATAGGTCTATCTCCCAAAGATCTCGGTTCCTTTCGATATTGTGTCGGACCATATCCTCATGGATTATGGCCCCTAATTGTACGAAAGATCTGGGGCCTGTATCACGAAATTTTAACTAAGATAAAATCCAAATTTTAGTAATTTGATTGGATAATATTAGATTGATTTTAGTGCTAAGCCAATCAAAATTGAAGTATCTACTAAAATTTGGATTTTATCTTTAGTTAAAATTTCGTGAAACAGGGCCCAGGTCTTTAGCTTGTGGACACTCTAGAGGTCACAATTTTGAGCCGATTTTGATGAAACTTAAAATACATGTTTATAACCCAAATATCTTGTTTCGTTTTGATATTCGCGCATATCGGATCGTAATTTCCTGAATTATGGCCCCTCATGATTTTTCGAAAAATCGCGTTTTTAGCTTGTGGTCCTTTTAGAGGTCAAAATTTGTATACGATTTAAAAAACCGTTTTAATGTATCACCGTGACACCCTAATGATAGTAGAGTTCGAATTTCGTGAAAATCGGACCAAAACTGCCGGACAAAATGGGCAAATAGTGTAAACATCTGGTATATCAAGGTTGTGGACATCCTGGAGGTCACAATTTTGATCCGATTTTGATGAACCTTGAAATGCATGTTTATAACCCAAAGATCTTGGTTCGTTTCGGATATCGGATTGTAACTTCCTGAATTATGTCCCTTGGTTGTACGAAAAATCGCGTTTTGAGCTTGTGGTCCCTATAGATGTCACAATGTTTAAAAAAAACATAAAACGTGTAATATCACAGTTATACACTAATGATGGCTGAGTTTGAATTTCGTGAAAATCGGACAAAAACTGACGGACATAATGGCCGCCCCTTGTTTTTATCATAAAGATCTTGGTTCCTATTGATAATCACACATATCGCACCCATATCGGAACGTAACTTTGGATTATGATTATTTGTGCATTTCAGACCATAACTTCCTGGTTTATGGCCCCTGATTGTACAAAAAATCGTTTTTGTTTTTAGCTTGTTCTCTATCCATCTCTTGCAAAATACGGGCGTATCCTGCCTGGCAGTCACTGGTTTAATTTCACTGAAAAAGAATGCCGCACAATATTACACCGGTAATATTTTTGCGCATGTCTCCAGATATATGTCCACTTGAAGCGGCTATCATCACTAACCTAAGTCCTCTTGAAGGGGCTAACTTCAGTTGAATCGGGTGACAATTTGGCCCTAAATGTCAACCTCAAGGCAGATTGTTTTGGACCAGACTCATCAAATGGGATTTCAAAGCAGTAGTTGCAGGTTTCGGTGTCTTTGCCCCGTTTACTACCGTGGCCACTGTTCGCAAGAATCCTTTGTATTTTAGCGATTTCTAAAAATACATTCCAGAGTTATTGCCCTTTACCACATTGCAGAATCTTGTTATTTACTGCTACGGTCATTGCCCTTGCTCACTTCGTAGAATCTTGTAAACGCCCTTGCGATAGAATGCTCTGTTTAGTCTGCATGATACTTAAATGTATTGTTCAAATTCAAATTTACACATTTTTTAGTTATTGCATAAAGTTATGACCCTTGCCCGCTTTGTAGGATTTTGTCAATGCTTTAATCAATTACAACAATTTCTTACAATTATTTCAATATTTATTCCCCTGATTGTTTACTACTACAGTGTTATGAGTGTTCCAGTGATATTTTGCAGTTTAATCGTTTTACTTTTTATTTACCCAAGGGATCACAATGTGACAAACTTTGAACTCCTTCGCGACCGGAGTAATCTTGTGGGGGGCTCGGGACAAGTCAATGGAGGGGGTGAATTAAAAGAAAAACATATGGTCTAGTGCGGTTCAGGCCCACAGAAGAATTTGAAAAATAGATTCGATTTGGTGCATTCGAGGTATATTCTGGGCGTGTAACACAGGTTAAATAAAATAGAAATATTGAACATTTTTGTTTTATAGAAAATATGTTCCAATGTACGAATATCAGCAAGTCCTTTTAAAGACAAACCGTCACTAATGTATGAATGGTCTGACAGTTCCTGACAAACTGGTGCCACTATAAACATATAGATGTCTACCAGCCAAAGTCAAAATTACCCATGAAGCCCTTTTTGGTGTGAAAGGGGTCCCATTGAATGCAACGGCCACTATATAGTTATAATGGGGATCAGGGCTGGACTAACCATTAAGCTAAATAAGCACGTGCTTAGGGCATCATGGGAAGGGAGGGGCACCACCGAATTTCTGCTTTGTTAGATGAAGAATTCAAAATATTTGTAAGAACTTTTAATTAGTTTTTCATTGTTTTTTTTTGTTTGTTTTTGTTTTGTATTTGTTTTAGGTTGGATTTTTTTTTTTGTCTTTTCGTACTGTTACCTTCGTTGTCCGAATATATAATTACGTGTATGAAACCTCAGAAAACTTAAACCACGTGCTTGGCGAATTGTTTATGGTTTATTATTGTTTACATTTTGAATTGTATATTATATGGGGGCACCAGAATCTTCAAAGTGCTTTGAGCCTTTATAGGTCTTAATACAGCCCTAAATGAGGGCCCAGCAAGACCTATCCCCGAGTTAAAGCGTTCTTTATACACCCGTAGAGTTAAAATCTGTTTCGCCCTATAAATAACCTTTTGGAATTTGGCCTTATTCATGGTTACATTTTACAACATATTTTAAAAATGACATTTTTATTTCCATCACTCCTCCCCTCAACTTTATCATTATTCTGTCTATTTCAATAATATGTTACACTTATCTACCGTGTGAAGAAAACACAAATTGTTTGTCATGCACACTTATGTTTTAATTCTTTAACATATTTGGAGTGAAAAACTAAAGTTGACCTAACAGTGGTTCTCACAATGGTGTAAAATTCACCTGAAAGATGAACGAGTTTAATATTTGTGTTTGTATTCAGTGTCTGGACCAATTATGCTCCTTTTCAGTATACACAGTCTTGAATGGCTAAAACTTCTTCTTGCTTGTTTTTAACCGTCAACAAATACTACCAGCAAAAAGAACACCATTGGATTGAATAAATACAAACAAGTCGCCCATTGTTTCAAAACTATCGTATACACGTACGGCTGCTGAAGTCAAACAGGTTAGAAACTCCAAATACGTGAGTCTGGATAATCTTTTTGAAGTGACTTTCAAAATAGATTAATATAAAAGCAACTTATTTCTTTTAGTTCCGCAATTTGTTCATAGAGAAATTTTCCCTGGAAACACATGACTATACTACGGCACGAATCTGCATGGTCCACAATTCCACGCGTTCTTTATACATCGTTTGCCAAATATTTTACATGTTTATGTTTTAACACGTCAGTGTTAGGGTTGATTTACTCAGAAATTTACAGAACAAGGAAAGGAACAGGTACACTTAATATTTACAACTACGAAAGGAAAGTTAAGTTTCATTCAATGAACACTATTTTCGAGACACCAATGTCAAAACCGAAACTGAACTCAAATTTGTTTTAAAATCATTATTGATGCTTGTTTTGATATAGATTTATAGCTTTAAGATCATCTACAAAAAGGTGTTTAAAAAAAAAAAATCTGTTTTTTATTATTCTCATATAAAGTGATTGTGACAATATTTGGATATTGAAGAACGTGGAACTAAAATGTCTTGAAGGTAGCTTTCTTCCAGGAAAAATGGTATGTATATATATCTTCCCTGGTTTTACCAGTATATAATCCAGTGTTAAATTTTCAAATGAATTAAAAAAAACTGTAGACTATAGTCCCATTTTAGAGAAAATTATTCCTACTGTCGGGAAATGATAACTGTTTGTTGAGTATCAAACTAAATCACAAACTTCACATAGTTAACACATTTTTCTTGTACTTTTGTGTATAAAAAAATAATATTCAACAATTATTGCTATTATAGCTGATGTGGTAGTCCATCCGTGTGTGCCGGAATATAAACTTCAGAATTTTTTCTTAGATGTTAGAATGGAACGTAATTTAAGGATTTTTATTTAACTTGCAGGGTTTATTACGAGGAAGGGAGTCGAGGTGGTTTAGTGAGTAAGACGCTGGCTCGCTAACCAACAGGTCGCGACTTCGCTCCCTATGTTGGCCTAGAAAGTTCCTCGACATCCCTTTCCAGGGATGCGGGACAAAAAACCGAGGTGCCATGTACACATTGGCGTGTACGTAAAAGAACCCTTGACAGTAAGATTAGGCAAAATTTCACTCAGAGTACACTGTATGGCGCAAGTCCGTCTTCATCAGCCTAGTAGGACGTTAAACCCCATTTCGTTACGCTTTGAAAATATGTTCTGTTTAGCAGCTTGGAATCTATGTAAGCAAGAATAAGTTGTCGTCGTTAAAGATACATTATGGGAGATTCGATAACGAGTTGGCTGTTCTCACTGTAATAGTTAAAAACTAGATAATGTAAAGGCAATTTGTTGAAAATTTCATTCAAATTGATCCACTATGAACCGGGAACAAAGTGATTGAATTTCCGCCTAGCCTTGATCATCATTACTAAAGTCAGTACGATAAACAGCATAGTCTTGATTATCCATTTAATCGTTAAATCGTGAAAGAAAGTTATGCATTAAATCGGCTCATAATCCACTAAATATCGCAGGCTAGCGATGCCATCTAGAGTTGATTATGGTATGGATAGGTTAATTAATGTCTAATTAATAATTTAGATAACAATTCAGACCTAAAGAAAGACCTGCAATAGACAAGAATGACTAGCTCTTTATCTAAATCTTACATAATGTATCTTTAATGTAGGTAGCCTGCCAATTTAAAATTTAGAGTTTGCAGACCTTGTATCACAGAAATGTGTAGACTACATTTTTCACAAATTTTATTAGTGGTGGAACTTGCAGGGTTTATTATTGCGTCATAAATACGTGCCCTATTTATTATTTTAGAATTTTGATGACTACTCACAGCGTCATTGTTTTAGCCAAGTTTAAGATTTAAAATTTTTAAAGAAAATTGTCTTTGTGCCCTTACTTAAAAAAAAAATGTTCTAAACAATGAAATCTATAGCAGCTTTGGCCTTTGGGCCAAATTGGATAGAAACTTGCAGGATGCAAAGACGATATGGAGCTGTGTCCAGTGTTTCCTGACTAACAAATTAAAACTTAAATTGGGTATATTACCTATTCTCTGGAACCTCGACAAGGGCGGATCTAGTAGGGGCGCACGCCCCCCCCCCCCCGATCCCCTATCTAGATTTCTGACTGAAAAAGTCCCATTATAATTCATTATTTTAGAATTCATGTCTCAGATCAGGTTTCGAAATTTTCGGGGGGTGGGCGCTTTTAACTGAAAAAATCCCATTATAATTCATTAATTTAGAACCGGATCCTTGTTTTAGAGATCACTAAAAATGGCATTTGCGGCCTTCTAGTTTTCGAAATTTTCCTTCGCCGCCCACGCCCCCCCCCTTCCTCCTATCCATGGTTTCTGGATTCGCCCTTTGTGAATTTTGTACCTTAAAAAACAAGCGGTTGCCATGCAAGATACGTCCATATTTTCAAGAGATGGACAGAGAAAAAGTTAAAAATGTGATTTTTCGTACAACCAGGAGCCATAATCCAGGAAGTTACGATCCGATATCAGAAGGAACCGAGATCTTTGGGATATAAACATATGGTTTTTGTTTCATCAAAATCGGGAATAAAAAGGACCGTAATCCGGGAAGTTACGATCCGATATATCAAAAGGAACCGAGATCTTTGGGATATAAAAATATCATATTTTAACTGTCATCATAATCGGATAAAAATTGTAACCTCTGGCGGATCCACAAGCTTGATAAAACATACTTTTACGTTATTTGCGTACAGGGGGGGGGGGCGGCCCTTTTGTCGGGCAGTTTCGATCGGATTTTCACGAAATTCGAACCAACCACCATTACAGTGTAACTGTGATATATTTGAACGGTTTTATAATCAAATAAAAATTGTGACCTCTATCTATAAAGGGTCCATAAGCTAAAAACACGATTTTTCGTTCAATCATAGACCACAATCCGGAAAGTTACGATCCGACATGCGCTAATATCGACACTAACCGGGATCTTTGTGATATAAACACAGATTTTTAAGTTTCATCAAAATCGAATAGAAATTGTGACCTCTAGAGGGTCCACAACCTTGGTATTACATACTTTTACACTATTTGCGTGATCGAGTTTCACGAAATTCAAAATCAACCAATTGAATGGTTTTGAAAATCAAATAACCGGCGGTTGCCAGGCAAGATACGCCAACATTTTGCAAGAGATGGATTGAGAACAAGCTAGAAACTATTTGCATACGAGGAGCGGTCATTTTGTCCGAGAGTTCTAGTCCGATTTTCACGAAATTCGAAGGTTTGTTTAAATCGTATAATAATTGTGATCTCTAGAGGGACCACAAGCTAAAAACGCGATTTTTCGTACGATCAAGGGCCATAATTCAGTAAGTTACGGCCCGATATTCACGAGTATCGACAAGAACCAAGAACTTTGGGTTATAAACATGCATTTCAAATTTCATCAAAATCAGATGAAAATTATGACCTCCAGAGTATTCACAAGGTAAAAACGTGATTTTTCGTACAATCAGGGGCCATAATCCATGAAGTTATGGTCCGATATATGCCAATATCAAAAGGAACCGAGATCCTTTGGAGTTAGACCTATATTTCAAGTTTCGTCAAAATCGGCAAATTGTAGATGGACAGACGGACGGACGGACAGGGACGGCGACAATATACGTCCACGTGAAATGTGGTCGTATAAAAATTGAGTAAGCGCTATATCCCGTTAAAATCACAAAGTTTGTGTACCTATATATCTATTTGAATCTAGATTTTATGATTATTGCGTTATTATGGAAAAATTTTGGAACATACCATACTTTTCTAGACAGGCCCGTTATCTTCTGTCAAATTCTTAGCTCAAAACTGAGACATAACGCCCGGTAATTAAGCTAGCATTAGTATAAAACCTTTTAGATATTGGTTGCCGAACCATTTTCAACGTTAATTAACCCCAACTTCTTTTAATCCTACAGAGCTTCAAATTTGAACAGCTAAGTTAGATTATACAATAACAAAGAACATCACAGGCTTCAACAGCAAACAGTATTATTTGATCAGCTCCGAATGAAAATGGCTTATTTCGTTGGTGCTAGATAAACCTGGCCATCAATGGTGTAATTCAATTTCCATCGCTTTTTGTAAAAGAAAAGTTAAAATTGAAAAAAAAGTATGAGTTAATGCCCGTGAGAACTGAACATAATCTGCACCCTTGAGTATACATACATGTTGTAATGCCAAGTGCTTTAAGATTACTAGACATCTTTGATACGGTTCAAAAACAAAATTATCGGTTGCATTGGATTTTATATGGGGTAACAATCTGAGGAAAATATGCTCGAACAGTAGCGTTTACTTCTCTACTTCCAATTCTTTCGGTGTTATTTCACGTGCGTGCCTATGTACACGGGACCAAGGGCTTTCGTCCCATCCGAAGAACTAGATGATTTCCTTTGCCTTACCCCCATCATGGGTCATTGGCTAGGGGAACACAGGATGGAAAATCCCCAGGAAGCTTCTTGTCCAACTTTGAGATTGAACCCTGGACCCCATCTCATACCCACTGAACCACCGTACGCCAGCGCTTGAATATATAATCGATTTTCTGTTTTCAGTTATTATTTCAATTATCGATTAATCCTTCCAAACAAAACTTTAACTGAAATAACTATTCAGAACGTAGAATTAAATACTTTAATTTGACCTAATTTGACAATTAGTTCAGTCCCTCCAATATTTTTAATTCATTCAAACCTCTAACCAGTACGACCCTTGTGGACCGAGAAAGTTCATCAGCGTGGTTTCCGCTGGTCAATAATGCAGGGCGGAGGTCCCATGTACACGTTGGTGTGCATATAAGATGACAGTTGGAATTCGAAATAAGAGTCCGTGCGGGCAAAATTTCATTTATAGCCCACTCATGGTGTATGCCCGTTTTCATTAACCCGGATGGTGCATACATATAATGGAAAGTGAATCACAGTTAACAGGCGCGGATCCAGGCGGGGGGGGGGGGGCAGGGAGGGCAGGGGGCCCTGCCCCCCCCCAGCCCCAGTGAGACTGGTCATCACTGTTCAGATCAGCACCTGCAGCCAGCAATGGGATTCCCAGATTTTAGTTTCTGTTTAATGAGGCCGCGACTAAGACTCTGGGGACTACACCAAACCACTAATGCATGCGGCACTCTGATGATTACCCTTTGCTCCAATGTATGCCCCCCCCCCCCCCCCCTCGACAAAATCCTTGATCCGGGCCTGGTTAAATCACCAGAAACGCACCATTATAAAGACACTAGAACCAGAAAACTGAAGAGGAAAAAGGACAATCCAAAATAATTGAAATCATGAAGACATCGAATCAAAATAACCATTTGGGGAATTACACTCGTTAAAAATATTGTCAAGAGATAAATCAAAGAATTAGAACGTGACTAGACAGAGAATTAGAACCAAGACAATCCAGAGATTTAGAACCATAAAGAAACACATATAGAACACAGAATTAATCATGACACATGCAGAGAATTAGAATCGTCATAGGTCAAATTATAATTCTAAAGAGCTAAGAAAATTAGAAATATTCGGAATCGGATTTTCCGAAGAAGAAAGCAGAATTGTTAAATAGGTAAGCAGTAGTGAAAAGTTTAAAGACCGTGTCAGTTAAGGGTATTTTTTTAGAAATCAACGCTGTGAACTGCGTCATGTATTTAGTTGTTTGTTTTGATAATCGTGACGCAAATACTGAAAACCGATATGTTGTTGACTGACCCGGTTCATTGGTCAGTTTTTAGGAAAATAAGTTCGAAACGGCCAGTCTTAGAAAACATCCTATTTAATATAACAGTTTCAGACTTTTTTTCTGGTGGGAATATGATTATGTGTGAAAGCTATGACGATTCCGGTTATTCTTCTTAGAATTTCGACTGTCCCATCTGAATGACTTGACAACGTTTTAATTGTCAACCAAGCAGGTGCTACCTCTATACTGATCGTGATAAATCCATATCCACATTTAAACATAGATTAACCCTTTCTCTTTTGTTTCACACAGATTGATAATGATAAATCTAATGTAAACTATGAATAACCATAAAATAAGCTAGAAATGTCCGATTTGTATATGTTATCTACAAGCATGAACTTATACAAACGGGTGAGGGGGGATGGATGGCCGAATGGTTAGCACGTGCGAGCTGTATCATAAGGTCTGTCATTAAGTCAACTGGTGTGGTTTCTATTCCTCGGTGGTACGTGTAGGGTCTCTCTCTTTCTCTCTCTCTCTCTCTCTCCACTAAATTAAACCAAAAACTAATATCTACTAAAAATCAAGGCATTTATATAGGTGATTTCCGGCGATTGATGAATGGTCTCCTTACCCATTGTCCCAAATAATTGATCTTAAAGATATATTCCTTGTATCGTGTATCAATAATCATTTCCGTATGAATAAGAAATCAATTTTTGTTTTGACTGCGATTTCAAAGTAGACCGAAAAAAAAATTCTGGCAGTTGACATGAAAATATTTATTCATAGGATTATCGGTATATTTACTTTTGATTTTCATCAAATATTGATAGTTGTTTCATCTTTTGACTCATTTGACTTGTCTAGGCTTTAAGGCCTGCATGTTTTATTTTATTTGAGAGAGAATATGGTGGCTATTTGCCAACTGAGTAGACGAGATGGTTGGGGTATTTAAGCACACTTAATTTTACACAAACATACAAATTCTTTCATGAATATGCAAAATAATATGAACATATCGTGTTTTAATGTTCACGCGATACTAACCATGTCATATTGGGACTAACAAATGGTATATTTTCATTTCATTAATTCTCTTGTCCACGGAAATTGGGAAGAACCATTACCCATTGTTCTCGATGTTGTACTTTGCTACTATTTATTAATTGTTGACATTTTCTGAATTGACGTCAACTGGTGGACTATCGCCATTCAAAAGACGACTACCGCCAAGACCGGCCACATTATTAAAATTCTATTACGTCTTTCTTATAAATCATTCATTGTTTTGTGGGGGGGTTTATTCATTGTGAGTGAAGTGTGTGTCATTACAGGCCTGTGACTGTAGACAGCAGTCGACGCTTACGGCTTGCCCCCGTATCCATTCACTTGATTTGATATTTGTTGTTTATTTCTTGCAATGATTGAATGACTGTATAGGTTGTCTTGTCCGCACGTTTTTCTTATCGATTTTGTATAAATGTAGCGCGGTTCTCCTGCACTTACTATTATAACCGGTCTAGTGAATTACAAGGCACGCGTTAGTCCAATCGACAATCCACCCATACGACAAATATAGGGGATCGCTTTCTGAATACTTTTGGGCTACAGGCTACATGATAATATTACTTGTTATTATTATACAAATTGAGTATCTTTTCGTTGAAAGTCTGATTATGCAGCTTTGTTTACATTAAACAATATTATAATCCATGTTTGTTGTCGGATGTTCCAAGCAAAATGTAAACATGTTGAACAGAAGAAATCAAATCCGTGAACGGACATCGTAACTACATTTTTGGGGAAAGAAATAATTCAAGTTGTGTAAATGTTTGTTTTGAGTGAACACATTTCGCCAATCTTGTGATTGAAATAAGAAATGTGTTAAAATAAATCTTTGATAATTGTAAGTACAGACGGACGGCGCCAGACAAGACAAGATAAAAAAATTATATATCAATAGTAATACAGTTATATATGATGACAGTGAAAGATTTCAAGCGCTGAAACATAATTTAAATAATTTCCATATGCTTGCACGATTCCTTAAGAAGCCCCCAAAATATCAAAATGATTTAACAAAAAAAATTCTTCGATTTTCGGTATCAAATTTCCATGGATTTACCTTATAAAACGTTCTGAAATAAAACCTATAAAGATTTACTGTTCAACAATCCTGATACAAAATTAAATACATTTTCCTTCATAAAACATGTTCTGAAATAATAATAGATAAGATAAGATAAGATTTTATTGTATCATTGCATCCACCAAGGACAGCATACACAGTTTAAACAAAAGTTGATCATACAATTGTAACATAACATCTGGGGTGATCCTTTATGGATGTACAATGTGATATAACAAGTCTATAAGCATTAAAAGATGGTCGGTATAATGAGAATATGACAAAGGTTTATTGTTAATCAACTCTTTTACAAAACTTACAGATTTACCAATAAAACATTTTCAAATAAAAACTACCAAAGATATACTACCAAAGAAGTCGGCTTCAAAAGTGCCATACTTAATTTTAAACAGTATTCCTGAAATCATATCGGCACATATTTAAACAGTTTATTACCAAATTACCACAGATTTAACGATCTTCAGACAAAAAGAAACAAATTCCGACACAAAATTATTACCTTTAAAACAGATTTGCAATCAAAAACATTCTAGAAAAGAAAAGCTCACATATTTACTGTTAAAATCTTTCTGGGAATAAAACTATTCGTTTATTTACTACAGAAATCCCTACAGATTTACTGTTAAAACGTTCTGAAATAATACCACCAAAGATTTACCGTTAAGAACCCCTCGCACATGCAGATTTACACGTAAAACATTCAAAAAACATTTTTTTTAAATGTTTACTAAATTTCTGTATTTGTATTCTGAATGTTTTTATGACCAAGATATGATGTTTAAATAAATCATCAATGTTGTTTTATATTCTTCTGAAATAAGTTTGTTTTTACAAGGCTATAGGAGCAATATGTGTAATATATTTGTTGTCATGTTACCACGTTCACGAATCTTCTGGCCCAGCTTGCGGTACTATGTTTCCTTCTGGCCTTTCTGCCAGACTGCGCAAATTAACAACACCACAGTAAAACAATGTTATATTTACAGGGTCACAAGAACAGCATTTGTGTAATAATAATAGTTTTGATGTCATGCAGTCAGAATAACGGATATCCTGGGGGTGTGCCTGATTCAGCTTGTGGTTCTATGTTTCCTTCTGGTCATTCTGCCAGACCACAACTAACAACACCACCATATAGAATAATAGTTCCAAAGAAAACATATCAAGCTGGGGAAACTATTAAAGGTTTGTGTTATTTTTTAAAAACCAACACTCGAGTCCTTTCCGATGCATTTAGATGGTAGTTACGAGCGTATAAGCTCCCTTTAATGTGGACGTTGAATATCGTCACATTGTATTGTCGCCAGATATTTTAAGTTTAGTTCTCCCTTGTCATTCGTTTGAAGGTAGCCCCCACCCCACCCCGCACCCCCTTCTCATTTCACACATAGCCTTTGAACAGAAAATTATCAATGTCAGTCTCTAAATGAAATAATCAAATTGTTGTGTTGACGCGACAGCGTTCCGCGAATCAATTACTGTTATTGATGATGTCATTTCTTTTTTTTTCAAGACTAATATATTTTGATGTGATTGTTTTATAGTGATGCTAGAAGCAGAAGGCGGATATTTTAAAGGTGTATATTTACAAGCACGTCTAATAGGTTGTAATGTTAATATATCACAAAGTGTTGGGGTATTTACAGCTAATGATAACGAACTACAGACAAGACATTGTTTTGGACAGGTCCATGTAAGTATTTATTCAGTTTTTTTCTTTTTATTTGCTGTTGTTTGGTTGTGTCTAAAGGGTGCATTTTACTTATTGACATCTTTGTGGCTTTCATATATAAATCTGACGCGACACATACAAAATATATATGTTTGTGGTTTCGTGTATGTCTCCCACCTCGCATTGAACACCAACCATAGAAACGAACATTTCCATATGTTTTCTAAAAAAGACCAAAGTATTGTTTTGTTGACGGGGCATTAACCCCATTCTAGTTCACTTATTGAATGTTTTGTAATTTCAGTCAACTGTATCTCATAATTCCAATAGTGCCAAGAGGGTTAAATATGTCTACTGGACAGCTCCTGTTAATCCTTTTGGTCATGTTATTCTAAGGTAAATATTCTTAGGTTTCATCACATGAAAATGTTTAAGGGGGGGGGGGGTATTTCTCTCACGATTCCATTTATAAAGTCATTAAATTGGGTGATCAGTATATCAATATCTCTTACAGCTAGATACGACGTATGTAGAACATACTGTTTATCAGGCCGAACATTTTATCCGTGTCTTTTCAGTCTACCTAGTTGTAACTTGGTGCCCGTAAAATTGTCGTGAAAGATGTAACCACTCAAGGAAGAATATTCCATTGTGTTTTGCTAACGGGAGCTTTTGCGCCCCCCCCCCCCCCCGCACACACACACACACACACACTTTCCTCTTCGCTTGTCCACATTTAAATGTTTTGCTTTATATTTACAGGGCAACCTTTGTCGAAGATGCGGCTACATTTTGGACAAACGTTGTATCTGATATCTTGGTCGACCTACAATCTACAGATACGCCCACTTGTTTAACATCAACGATGGTACCATTTTATGATTCTGGCGGGAAAAACGTGCCAAATGGTGAGAAAGTGTTCAGTGTTGGAAGTAATGGTGCTGTACACGTTTTACAAAATATATGGAGAGTCATTTTCATAAATATGATTTTATTTGAACTTTTCGTTTGCTTTTTATAAGCTTTTTTTTTTTTTTTTTTTTTTCATTTTTTTTAAACCGAACATTAATTTGCTTATAATTTTTTATAGATAGAATATACTTATATAATAACAGTTTTTAATCTGCAGCCGAGTTCATTTTTTATTCTTTAATTTAAAAGAATGGGAGGGGAGGTGTTTTTAACGTATTAATGTCCAGGCAGTGCCGGACTGGGCCCACCTGTCCGACTGTCCGTGGGCCTAAGCCTATAAAGAAAAAAGAAAAAGAAAAAAGAAAAAAAAAAGGAAAAGAGAAAGAAAAGGGGGGGTGGGGGTAGGAAGAAGGAAGGAGAGGACAGGACACAGGACAGGAGAAAGAAAATATAGGAAAAAAATGACTGACAAACAACACAAAAAAAGAAGTGTACTACAAGGAAAGAACTTTATGAGATTGACCTCATTATACCGAGAACCGTGTAATTCATCTTTTGTTTTTGACACTGAAGAGAATTCTAAAATTCATCTAATTGTATCAGGAAATCAAAAATTTGCCTTGTTCTGCTTTGGTCTGAAATGCTTGGAAAATGGGTTTGCGGTTGTCAGTTTTCATAATTTTCCTGGAGATCCTGGGACGCTCGCGCGCCTTAGGCGCGCCCGTGACATGCCTGTCGGCGCGTACTTGTGTGGTCCTTGGTCAATGACCTGACAGGTGGGCCTCCGGCTCACCAGTCCGGCACTGTATCCAGGTGTTGGCCGAGAAAGTTCACAGGGATTTTTCGGCGTGCCGTTGCCTGGTCAAAATTTCACTTATATGGCGTATTCCCGTCTCTTAGCACAGTCGTTTTAGAACAGCAGGACGTTAAACCCCATTTCATTTCATCAAGTTATTGCACCTGACTCATACACTTGTTGATAAGTGTACTTTAAAGTAGACTACACGTTTCGGGATTACTTATTTCATTGGACTGATGGTCTATCGATTTTTAGTGTTTCCGAAAACGTGTTCGACGTATTTGATTACTATTAGACGTACATCGCTATAATCATTTTATACAGTGTTGCCATGGATGTTGGGGTAAAAACGGACCTTATCGCATTAGGTCGTTTTCTCAGAAGTACATTGTAGTTCAACAATAATAGTATGACATAAACCGTCGCCAAGAACACAGGCACTCCAAAATCCACCATTACTTGGATGAAAATGATAATCAGTGAGCAATTGACTTGCTCGCTAACCAGGTCAAGTGTTCGATCCCGTGATAGTTCCTTGGGATTTTCCGGCGTGTTTCTGCTTGCCAGTGGTGCAGGACGGATCAGTGCCTAGTCTTATGGGTGGAACGGAAAACAGAGGTCCCATGTACACGTTAGCGTACTTGTACAAGTTGGAACTGTAAATAAGAGTAGGCCGTAGCGCCGCTGTACGGGCGCTGGACGTGAATGCCCACACTGATCCGCAGTGAATATTTGCTTGGCCGCGACTATCACTGATAAGGATGACATTGATGCGGTTTAATGAGCTAGAAATATTAACTTTTTTCCTGCGACAAATTAAATTGTAAAACATTTTTTGTATATATTGGAAAAATAAATAAAGGCGTTTGACGTATTTGTAGTTAAAAATTATTTCCGATTTAGTGTAAATGGGTATTAAAATGACTAAAATGCAGCATTCTCTCCTAAGCAGTTATGTCTTATGTAAACAATGCACGCGCCATTCAGCCAATGATTCACACCGCGTGCTGTGACAGCACGTGTTAAGGCAGTCATCTATGACAGAGATATTATACGAGACTCGTAATTCTCTGTGAAACAGATTGGTGAATGCCTTGTGCTTTGTGTTACAAGTATGTGATGTTTATCTAAATGTGCCACTTTCCATCTCTTAAATAGCACCAAAAGCAAGTGGTTTTCACTTGACGTCATCGGTACTTCTTTATTTTCTTACAAAGCAGGTTGGCAATGTTTTTCAGCAGTGGGACATTTGCCCCACTTCTTCCTATACTAAAAGAAAACCTTCATAGCGCATGGCTTGACTTATGTCCATCTTCATTAGCTTGTTTGGTGCAGAAAGGTGTAATTTCAGTGATCATGACGGTATGAAACATTTCATGACACGTTGTACCCTTTTGTTCTCGAATCAATATTACAATGCAATTGAATTTCATTTAAATATATTGTTTGTGTAGACTTATTCAACTAAATACAGCCCCCTCGCCAAAAAGCAATGTTTATGTGGCTACATTAAATATTTTGCTAGTTAATAGGCAGCCAGGTGCAGTATAGACTAAAGACAATCAGACACTTTCATTTCTTAAAGGCTTGAATGTTTGCATTTGTGTCTGTGACGCGAACTTAAATTAACCCAAAATAACTTTAATAATAAACATTGATCGGGTACACAAACAAGTTCTCATGGGGATGTAGGTTTGATAAAATATTGTTCTGCAATGAAAACTGGTTATATTCGTACAGCGGGTACACCTTTTGTCAATGTTTCGTCATTTTGAGACTAACATGTGAAGAATGGAATGAGGTTTAACATTCTACTTTACTGCACCACTTGGCCTAATGAAGACGGAAATGAAATAAAATGGGTTTAACGGCCCACTGTTCTGCTCCATTCGAAAAGGAGATGTTATTTTGGTCCTTATTCTTCTTTCACGTTAGAAAGTTTTGGGTGTGGGGGGGGGGGGGTCTAACACGTGCGCTTTTGGTCAAAATTGAGTCAATTACCAGCTTGTGCCTGTCCAACCCTGTGGGTTTTCTCTGGGTCATCCGGTTTCCTTTCACTGTTAAAATCCCCTAGTGCAAGCGGATTATTGAAATAAAATTGAACCATGTGTTAGTTCCGAAATTACCTGGTTTGTGTCAAGTGGACGCTCAACCTCTCTCTCTCTCTCTTAAAACAAAATCAATGGTGAGTCTATGATGTATTTTATTGTATAAACAATATACATGTGTTTAATATAATACTGATTCGGGGCTCTAATATACTATCAGTAATTTATCTTTGGTAAACAATTTTTAAATTATTTGCTTTAATATAGTCCTTGAAATAATGTACCAGGAGGGCTAACTCACCAGTCACCATTTTGTCGGCGACTGTGCAATTGCAATAGCCAATCCTTTATCAGACTATGGTGATTTTCTAACACGCAAATGCTGAGTTCAAAGACTTATAAATGCCATCATGGTTGTGGTATAACTAGAATTCACAAATTTAGTTTGTTAAATAATAATAACACATTTTCGTCTATAGCACTCTAATTGTTTGTGTGATTCAATAATACACATTCAAGCACAATCACAGACTTTTAACCATGTCGGATTGTATATGTGATGACGACCAATAAGTTTTACTCAGGACGGAAAACTGAATTTTATCAACATATTTTCGCCATTGGCATTGGAAAACTGGAAGCAATTACTCCCTAAAGTTAAAATAGGGATACATTCGACTTCAAATCGAATATAACGATGCCTCTTGGGTTTCGACTAAACGAGATTGATGATATTTTTGACATGTTTTAAGTTATTAAACTATCATGGTTCCGATTTTTCCGCGTTTGTTTCGTCATCACTGCTATCGTCTGAATCACTTTCTCCTTGCTGTCTTTTGGCAGCCATTTCGGCTCCAGCCCTGAAATTATAAATAAATTAAATGAATAGTAAGCACTTCATCTAATCTACACGCCCTGTATAATGCAAATCGCAAATTTGATTTATCTCTAAAATCATAAAACTAACGAGTATTATTATTATTGAACTTTATGATCTGATACTGTCTTGTAGCCCTATACAAATACTTACTTGGTCCAGATTGTTTTGGGGGGTTGGATGGCTGAATGGTTAGCGTGCGCGCGCTGTATCATAAAGTCTGTCATTGAGTCGACTGGCGTGGTTTCGAATCCCCGGTTGTACGTGACAAGGAGTAGGGTCGCCTGTCCAACCCCGTGGGTTTTCTCCGGGTCCTCCGGTTTCCTCCCACTGCTAAAGACCCCTACGCGCAAGCGAATTATGTAAATAAAATTAAACCATATGTTAGTCCCGAAATGACCTAGTTCGTGTCGAGTGGACTTAAAACCCCATTTCTCTCTCTCTCTCCAGATTGTTTTGATTGTTTGGTTTATTTTGGTTTAACTGAACAGAAAGATTGTCTTAGAGGTTTTGGTTTTATACAATTGTCGGGTAATCCACGAGATCTCACGCCAAGCTTGGCGTTGTCTCTACCCCGACCCCCCCCCCCCCCACTTCTCAAATTCCTAAACAGGGCCCTGATAGACCTAAATATAAAGTTTAATAAATAAAGATCATCTGTAGTTTCAGAGACCAGGTAAATGTAAATAAACGTTTAACACTAAACCCGTACGTAACTAACGTACGAAAATTAAATGGTAGCTGGCTTTTTTTTTTCGCACGTATACAGTGAATGGCCATTTTGCTCAGTAATCCAGCCACAATTTGGCTATTTTTAAAGTTTTAAATTTTTGTTTAGAACTGAAATAAATTAACTTTTAGTCAATCCCCATGCTAAAAACATTAACAGAATTGATTGTGTATATCTGAAATAGACACGACCGAAGCACAAAATAGTGCCAATATGCCGACGTCAAATCTAGAGTTGTAGATGATGTTATTTTTGTGAAAAATCATTGGAAGAAGCGATAAGACGTTCTGTGCGGATTATACAGTCCTAAAGGCTGCAAGAAGGCTATTGTTTACAATGTAACGTTGTGTCTTGTAATGTTGATAGTGATCATAATGATGGTGTTTACATTTGTTTGTTGATGTGACCTCATGACCTGTGACGTTTAGATAACGTGATATCATGGCTATTCACTGTGTCAGAGTCACTTTTCTGCAGGCAAGGTGAGTCTGTCGTTCAGATTGACACGAAAGCAAGTTGTTTCTTCAAGCAATACACGATTATTTAAAGACCTGAAAGATTTGGGGCAGTTCATATCTTAGATTCATATAAAAACATGCTTTTTCATGGATAGTGACAAAATTATTGGGTTTGGAGTAAACTGAAACCATCTCGATAAGTCCGTATCTTGTCAATCTGTTACAATTCGATAGCTGTTTACACGAGCAATTATGTTACATAGCTACATAGCTAATAACAATAATAAGGTGTAGTAGGAAATATAAGAAAATCTTTTGAAAATTTGGAAACTTACTGGATTAGAAATTTAACGCAATCTGCATGTCCATATATAGTTGCTATTCGTCTGGGAGTATCACCATATTTATCCTTTTTGTGTACAGAAACACCAGCGGAATATAAAGCTCTTAATGCCGGGGTTCGCCCTGTTTCTGCTGCACAATGAGCTGGTGTCCAACCTTGATCTGATCGACTAGTTCCTTTCGCACCAAACTCTAATAACAGACGAACACATTCGGAATATCCTGTAAATAACCAATAGAAAATGTCGTCTGATAACCCATGAAATCAGACATCCGTGACAGGCCACGGACCAGAACAGTTGTAAGCACTACTGATGATGATCTTGTTCGACCTTGTGGCCCGATGAACAATTCCACCATTTATTTATTAAGCTGAAGAGTTCCGTTATGAAGGATTTAAAAAAAAATAATCAAGATTATTGTTAATTCATACGTCATTAACATGAACTCTTTCATGGAATTTTTTGTTATAATGTTTGGGACTGTTACGTCTAGAACCTTGTGACCAAACTTGAAAATAAATTAATTATTAAATGCAAAATATCCGTCATGAATATTTTCTTATATAGAAAATGGGGATTTTCTTAGGGGATGGGGTGGAGGGGGTGGAGGCTTTTTTTATATTTATTTTACGGGGTCACCTTTAGAACACGCCCAGTGTAAAGCTGTATAGTTGTGGTATTCTTCATCTGCTAGGTTGATGTCAATTTTCTCGGATTTCAAAAGGTCTTCCATCGCATCACGATCTCCTGTAGCCGCTGCATCATGTAGCTTTAGACCATCCATCGTTTTGAAAATGCACAATCTACAAAACAACAAAACTACAAAATTTGATATCGCCATGACGATGAATGTTGAATTTCACAGACAAGTAAAGTCGATTCCGAATTTCCTACTTTCTTAAAAAGGGCGTGACGAAACTATATGGCATTTCAATAATACTCAAGTTGAGGGCATTAGTGTCGAGTTCAAAATTGTTCATGTCTACGGTTTTCACTTATAAGGGGTGGCGTTTACCGGGCTTAGTCGTTCGAATGTGGCGGCGAAAAACGAGGTATATACATGTACATTGCGCACTTGCTTAGTGCACTTAAAGAGTCTAGTAGTTGGAATTCTAAGAAGAGGAACCTAAATGTCACTGACTGGGTAAAATGTGCACACGTAACCAATAAAATTACAGAAGGTTAGTCTCAAACTGACCTAAGTTAAGTGGTAACCCCGGATGTTAAACCCAACATATTCCATAATTTATTCACTGTCATGGGCATCTTGGGAATGGTGTGGGGCATGGTGTGTACACATCACCCAAAACAGTAAAATTTACTAAATATTTGTCGAAATGGAATGAATTTCGAATCACTGTTTTCCACAGATATCCATAGAGATCAGTGTGCGTCTTTCTATTCATGACTACTACAGATCAATGAAGGACAACCAAGTCTGTCATTCAGTATTCAATAATCAATGACCTAAGCTAGCTACAACCTAAATCAATATCAAATTTTCTATACAGATCGTTAATAATTTCAGCAAAATAGACACATTTTCGTAGTCGTCGGTGTACGTCTCCCTTGAATACAACAACACCATATATAATTTCTTAATCTCAAAACAATATTTGAAAAAGCAAATTGTTTTTCATTATTTGGTATGGTTACTCAATGTAACCTAATATAATAATAGCACCGACATAATTCAGACTTTATTTCATATAACCCACACTAATCCGAAGGTAAGTGGATATAAACTGAAAGATTTAATTATGATTACAAATAAATGAACACTTTAATACGACTTATAACTACCAATTCTAGCAGCTTATAAAACGTCCTTTTACACAATTTAGTCATCAATAATAATCTAGATATCATAGGTTATTTTTATTATAAGTACTGAGTTATAAAACATCTATATACTTATTAAGCTATCCAGTATTATCCATGTATCTTAATAGCAAGGGAGACCTCAATTACATTCACAGAGTGTTAATGGACGCTTCTTTTGTCTTCCATTATTTAAATTCATTGATTTCAAAGACATCTTATTTTACACGACGCTTTAGAGCAAAAACAATCACAGTCGTTTGTCAATCATCATATACACCAAGACCTACCTTTATAATACATTCGTATAGTAACTTGTATGCGTTCTACATGGCAACTCTTGATATTATTTCAAGTACAAGTCAAGTAGGCTGACAACAATATCAATATAGAACTACATAGATCCATATCATATATCATAGCAACGTATAACAAATCAAACATATAGCAATTATACCTATATTAACATGCTGTTTAATTATACCAACCACACTTAGAACCTATTATGTACATTACTAACGCTACACAACCAATTGCAATACAACTAGCAAGATATATTGAAAACAGAATGATTGTGAAGAAAATAGAGTTAAACCGTTCATAGAATATCAAGTCTATTAATTTCATAAATCACGACCTCTTCTTTCAATAGACACCTTGTTAAATCGGCCATACTCCAATATAAATATGTTGGTATACACTATTATTTGAATACAATAGATTAAATGATATATGCAGTCAACTATTTGCACTTATATTCCAATATCTTCCAGGAATCGATTTAAAATACAGTGTGTCTTATAAATCGATAATAACGTGATTCCAAATTTAAAATATAATATATACGGACTTACTTGAAAAAGGTTTGTCTATAGCAATAAACCTGTAGGTAGGTATATAGGAATAATCGGTGGCTAGAAAGGACTACACCTGTATATAATATAGATAAGTTACTGTTACATAGTGTAATAGTTTGAGTGTTATACCTTCACGGCAACCAATAAATAATCTAATCTCCACCTTATATCTCCATTATAACACCTGTATGAATGGCACGACAAACTATTCTCGGTCGTCAAGACGTTCACAATTATCTAAGGATATGAAATCAATATAAATGTAGGGTCAACACATAGCAAACATACAAAATGTAAATAAATTGATAGTTTTAAAACATTTTTGACTGGAAATTTTGATTTTAAGGTTACTTTGGTATGGCAGTGGTTCTACTGAAAATTAATGAACAATTTTTACTCAGGCAATTTAAAACGTGTAAATGCGTAAACGTGTAAGCGTGTAAACGTGTAAACGATTTTAGAAACACTGGACGTTATTTTAATTCTGGGAATCGTGTTTATTAATTATTAATATACCCATCTTTGTAACCTTTCTATGTCAATGATTCCCAGATCGGGGTAAGTGTACACCTTCTGTAAATTTCCTTTAGCGTTCGTCACTTCCCTTTTTTGAATGTTTCATAACGCATCTATCGTAGCAATATTATATTTGGAACGTGTTTAACCAGTTCTATCATATATGTGATAATGACTGACACCAATATTGTCCTTTAATTGTACAAAAATAAGTGAAATAACATTGTTGTGTGCTCTAAAATATAGTTATACGACAGTATTTTGAATTTACCCCCCCCCCCCCTCCTTTTCCGATTGATTTACGCAAATGTTGAGAAATTATTTTCCTTCTAATTCAGTTCCGTCAACCTCAGGAGAACATATTTCCTTTGGGTCATATAAGATTACCCAAGGTTTAGCACGAGTAATAAAACTAAATGAATATATCTTATTTTCTAAAAGTATATACAGTAACTGCTAGGTGTGAAATGGTGTGAAACAAATTAACAATGGTGGCAATTTAATTCCTGGTTTTAGTTAATCAAAAATTTTGATACCCCCTTTTTGTTTTTTGGGGGGTTTTGGGGTTATTTTTTTATCAATTGACAATTTGTGAAAACGTTTCCTATCCTTCTTTTATATTTAGGGTTCTCGTAATTCGACACTTTTTTGTCGGGTTTATGGGATTATTTTAGGAGAAATATTTCACGGGGTTGGTCTTTTATACATATAAACATAAAATGCACAATGATGTCAAGATTCAACAAAGTTTATTTTTATTGTGCTTTATTTGGTCGACCTGTTGGGACACAAGCAATTATGTACAATAAACTTACTACTGATTTGTCAGTATATTATATGAATTGTTATTAAAACTCAAAAGGCACAATCAACAATTCCTCCGCTAGAACAAAATTATTGCGATCGTCTATTGCTAAATTGTTGTTTCGCATTAGATTTCTATTGTTGTTGATTCCCCGCGACTAATAAAATCAGGCTACTACAGTTTCGGGTTCGATAGTGGAACTTTTATTAATACTGGACAAGGCAAATTGTTAATCACAAATTTCCCCGGTCTGAAGAATATCAATCGGCTCTCTGAATTTGATCTCAATAGTATCCCAACTGAAGCGGCCAACAAGAGCCCTTCTTTTGTCAATAGCACCCAAAGTATTGCAAAAGGTGACCGACAAATAAAGAGATGTTCAGAGGCGGATCCAGGAATTTTTTTTGCAGGAGGTGGGTTTGCCAGGCTCCTGTTACGGATAATCGACAATTGACAATACATGATGCCATCATCGTCTCTAATTACATAGGCATACATACACATCGAGCTTTTTAAAGAGAGAAATCCAACACCCCGTTTGATGTCAATTAATAGGATCACATTGTGATTCAATTTCATTGATGCAAAGCATCAATTGTGATATCACATGTCTACATCATTATTTTGCGCTTTGAATGCTCATAACATAAGATCCCACCATCTGATGATAAAGGATAATGCACATGCTAAAAATCATATTCAAAATTATGAAATTTGGATAAAACGGCTAGAGTTAGAGTGGTTTTGTTTAGTTTTGTTTTGTTTTTTGTCAATTTCAATTTTGTCCATTTCTTTTTATGAAATAATTTAAATTTTGGATATGACGAATAGAATATCCATATCTATAACATATCTTTCATTGTCGGTTACTTTTTGGAATACTTTGGCAATATAGACAAAAAAAACCCCGCTCTTATCGGTGATTGGTAGGACTCGAGTCGGAGTGATAATACTCCCAAACATGAATGCATCAGGGATACTAAATACTAGACGGTTACGGTCGTGTCTAGTACATTTCACTCACTCCGTCTAATTGTTAGTTCCACAACCACCAATGGAATCGATATGTCATCATATTTACGTTATGGGTTTCTGACAGAAATAGTTTGAAAAACAAGTTATTTATGAATTTGAAATATACATGATCATTACTCTATAGCACATTTGCTATTATTTTGTCAATATTAGCCTGTGGGTGTCACCTCTTATGCGTTGGGTCAGTTTGGGGTTAGCTTTCTTTGCCAGGAATGACAGGTCGGGTGTTTCCACATATCGGTAAGAAATCAATGGTATGCTACGGAAATAACAATGTCACAAACTGTTTAAATGCAACATGTAACAAATTGCTGCACTCGACAAGAATCTAATTTGCACTTCCCTTTCCCAAATTCATGTATCCGCCCTGATACGTGAACACCGATGAAAGAGTAGCACCAAATATGGTCATGTATTTCTTGAGACACAGACAAATGGATTGGATGTTGGTTTCGTGGTATGTAAAGTGGTTAAGTGCTTTTTTATTCTCTTATTACAAAAAGACTTATGAAGATTTTTGGACAGCTGTGATCTTCATTTGGATCACACAAATCACAGAGATTGGAGATTAAAGGGCCAATCTCGATTATATTTTGAAGAATAAACCTGCTTAAATTTATGATAAAAGCCCTTAAAATCCTCTACCTTAAGGCCGAGCAACTACTCAATACTCCCGTCAAAAGGCAAAACCTAGTAACTCACTTTTTTCATATTTGGAGAAAACAAAGGAAAACGTTATGAATGAATATTAAACGCCAGCTCATCCATTGATTTGACTATTGAGTTACTAGGTTTTGCTGTGGTATACTAGGCAAATGAAGGGAGTTGCTAGGTTATGTCATGGGTGTAACTGCTTACAAAATTAAAAGATTGGAATATCTAGTACAACAACAGGAGGCACATACCCTAGTAACTACAAATTTGGTCCTAACTCAATTTTGATAAAAAAGTGAGTTACTAGGTTTTGCCTTTTGACGGGAGAATATATGTGATACGTTTTTAAACAACTTAAACCTGTTAGTCTTAACCTGGAAATGGAGACTGGTGTCCCAAGCTGTATTATATGGCGTCTGGATAAAACCAGACTTTTATTTTATAAAAATAACGTGCAGGCGAAAGTTACCTTTCATTATCAAGTACAGCACATGGGGCATGTGTTGTATAGACCTCTAAAGGAACGGCAATAGATTATCAGGTCACGCATCGAAACAATTGACCGCAAATCTTAAAAGGGTTATGTGTCCGGATAAGTTGAAATTTTGAGAAAGGGTAAATACACCATTCCTCTATATTTTGGTGCTTAGATTTCATATGTACACAGACTTTTATTTATGGGACTCTGTTAAAATTGGGATGGTCCCTTTAATGGTGCTAAGTGGAAAGCAAACTTTTACATGTATCTTTTAACAGGATTGTATGGAAGTACTGACCTATTGTTCAAAATGATCTTTCAAATTATACAGGAGCCATTCATATATAAAAATAACAGAATACAAAGAAAATGTAGGTTGAAATTAACTTTATATATTTTAGTAATAAAAAAAACAACAGATGAAGCCAGTATTATATGTACAAAAGGGTTTTATATACAACTACTAAAATCTATATACATATACAGGATGAAACATAAACAGAATTTCTTTATACTATAAATACATGATAATGTGCATTATATTAAATATTTAATTATATTACCAGTACATTCCAGTGTTTAACATTGCACCATTAACATTCACAACATAACATTTATTAAACATAATATAAAACATAACTAATTGTAACATCGGTGCTTATGTCACTGGATAATTAATATTTTCTATGATTACCTCAACTCTATAAAATATTTGTTCAATGTCCATTAACCTATTATACAGAAGAGGCCTTATTAAAACAATTTCTTGAATACGTGTAAAGGGTTTTACCTCAGTATACTTCTTTCTGGTAATAAAGGCTAACTTTCTGAATTATTTCTTATTATCACTTTAAGAAATAAAATTCAACACTCCATCCCCAAACCTCAGTGTCAACACCCTCCCGCCTTTTAAGTCATCAGTAACACCCCATCCTGCCGTCCCTTGAAGACATTAGTTTTAATCTCCATAAATAATCAAAATACATCATATATTAACATTATAATTATTCTGTGTATTTATTTAAATAAAGAATATGCATAGCTATAAAACAACTCAAAGTCAAACCTTTGCAAAGATTTTGTGCGTAGCCTACTTCCAACTGGGCTTGTGACCTATGATGACTCGTGCTTGCATTGAATAATTAAAAGCGCAACTCAACATTCATAGAGAATATCTTTTTTATCGGTGATTGACCTTGTGTCAAATAAGGACACTTCTTGTCTACACTTGCACTAGGTATATTTTTTTTCTTCTAGTGATGCAAGTTAATATAAAATAAACACAAGAAAAACAAGGAAATATAACATATCACAACACAACAAAGTGTATAAAAATATAGACCTTAAACCATTACATCACAAAATATACATACATAAATGTCCATATTTACATTAGTAAATAATATAATATATACCCACTCAATGTATTAACAATACATGGGTCCTTTTCAGAAGTAGAACATAAATATTGTTGACGTTTTCAAATGTAAATAGTACTATTTAAAATAATTATATCACTAAAAAGATAACATCAATTTTTAACAACGGCTGGTCTATAGTATAGTATGCATATATTGTAATAAAAACAGGCATTGGATAAATTGTCTGTTTATAAATTTGGGTATTTACTTCTGTATGCAGCAAACTAAAATGAAAAAAAAAAAGAAAAAAATCAAAATGAAGTGGGGTTTTACATCTTACTGCACCAACTGGCCTAATGAGAGAGAGAGAGAGAGAGAGAAATGGGGTTTAATGTCCACTCAACACAAACTTGGTCATTGTGGGACTAACATATGGTTTAATTTTATTTCAATAATTCCCTTGCGCGTAGGGGTCTTTAGCAGTGGGAGGAAACCGGAGGACCCGGAGAAAACCCACGAGATTGGACTGGCCTAATGAAGATGACCATATCCCATATGATGTTCTGTGAGGGAAGTAAGTGGTGCTATGGCCTACTCTTATTTCAGTTTGCAACTGTCAGAAGATCTTTAATGTGGTGCCAATGGTATACATGGGACCTGCTTGTTTTTGTCCCAACCAAATGACTATTCGCTTTTTTTTACTAGGTCCTCCATTCTGCATCAGTGAAGAAAGCGAAGCGGACTGGAAAATCCTGGAGAACTTTCTCAGGCCATACAGGGATCAAAACCCCAGTTTTTTTAAAAGCCACACTTGTACAATAATATCATGATTTTCAACATTCCCATTCTGTTGTATTCAATTTTTTTGAGTGAATTGATCTGTGGTGCATTATTGTTGTGATCTGATGTTGTAAATTGTATCCCTCAAAAGAGATTTACAATCATCCATTTACTATAAAAGTGGTAGTTGAATAATTTTCAAACACTCATGTCTGATCTCTCTATGACTTAACCATTGTGGGGGTCTTGGGGCCTTGATAATGTAGGGGGTCCATAACCTAACACAAGTGACCAGAACTCAGGCAGTATTATTCCACACACATGAATGTAACTACATCAAACATAATTTGAAATCGGTCAGTGATACATAACAACATAGTAACCGATTGGAGTTAATTTTTGATTAATATTGAACACCGCTAACCTAAATTTAAATGTGTTTTGTTGGAACCGTAAGGTGAAATATCGTAAATAATGTAGTCTATACAGAAATTATACATATTATATACACCAATAATTATAGTCTAGGGGCTAAACGTTGAAGAAACCAAAGTTCCTCAATTCACCGACCATGTTCGGAGATTACCAATGTTGTTAATCTGGCCCTGGGGCCCACCAAGTCCTGTTGTTAATCCGGCCCTGTCCCAAAGCTGTGCCAAAGAGAATAGACCTACCTTGTATTGACATTTCTAATTTTATCACATACATGAAATATCAGTATTGTTTTGGACACAACTTTCAACATACAGGTGCATATTGCAGAAAGATGTAAGATACATATTTGGAAAGGCCGTTAACTAAGCTTTCAAATAATCTGTAAGAATGTTTGAGAATTTGAAAAGCAGACAAAAAACAGGGGGTTATCGTTCTGACTCTCCTCTGGCTGACATAAAGAGTCTGACATTTTGGAATGTGTGTTTTCATCACATATTGCAGTACTAGTGGGACCCTCTGCCATAGCCTAAATAGCGTACAGTGTAAGCTACCACTGATTACCATTATGTACTATAGCTCATTCATAACATTTTCTAACATATATTATACCTCTTTTTCTGCCAATTTTTTCTTTGTTAATATGGTTTGTGCTTTCTGGATTTCTCCAACTTTTGTTAATTGTTGGGCTTCTTGTACAAAAGCTGGTATTTCACTTTGAATTGCTATCAGATAACCTGAAATATCAAGATATGTAACATTTTTATAAAACTTGGGTCATCTATCTAATATAGTTGTGTTGCCTCCAGGTTTTCCAGTCTTCGCCAACATAAGTTAGACATGAAATCTCATCTCTCCCCTATTGTGTTATAAACCTTATTAAATTTAAAATTGTGCTGTCATGCGGTTGCCTCTCCAGAAATTATGTATTGTGCTGTTTAACTCTTTATTACTTTCTTGCACACTTATACAAGAGCTTTAAAATACAAACTTGATTGGATTATATCTCAGTTCACACATGTCACATCAGGATAAACAAGAGATACGTTTTATGTAAATGGTTACATTTGCCAATTTTTATACCAGATTAAAACTCAGGACATTCTAGAGTCAGTATTTTAACCATCCACTCTCCAGCAACTTGTCATTCTCATTTTATTATCTGAAATATCAACTTACTCTTCAAGGCTGGTGCTCCTCCCTCCCGTATATGTTTTTCTTGTAATTCTATTTTTTCTTGAATTAAACAACTTTTATGTTTTAAAGTCTGTGTCTGTAATTCTGTTAAACTGTCTTTTAAAGCAGAAATCTATTTTAAAAAATATGTATTTATCACTTTAATAACAGAAAACAGTTATTAATCAATTAATGGTATTGAAATTAACTCCCCGCTATACCCAGCTGTAATACACGATAAACGACGAGATACAAAATATATGATCCCAAAATGCCTTCTGAAGGTTACATTGATTTATAATCTAGGAATTTATAATGAGTGGTTCATGTTTTTGTTGAAAGGCAACCGATAAACTCCCCTTGACACACTCCATGTTAGGTATAATCTTTCTAAATGTTACTAACCTGTTTGTCTAATTGTTGTTTTTCAAATTTTAAAACATCTATACAAGAGGTACCTTCACTGTAAAATATAAAATTTAACAAAATCATGAAAGGGAAATAACACTCCCATCCCACCGTAGACTGGTTTCCAGTCAATGCTATGATAAAAATAGTTACATCACCACTGATATGATTGTTTTTGGTCTTTTTTTTTCAAAACCAGAACTTCCGACAGAATTTTCCATCATGATTAACATCCTGCACACATCACTTAATGATTATTTAATATTGTTCATTCAAGCTAGCAACAAGAGACTACTGGTATATAACAGATATTAGAAATTTAGAAAGGGCCCCTCCATAAGTCATACAAATGCAACCAACTGCATAATTTTAACTACATATATAAACTGTAAAACTCACCACTATGCCAAACAAAACTAAATGATGAATAAATAATATACAACATTATGATGTTTAAACATATTTAAGACTTTCTATCGGACATGAGATTTGGTGATCTATACAAGTTGTATATAATCAACAATTTGTGATGCCTATCTAAATCAGTAGCTTCCAAGATATTTGTTTACATACTAATATAGAAGCAGTCCCACATATATTTTTGTGAATAAAACAGGTTAATTCCTAGCCCAAACTCTATGCTGTGAGAATCTGGATAATTATGTATGTAATTGGCAAAGATACAGTGGTAAGTAATCACTGAACCTTTAAAACCACCCAGCATCAAAATTAATTGGTAGCTTTTTTAAATATGATAAAATTCCAACAACTTTATATGTTACAACAGATCCATACACAGAACACAAATCCATCAATTTACACACATTGTATCTATATTTTTATTATTGAAGTCAAATTAAAAATTAGACATGTGCATCAGGATAGCAAAATTGGCCAGAAATCCCATTCAATTATGTTTTTATATGAATAATATCTAGAGAGTCAATCAACTTATCCTCCATTTTCAACTTTTAAATTTATAATAATTTTTATGTGTCTAAACATAACTTTTTTCCTATTTAACATAAATTGACAGTTGGTGTATTATTTAAATACAATTTGGACAATACAAGAAAATAGAATTTTGATGATATGACAGATTTTGCCATCCTGGTGGACATTTTGTACTGATATACTATAATGTACATTTAGTGAAAATACCAGTCTATTAGAACCAGATTGTATTTTTCTTATTTTTTTCATAATTTTTATTAACATTCCCACAGCATTATCTTTAAAGGAGACATCCCAGATATATTCAAGTGAATACAATTCCACAAATATAAATGTCAGTCAAGTTAACAGGTGGAATTTGGACACAAGCTTTCTGACTATTTCCCACTACCTGATTTCCCAGCGATTAATAAACTCTTGCAGGTTATTACCCTCTTAATAATGTTTACAACATGGTTGAATAGTCATGTTTATCAAGTCACTCAATGGAAATAAGAAGGTGAGCACTCTAAAAGAGTTACGAAACCTCTATAAAATGTATTATACATACTTTTACACTATTTTCATTCAAGAAGCAGCCATTTTATCAAGCAGTTTTGGGACCACAAGCTAAAACAGTGATTTTTCGTACAATCAGGGGCCATATTCCAGGTAGTTACAGACCAACATGCCCAAATATCGAAAGGAACCAAGATCTTTGGGTTATAAAATTCCTTTCAAGTTTCATCAAAATCGAAAAAATATTGTGACCTCTAGAAGGTCCACAACCTTGGTATTACATTCATTTACACTATCTGCGTGCGCGATATTCACGAAATTCAAACCCAACCATCATTATAGTGTAAGGTGATATAATTGAATGGTTTTGAAAATCAGATAAAAATTGTGATCTCTAGAGGGTCCATAGCTTAAAAAGTGACCCATGAAGTTATGGTCCAATACATGCCAATATCGAAAGGGACCACAACCTTGGTATTACATACTTGGTATTACATAGTCCATGAAGTTATGCTCTGATTACATTACAATATTGAAAGGGACTGGAATATAAACCTATATTTCAAGTTTCGTCAAAATCAGATAAAAATTGTGACCTGTAGAGTGTTCACAAAATATAAATTGTGAATGGACAGGCGGACAGGGGCGACAGCATAATACCTTCACATGAAAATGTGGGTGTATAAAAATATCTTCTATAATATTGAATAAATATATAATTGTATAATAAAATAGAAATATACATATATAATAGATAAACAATGGTAGTTAAATTCATTATAAAATAAACTACAAAAAATTTCAAAAAATAAATTGTTTTGATAAGTTATCAATTTCTTCCTTTGCTATTTCATATCCACTGCAGTCATTTCCTGGTTGGGTAAAATGGGCCAATGTTATACTTGTCTATTAAATTTACTAAGGAAGCCAAATAAATACTTCATCAGTATTATTTCTATTACAGCTGACCTGAATTAACAACCAGTGGTTGCCAGGCAAGATACGCCCACATTTTGCAAGAGATGGATAGAGAACAAGCTAAAAAAAAAAAAGTGATTTTTCGTACAATCAGGGGCCATAATCCAGGAAGTTATGGTCTGATATGTGCGATTATCAAAAAGAACCAAGATCTTTGGGTTATAAACATACCTTTCAAGTTTCATCAAAATCAGATAAAACTTGTTACCTCTAGACGGTCCACAACCTTGGTATTACATACTTTTACACTATTTGTGCACTTGGGGTGGCCATTTTGTCCGGCAGTTTTGGTCCGATTTTCACAAAATTCGAACTCAACCATCATTAAAATCGCATAAAAATTGTGACTTCTAGATAGGGACCACAAAATAAAAAAGTGACTTTTCATAAGTTGGGAACATAATTCAGGAAGTTACAATCTGATATGCGCGAATATTGAAAGGGTTATAAACATGCATTTCAAGTTTCATCAAAATCGGATGAAAATTGTAACTTTTAGAGGGTCCACAACCTTGAAATTACATACTTCTTAGCGTGTGAGGGGTGTCCATTTTGTCCAGCAGTTTTGATCTGATTTTCACAAAATTCGAACTCAACTATCATTATAGGATGACAAGCTAAAACAAACGATTTTTTGTAAAATCAGGGGTCATAATTCAGGAAGTTACGATCTGATATGCATGAACATTGAAAGGAAATAAGATATTTGGGTTTTAAAAAAGCATTTCAAGTTTCATAAAAATCAGATGAAAATTCTGATCTCTAGAGTGCCCACAACCTCTCACATGATTTTACGTACAATCAGAGGCCATAATCCATAAGTTATGGTCTGATACATGACAATTTTGAAAGGAACTGAGATCTTAGGGAGATGAACCTATATTTCAAGTTTTGTCAAAATCAGATAAAAATTGCGACCTGTAAAGTGTCCACAAACAAATTGTGGACGGACGGACGTCCGAATGGACAGGGGCGATGACAACATACGTCCACATGAAAATGTGGGCATATAAAAACAACTTTATAAATTTTAAGACGTGATTTTAGCATTTGGCAGACATATTTGAAGAGTTGATGGTTCAAATCCTAACCAAACCAGGTTGCTACACAATGTGGTGGAATAAGAATACTGCTGGATAGGCTTACCCCTTAAAGGAAAGAATGCAGATAAATACATTATCCAAATAATGTATCTCACCAGTTTGACTTAGTACCTGGTTTGATTTGGTACTTTGTGCATAGGACTTGAGTAAAAAGTATCAGTTACATATCTTTTTGGTTCTCATTTTCAATATAAGGAAAAAGCTCTAAAACAGCCGAGGATTGATTTATCATGTTACTTCACTTTCATTTTCATTGTCTTTATAAAATATCACGTTATAGGAATCTAATCCAGCCAACATTGAAGGCTAGCCTTGACATCGAAAGTTTATTATGGTCTGGATAAGTTAGTTAATGTCTTATTGATAATTTAGATAACATTTCAGGCCTAAAGAAAGACTTTGCTCTTGCATAATGCATGTTTAACTTATCCAGACCATAATCAACTCTAGATGGCATCGCTAGCCTGCGATCTTAAGTGGATTGTGAGCCGATTTACTGCATAACTTTCCTTCTCGATTAAACGATTAAATGGATAATCGAGACTATGCTGTTTATCGTACTGACTTTAGAAATGATGAAATTGCATTCGCTTAGTTCTCGGTTCATAGTGGATCAATTTGAATGAAATTTTCAGCAAATTGCCTTTACGTTACTTAGTTTTTAATTATTATAGTGAGAACTGCCAACTCGTTATCGAATCTCCCATAATGTATCTTTAAAAATGATGGCAATCAATAGGTTAGTTTGATTCTATAGTTGCTATGCAAAGGTAGGGCAATCCAGTTTAAAAACAATAGCTCCATATACCTGTCTTCAAAAAGGCTTTGGTTCTGCTTAAAACTGCTGCCTTCAACTAACTGTGGACATGGGCATTTTATTACTTTTTTGGAAATGCATTCTTTTAAATAGAATATACGTGTGTATAATTAACATGGTAACTGTCTCAGTTCACTAGTTACCAATATACTCCATATTTCAAATACAAGGTTAGACCAATCGTTCGACCTTTGCAAGACCTTTTACACTATATACAAATTTGGTAATATTTTTTCCTGAATGATATTCATTGTACTAGAAGCAGAGGGGTTTAATATAGACGATTCCTGTTCCCCAATCCCTATTTAGATACAGATCTGAATAAAATGTTTTTTTTTAAAAAAACAGAGACAATTTGGGCTAGAGTAAATGAAATTAAAATATGGGTTGCCAGGCAACGAAACATATGCCCACAGCAGCTAAATCGTCCGGGCAGTCAACAAGTGTTGTCGCATATTTTTACTTTTTTCGGTACTGAAACATTTATAATACACTAAAATCTGATTAGGAGTAACAACTCATGAAGTAATTATCAGAAAACCATTAGAATTTGTTTGGTTTTTATAAAGTTCTGCCCCATGCTAACGTTTACTATACGAAACTTGTAATAAAATGGATTTAGCTGTTTAACTCATAAAAATTCATTGAAAATCAATATATTTGTTTGTCTCAAGATCTTAAACTCTGTGTATCAATCTGAAGTCAATCGGATGATAACCTTAGCCTCTAGAGCATCACATGATTTTTCAAAGTGATCAAGGGCCATAACTTTGGCAGTAATCGGAAATCGTTGAAAATCAATATGATTCTTCGTCTCATGACCTCAAACACTGTGTATAAATTTAAAGTCAATCGGATATTAACTTTAGCCTCTAAAGCATCCACAAGATTTTTCAAAGTGATCAAGGGTCATAACTCAGGCAGTAATAATCGGAAATCGCTGAAAATCAATAGGCTTCTTCGTCTCATGATCTTAAACACTGTGTATAAATTTAAAGTCAATCGGATATTAACTTTAGCCTCTAGAGCATCCACAAGATTTTATGAAGTGATCAAGGGCCATAACTCTGACAGTAATTATCGGAAATCGCTGAAAATCAAAAGGCTTCTTCGTCTCATGACCTTAAACACTGTGTATAAATTTAAAGTCAAGTGGATATTAACTTTAGCCTCTAGAGCATCCACAAGATTTTTTGAAGTGATCAAGGGCCATAACTTTGGCAGTAATTATCGGAAATCGCTGAAAATCAATAGGCTTCTTTGTCTCATGGCCTTAAACACTTTGTATAAATTTCAAGTCAATCAGATATTAACTTTAGCCTCTAGAGCATCCACAAGCAATTGTGGACGCCGTGGGCGTATAAAAATAAACATAGGGTAGAGAAAAAGATACAGCATATGACTATAATCACACATTTTATATTTAAGTCAATCATTTCACTAGACAACTCATTAATTAAATGCATGAGTCCATGAATCTTTCATGAGATGACTTTTGATTTCATCTTATCACAAGACAAGAGATTAGAATGCCTCCATGCACATGCATTTTCCTATGTCATCACACATATACTTGACATGGTACCTCTGTTTAAAAAAAAAAAAAAAAATATCTTACTTAATCTTTTGTATTATTTCAAGATTTACTTAAAACGAAAATAAGACAGAAAAGAAAGACGATTACTTCCAAATAAAAAATAGATCGAAAATGTTCAAAGTCTATCAAGGCAAAGAAATTTTTTCTAATAACCTTTTAAAATTATACTATTATCAATCTAAATGAGTCATACATGGAAAAATGTATTGTGACACATTAAGTAGAAAAATGGTCGATATATTTAGCTTTGAAGTTGGTAAAGTGATTGAAACGTGTTGAAACAAACAAAGCAGGATTCCAACAGAAAATATTTTTGCCATTGAGCATTGGGGAAATAAAAGAAAATTCTGTTTTGAAAACAAAACCAGTAAAAACATGCTGTATTTGATATACAAAGAACAAAGTTTTTCAGTTTCATTTAGCTGGGGCTGGTCATAATATTAGTAATATATGTTGCCCTTGTAAGTTTTTTTCATTATATATGGTCAGAAACTATTTGTATGTTTTACATCACATAAAATATCATGCACATGAAAATTAAACAAATAGAATAGAATAGAATAGCTAGTATTGATGTACAATTCAGGTACAAAACATATCAAATAATACATGCACTCTTCTATAGAAATTCTTGCTTTCCCAATGCCTTAACAAAGATTTATTATTGAGCATTATAGAAGGAAGAAAACACATGCAAAAAACAATTTGTTTAATTTAGATTTTCAGTCAAAAAACACTTGAAATTAATTCAAATATTTAAACATAAATATTAAAAAAACAAAGTGGCAAGCGTAACATGAAAAATAATGTCTGAAAGATACAAAGATGAAGTCAAACCAAAGAGAGGCAACAACAAACAAAAACATTTGTATGTGTGATAACTATATCTAAATACTATTACATGGAGGAATTTCATATAATATAACAGACAAAATTGTACATAACTTCCATCTATTGAACGAGAGTGCCAGTGAAATGATTAACTGTGGTTGAGTGACAGTGAAAAGATTGACTTTATAATGACATATATGTATTTCTTAAATAGTTTACACTAAAATCTAGTAATACTGTGTGATCCATAATCATAAATAGTTTCCACATATTAAGTTTATTGGATAAGCATAAATACTTTAAGTAGTTATTAACAATCACTATAATTGCAATACCACACTAGACATAAATCTATGGTGAGTGAAATGATGATGATGATGATGATGATGATGACAGGAATAATTATGTAAATTTCACTCAGCAATTTGGTAAGTATTTAATTGGTTACATATAAATCTACTTACTTTTTAGGTTTCGGGGGCTAAAATAGATTAAAAATAAATATTGAATACATGTGGTCTTAGAATTAAAGAAATTATCTTTTCCTCTCTATTTCTACAGTCAATTCATGCACCTGATGTTAAAAATATATACATTCTAAAACAGCTAACTACAACAGCTAAATCATCATTTTATTACTTACTGCTATATGGCTCTGAAAAAAAATATAAAAAAATAAAAAATTAGAATAAGATATGTCACATGATCACAAACATATATATATATATTTCTTGTTTATCTTAGACTGATACTAAAATCATGTTTAATATATTTATGAACTAGTGAAATAATAATGGCTGCCTATTGATAATATAGTTCACATAATTTTACAAGAACATTAACCATAAAATCAGGCTATAGTCAGGGAACTGACAGTTGGAACCCAATGAAGAAGTGGTGGAAGGGCCTCACTATCATCAAAATGACCAAAGTAAATTCCATTCCCATTCCATCCTAAACACTGGAGATATATGATTCTAAATGACATATTGTTGGTTACCTAAAACTATTGGTATATATGACATCATAAAAATAATAATAACACCTTGGATCAATCATATACGTCTAAAGATTCATTACATGAATGTCACCTTCTTTTTAAGATTTTTCTTTGTGCTTATGAATGAATGAAATTGGGTTTAATATCCTAGTTTTCTGGAGTCCAACGAGTCTTATAAAGACAGAAAGTGTTCAGTTGAAAAGATATAGGCCCCAGTTTAGATTTACCTTAGAAGCTGCTGTTCTCATAAACTGATCTATGACCAGCCATTTTTCTTTCACTTCCTCTACTTGTTTACTTTTCATTGGATCTCGTATTCTCATCTTAATTTCTAATTTACCACCAACAGATTTCCTACCATCCATTAACTATAACATATAATACATCAAAATAAACATAATCATAATAAATGTCCTAGATTGGCATACAAAATGGATAGTGCTAGGAATAGTGACTGTGTATCACGGTTCCCACAGTATAATTCTGCCAAATTCAAGACAGTGATCCCAGCAGTTCTCTTGATCTTTACAATATTGTGATTTTTTCTGGAATTTGTCATCAGTGTTATATTACAATGTGACATAAAAATTTTGAACATGCTAATCAATAATGACTGGTATATCAAAAAGAGTGGGGATGTCGATGTTTTGTTTATAATCGGTTGATAATCATAAATCCAAACATCTGGCTATATATACTTACATCATAACTATCATGTATTACACAATTACTTTCAAATGGTTGTAGCTTCACATTTATAGATCCCAATAACTTCTCACTCTTAAAAAACCCTCTAAAATAGAAAAATAAAACATATATATCTTAGTTCATTGGCACATTGTGTAGATGGCACTTATAGATTTATTCTTTTGAGGCTACGGGCCATTCCATTTACCTGTAAATAAAAACTTATTTTGTCAGTTTGGAAGGGGTCTTTAAATTGTGCTGTTCTACTCCTGGCTAATTTTTAGTGGAATAACCATAATCAGATTATCTAATGCAACTTGCAAACTTATTATCTGGAAAAATTATTGGCTGTAAGTAATTATTGAGCTCACAAAATGTAAAATAAAAAAGAGATAGATAGAGAGAGAGAGAAATGGTGTTTAACGTCCACTCTACACAACCTAGGTCATTTCGGGACTAACATATGGTTCAATTTTATTTCAATAATTCGCTTACGCGTAGGGGTCTTTAGCAGTGGGAGGAAACTGGAGGACCCGGAGAAAACCCACGAGGTTGGACAGGCAACCCTACTCCTTTTCACGTACAACCGGGGAATCGAAACCACGCCAGTTGGCTCAATGACAGACCTTATGATACAGCGTGCACGTGCTAACCATTCGGCCATCCAATCCCCCAAATAAGAAAGAAATCGTATACTTAACACTGCAAGTATAGAAGATAACTGTTCAAGTAAGTAAACAATAATGTAGGTAACAACACTTTTCATCTACTGCAAGGTTTAATCTGAATATTTGTTAACGTAGTTTAATGACATATAATGCATTACACACATGAAATATATTAAATGGCAATGAGATAAAATATAGATTTAAAAATGTTATATTTTCTATGTACCGTTTATAAAAAACATCTAATTTAATAGACTTTCTTTCTACAACCCGAATAAATGATCTGGATTTTCTAGCTATAGAAATCTTGAAATTTTCTTCATATTCTGAAAACATAATATGAGATATACATGATAAAATGTTTGGAGTGACAGCATTATATACAGTACTATCATTCTTTAGCAATTGAGGAGCCATGGTGGCTCAGTGAGTAAGATGTTGGCTCGCTAACTTGGATGTCCCGTGTTCAATCCTTATGTTGACCAAGAAAGTGCATCAGGAATTTCCGGTGTGGTTCCCCTTTATCAGAGTTACAGGACGGAGAGCCTGGCAAGTGATATTATTTACATTGAGCTTTGTAGCCCATTTTCTAAACTATCTGAAACTACTGTATACTAGACTGTCTCAAGGTGCTAGAGTCACAGAACTAGTCCATGTTCCATTCACACAATTGGGGCACTAGAGCTGGCAGTGATATAGAAATTATTCATTATTATCTTGAATAAGGTAAATAAATAAAACACCTGGATTTATACTTCCTTTAACTGTGGACGATTGACCTTTTTGACCTTCTTCCTACAAAATAAAAATCATTCATGAATTATAATGTTTAGTGATGCTCTTTAAAAGGATATGAAATTGTAGTTTAGTTTGCTATAGTTAAGTCGCTTTTGAATTTCAATATTCATTTGAGCATAATCACTTCAGAATTAGCGGAGATAAACACAGACAGTGAGCTTTTTCTTGATGAACATGGGAGTGATAGGAATATGTCCAGTGTATGTACAGTTAACACTGTAAAAAAACCCCAGCTGTACTTGTTCTGTAACCAAAACCCTCTCAACTTTTATTCAGTCTGAGCTTAGATCATTTTAGAATGAGCATACTTGGGGAGCTTACAAACCCATCTTAATAGGTATCACACTTAATTACAATTCTGGGGGGTTGGATGGCTGAATGGTTAGCACGTGCGCGCTGTATCATAGTTCATACGGTCTGTAATTGAGTCAACTGGCAGGGTTTCGATTCCCCAGTTGTATGTGAAAAGGAGTAGGGTCGCCTGTCCAGCCTCGTGAGTTTTCTCCGGGTCCTCCGGTTTCCTCCCACTGCTAAAGACCCCTACGCGCAAGCGAATTATTGAAATAAAATTGTACCATATATTAGTCCCGAAATGACCTAGTTTGTGTCGAGTGGACATTAAACCCCATTTCTCTTTCTCTCTTTCTAATTACAATTCTACTTGTCAAACAAGAAACTATTCTTCCCATTCATAAGGATTTCAAGGCTTTGTAATGGCACCAATATTGGAATATTTAAAATAATTTGGATTGTAAATATACTTCTTCAATATGAACATAACCAAATATTCCTCCTGGAGACCAAATAAATGAAGTAATGAACTTACTGTAGGAAAAGGAAAATCATATGTTACATATGTATCAAACTTCTTTTCTTCATAATCTGTTAAAAAAAAAATAGATGAGTGCTTTATCTAACTAAATACAAAATAACCCTGTAAATATCTACACGCAGTCAAAACCTAGTGTACAATCTCAACTCCTACATTAACATTTGAAATAGATAGGATTAAGAATAGTAAAGTACAACATAATTTGTTGTTATCTTTAAATATTCATGAAAAGTGTTATCAGGTGTTCTAGGAGGGTAAAGGTAAAGAATCTCACCTGCAGGTAAATTATACTGTATTCCTCTAACAATAACTAACTCCAAATCATTATCACCCAGATCAGAATTACTTCTACAATTAAATAAAATTCATTTCACTCAGTGAATAAGAGTTTAAAAAAGCAAAAAAAATTGTGATTAGATCAAAATAAAGTATATAATTGGTGGATCTGATGTGTTTATTTTTTGATTTGTGACAGGACAAGCTCCATACCATTAAATGTTTGTTTAAAAAAAATAAAAGGAAACTGGCTTGTTTACTAATTTTAGATTCTTTAGGAATCCAATACACTTTATCAATTATATCTTAACGAAGCTTTATCTAAAGACAAAATTTTGAATGAAAACCAACCTCACCAATTAAATCAACACATAAAATCCATCGAAAAGAACAATTTTATTTTTGACCCAGATCAAATTGATCTAATCATCTTAACTTATCACAATAGTAGAATAATTATACCAGTGAATACTAGTATCTACTTACTGCACCATAGAGAAACTCTTTGTTTCGTAGTGAAATCGTGGGACTGGGTCACCATGTCTAAAGGCATTTTTCAGAGCATCAAGATCTTTTCTACAATTTTGTTCTAATTTCTGAAACCTGACCATAATAAATGCATTTAATTTTACTTGAAATATCTATACAAATACAAGGTAAATATCTATGATGAATGTTGGCTCAGTAGTCAGTAACCAGGAGATCCCATCCTTGGTGTTAGCCGAAAAAATTTCCTGAGAATTTCCAGTGTTGTTTTCTCTTGCCAGTGGTACAGGATTGAGCACCTGGCAAGGGACAGTGTCTAGACATTTGGATGGGGCTATAAAACAAGGTCCTGTGTAGAGAACCCTTGACAGTTGGAATTTAATTGCTTTTAGGGCATAATTTCCATCATAGCACACGGTATGGCGTATGCCCATCTTCGTTTATGCCTTTTGGTGCAGAAAAGTATGAAGCTGAACTGCATTCCATCCATCCATTCATTCAATGCATTTTGGACCTGCATTTACGAAATCAAAGCTAATGGGCAGACGAGAACCCGTGTTTAAATACAAAAGTACAGCCAAACTTCATTCATAAAAATAGGAAAATAAAACTTACTTTGAAGCAGCAGGTACATCACCTAATTTTGTATAATGTTGACTGTTGGTTACACATATCTAAATAAAGTAAAATCGAATTCATAAAGAGAGATAATGCTAAAAGTTTTAGGAAATAAATCTATTGTGATCCATATATATTTAACTACATTTAATCTGTAATGAAAGAAAGAAGAAAACAAAAAAGGTTTGCGTTCCTTTAACGTAACCAGGAAAACAGATAAATTAGAGAGAATTAACAAGGTTCTGCACACGCTCATCTACTGATTTAACATGAATTAATGTGAACACTATCAGCAATAATACATAGAGGATATTTGTCGTTTTTGAGCGAATAACATATTTTATTTCATCGAGAAGCAAGGAAACTTATATTTTCACGAATGCGTAGAATGAGTGAAAATATAAACGTTTTCTTCCTTAGAGATGAAATAAATTATGTTATTCACGACAAAACGACAAATGTTCTATTTATTTTATGATTTTACAATTATTTTAGGTAAAAACAACATGGACTACTTTGTCCGCTTCTAGCCAGTGGAATAACACTTTTATTTCACTGATAAAACGCGGTATTCCACTACTGATCATAAAATAAATTTTTTTACTCCGTTTGATTAAAGCAATATAACTCTACAGATTCATAAATAGATACCGTTTAAGGAACTGGACCCTAAAGGATACTCATCTTCTTGTTATTTTTTTTTTTTCGAAGAGGGTCGGGGTCGGTGCTCTTCTATAAAAGTATAAAGCTCCACCAATTCATGTACAATTATGATTGTTCCATTGACAATTTCGCATCAATTGACAGACTTCGATTTTTGATATCACAATTCCAAGATGGCTGCAATGACATCATTACAAATCCTGGTCCATAGCATGCTAGTAATTGTTTTGTTCAGAATTATTAAATCAATGATTTAATGAAATGTGAACTATCTATAACTTACTCTAATTTGTTGTACGAGATCAGCTTCTAGTTTTTGATATACTTCTGTTCTATCACCGGTGGGAACACAATCTTCTTCTGATACTATCACAAACTTGTCTTCATCATCGGGCATATTAGGTGATTTAGGTACCTAAAGAGAATAAAACAATCATAAATCATTCTCTTTTTAACAGGTCTGCAATCATACACATCTTTTCTAGTTGATACACATGTTTATCTGGGTAGAGATGCACATTTATAAAGTTTAAATTTGAATCCGCATTTGAATAAGAACACCACAGACAAAAGAATAAGCAATTAGATAAGTGCTTAATCAAGAGGAGCAGAAAGGCGATATATTATTTACACATATAAAAGAAGTAATTACCTGGGATAAATCAACAGGTAAACCACTCTCAGCTGCTAATATCATTGGTTCTAAGCCCTGTAAACAAGTAAATAAAACATTAATAAATCATATAACAAAACAAAACTCTAAAAAAAATCAACTGAACCTCGTTTATTTACTGTAAGTTGTGTTGATCAGGACAATTATTTTGTGTCTGTCATCAATTTCTATATAAATTGTTAACGGGTTTATCTCAACTGGGGCCTCATTTATTATGAAAATGTTGGCAAATTATTGAAACTACAGGTTTTGCAATTGTACATTTTGTAAACTTCTTAAACTGTGCCTACATGTCACCCTTACATTTTGACCGAAACTACTAATGGTAGGTGGATTATGTATAAATGAACATACCCTACATGAACTAAAACAATATTTTTCCTAAAGTGATTTAGTCTGAGTTTTGATTTTAATCGTCAAAAACTGCAAGTAATAAACCATTGCTCAAACTACTGGCATTATCATTGCACTTACCTTCATTATTCTGATATATTTTTTAGCTAACTCTAAGTCATTATTTTTCTTTGCATTTAAGGCACAAACTTTAAATTCTTCAGATCTTTCTTTAAGAAAAGCTAATTGTTGATCTGATTTAGAGTGACCTTTTCTTACCGCTGCAAAATAAAAATATTTCTGTTCAACAAACACGAATAAAAGAAAGGTATAAAGGTCGAACACTGTCAAAAAAACAAAACTCAAATGTATACAAGTCTGAAGTCTATGAGGGGGGTTGGGTCTGTTATTGAGTAAATTGGTCAATTGGTGTGGTTATGAATCCCATCTTGTATGTGACAAGGAGTGTGGTCGCCTGTCAAACCTCGTGGGATTTCTACAGGTCCTTTGTTTGGTTGCCCCCACCCCCCACTGCTAAAGACCCCTATGCATAAGCAAACTATCAAAATAAAATTGAACCAAATGCTAGTCATGAAATGACCTTGTTTGTGTCAAGTGGACATTAAACCCCATCTCCCTCTCTCTCTGAACTTTATACAAATAACACATACCAACATCATAATATTATTAATATAATGATTCAAATATATTAATTGAGAGAGCATATATGTCCTGCATACACAAAAGGTCTTATGATCCACACTGCTTGTGTTTGACCACTCGGCCAACCAATCCCCGAACTTATAATGTATCAAAAAGTCGATTATAACTGAATGGGATTAAAAAGGTTAAAGAAAAGACACATCTCTTACATTCTCCTCTGTTGGGATGTTGTCCTGGCGATTTACCACCATGAACAGATGTACTGCTAGAATTTGGAGATGCAGCCATTGCTGGTGGAGCTCTAGGTTGTGGCGATGGTCTTAAAGATGCTGCTTTTGCATTCTGGGGAGAAACTACTGGAGCTGAAGAACTTGCAACTGCTCCGCCTACTGCACCGGTACTTGGTGATTTCGGAATGCCACCTACTGCACCACCACCACTGCTGATCGCTTGTTGTTTCTTAGGTGATGGAGCAGGTGATGGAGCACCAACAGGTATTGGTCCAAAACCTAAAATAACAATTTAACTTATACTTCATATTATTCTTCAGATATTTAAAATCTAATTTCTTGGCATCTAGCTATTACTGAATGACATAATGTAAATCTAAAAGAATAGAATGATAGATCTACCGACATTATAATAGCTTTATTAAGTTATATCTAATCATTCTGTCAGAATTTCATTTATTCTCAATGAACAATCTGATTAAAATTCAGATCTATACTTTTGTTTGTTATACTTTCGATGGCCTACACTACGGGAAGATATGACCAGTTGTACTGGGAGGTTGCGTCAGGGGTCATACGAGCGACTTTTGACAGTATGACGTGAGACATTGTTTAATCAATCAGGGTTGATGTTTCTAGGGGTTTACCCACAGTTTCGTGCAAAGCATGCCAAGAACTCGCCATAACAGACCGTTTCATTGGCTAATTCCTCACATCAACTAGAACGCCTGTTATATAACAACTCTTCCAGATCCTAGTGTTGTGAAGACAAGTAAAACGAAATTTTGAACTGTGTTTTAATCAGATTGTCTCAATGAATAAATTAACATTTCAACAGATTTGTTTAATGGAGTTAATTATATATACCTGGTGGTGTGGGTAACTCTTCGTAATCTACTGGTTTTCCGGCTTTATGACATTTTATTGCATCTTGATATTGCTAGAATTCAACATTCATATAATAACTTGATAAAATTCATAGAAATACAGACTGAAGAAAGAAATATTTATGTTGACGAACTTCAGCTCGTATGAATTCCATGGTGCATTAACTTCTTATCTTAATACAACAAAAATGTTGGACAGTTTCCCTATCAATATCTACAATTATTTTAGCTTTAAGAAATAATAACTTTTCACAAAAGTAAAATAACTTGTTCAGAGTTGTTAATGACAACATATATTCAAAAAACTAGAATATACTGTATACATTGGAAAACATAATATAATAATAACATACTTTAACAATACGCCCCATTCGTCTAGCTTTACCACTCTCATTAGCTGTTTTAGCTTGTTCTTCTGCTGTTTTATATTTAGCTAATCTTTGTTCTAATGCTTCCATTACTGTCGTTGGTTCTTCTGGTGCTTTAAATAAATCTTTCTCTTCTGTAAAACAATTCAATTATATAAAAAATAGAATTTAAATTATCTCATACTTAAAAATATCACTTTAGCATATATTTTATTACAAATATTTACAAAAAATAATGGAATATCTATTGTAATAAAAATACCACCAGAATTTGTCTGTCTAAACATTAAGCTCACTAAAGTGCACAACCTTTGTTGTCATTTCTGTAGTAACTCAAGCTGTCTTTTCTGCATTGCATCGTGCTAACATTTTAGTTTCATTTTTTATAAAACAAACCTACTGTTGTAGTTTGTTCCTAAATCCCTTTAACAAGTTCAGCAATGGCCAGGGGAAATAGCTACACTACGCAAACCATTCTGTGAAGTAATTATGTGTTTCTCGCCTAAAGAAAGGCTGTAACTGTAATTATCGAAAATCATTAATAATCAATAGCCTTCAATGTAAGCACTGTGGATAAATCTTAGTCAATCGTATGATAAATTTAGCCTGTGGCGGTCGGACAGACTCGCGAAGAGAAGTGCAGAGCCAATACACCACCACTTTTTAATGTGGTTGTATAAAAAGTTGTTTGCATTAACTATTAAATCTGTACCTTCATGTGTAGTTGTAGGCAATTCTAGTTCTGGTGTTTTATCACCAGTTGCTTGCATAGAAGAACGTTCAACTTGAGAAACAGGGGGCTGTACTCTAGACAGCACATCTGCTTGAATAGTAGTTGATGAACCTAGAAAATTATAACATTTAGTACTGACGAAATAAATGAATATAATCAAAATTCTGATTTATATATAAACAAGATAGCTACTTACTAATTGGTGGTGGCGATGGAGGCATTTGGGATAGATCAATTTCTTTACCTTCCTCTAAAGCTATTATAACATTGTCAAATTGCTGTAAAATAATTTATGAAATTAGCATAAATATAACATTTACATTAACATGGCTGTTAATTGAAAATGTGTTTTTGAAAGCACAAATGTTGCGAAGACCATTTTCACAAAGTCTTGGTAATTAAAAACAGTTAATATTCAAAGTTCAATAGATCTTTCTAACGTATACTCAATATACAGTTGCTCATGTGGTCGACTACAGTTGTGACCAGTTGCTCATCTCCGTGGTCAAAGTGCAAGTCATTGCTGACATTTTCTAATCCTGATCAAGAGCATGTATGACATAAATAGGCATACTTTTGAAGGAAAAAAATGATAAATAGATAAATGTCTAAATATTATGGATAACTTTCTTTGGCAGATTAGGCACATCAGCATACTAGGCAAACTAAAAAACAATTCTTAAATGACTAAATGAAATGAAATGGGGTTTAACGTCCTACTGTTCTGCTCCTAACCTGGGCTAATGAAGACGGGCATACGCCATACAGTGTGCTATGAGGGAAATTTTGCCCGGGCAGCGGCGCTACAGCCTACTCTTATACGTGCATGCCAATGTATACACAGGACCTGATTTTTTCGTCCCATCCGAACGACTAGACAGCTGTCCTTGCCAGGCCCTGCATCCTGCATCACTGACGAGGGGAAACCACGCCGGAAAATCTGAATGAACTTTCTCGGCCAATGCAGGGATCGAACACCTGACCTCCAGGCTAGCGAGCCAGCGTCTTACTCACTTAGCCACGTGATCCACCAAATGACTAAATAAGTAAAATAAATATTACAGCAAATAGATCTACTTACTTTAGAAATTCTGACATATTGAGAAGCCGTTTTTATATCATTGTTGTGCTTGGCTTGTAAAGCTGCTTGTTTATATTGATCTCTTCTACTTGTTAACATTCTGTGCGTTTGTTTATCTAAACAAATATAAAACAATTTCTTTACTAGATAAATTCATCCATCACCAAAGTTTGCGGACAATATATTATTTATTCAATGTTAAGATGTTCCATTAATCACTGATACTATAAATAGATATTTCAAATGTTTATAGGAATCAACTCATTGATATTGAAGTAATTGAAGAATTCTGTCAGTTTTGGATAATACTAAGGTAGTAAGTGGTTGTATTTTGTAGTATTGGGTTCAAATTGGGAGATATTGGTAATATTTGGCACTTGACCCATTAGGTACTAATACTATAAATAGACTTTCCCACTGTATCCTCAAAAGTTTTGCTAACTCTTCGATTCAACTCAATTTTTTGGGTATAATTCAATCACAATAATGAGGTATTATGGTGGTATTTGGTAGTAATTAGTAAGTATTAGATGGTATTGGGTAAATCGTCTTGCTGTCACTATACAGCTTTTGTTTGACCCATATGGCAAAAAATCAAAACACGATGAATGCTCTTATTTAAACCCAACTCTCTCAGATGGAACAATTAGATACCTTAATTTGAAAGTGATCAACTTATTGGATTTATTTGCCAGTGAACAAAAGTAAAGTCAAAAAGAACATCATCCTTCATGAATTAAATTGGATAGACCTCCTTGGTTTGGCTAAAAAAACAAACTTTGATTTTATGTTTTAATTTCTTTTGTGTAAAGACAATCTCTCTATCTTCCTTGAAAATTTTACCTCTATACATAAAGCCAGTGTTAAGATTTTGTTTTTCACTATTGATAATTTTAACTAAAAGTTACTAAACAGGTTAATTTCCATTTATTCTTCTAAAACAAAAATTCAATTGTATAGAACTTGAAGATAAACACAATTCAATATTATATATTGACCAATATTAAAGAGTTTTAGCTATGTCTAGAACAACCATGTATTCCATTGAGCTATGTCAAGTTCCAGTCATGTACGTTTGATTCAGGTGACCAATTGATTAGACTACTAGCACCATGAGCTAAACAGTAAGAACTGAAGTAAGTAACTAATTACATACCAATTGTTGATGTTTGTGATACTGAAGGGCTGGCAGTTGGTCCACCTGTTGCTTGATTTGGTGTACCACTTGTAGTTGGCACTGCAATATAGCAAAAACAATTAATTAAAGAAGAAGGCAAGCTGTTGCAGACATTTCATATTTTATTTATTACGAAATTTATTCAACCTCGTGTATGAATTGTTTTGGTGTTATGTTATAAGTGACAACTGTCCTGTGCTGTAAATAACCAAGCAGCATAATAGCTACTATTCCTCTTTCGATAGCCCCTGACCGGTTGTAGTGGGAATGGCGAGTCAGGGGTCAAACATTGATATTTGACTTATGATTAACCAATCAGCATCAGTGTTCAAGTGGCCATTCGGAAATACAACTTTTGTTCTTTCTTTTTTTCTATGGCTGCGAATGTCTACCCACAGTTTCAGATTTGACTCAACAGACCATTTGATTAGCCAATCCCTCTCTTCATTCAGGCAGCTGGTTTTTTAACAACTCTTCCAGATCCTAGTGTAGTGAAGACAAGTAAAACAAAACTTTGAACTATAAATAAAGAAAGTAAATAGATCTGTGTTTCAGTCAGAATTTTTATGATAAAAAGACTTACTAAATATTTGTGTTTGTGATGGAGCAGGTTGAGAAGGTTGTGATCTAGGTTGTACAGGTGGTGGTATCATTGGCTTCTTAACTTCCTTTTCTGGAGACTTTTCAGGACTTGAACTTCCAGCTAAATCTGCTAATTCTGCCTACAAAATTATAATTAACATCTACTTATAAATAAGTAGGGACTGTTCACAAATGTGAGACAATAACCAAGTATTAATAAACAAAATTAAAAGCACAATTTGACAAAATTGCTTTTTGAAAATAATATACATGTAAATGTATAATCGATTAACGGCACTACAATGACACAAAAAAAATATTTAGCCATTCGGACCATGACCTAATTTTTTTTAGCAAATGTGTCATATGCTGCTCAGGGGATATAAGTTTTCTAAAATTCGGTCAAATCACCCTTGTGAGCTCCAGATGGGTCTAGTCGATTGGGAGTTCAGGCTTTGAAGGGATAACATAAAATACTTGATACAAGATATCATTTTAAATTTCAAACACAGTATATACCTACCAGCAATTCTGGATCCTCTGTGTCAGACATCTCTTCATCTGAGTCAAAACTTTTCATATTTTCAGCAGCTAATTTATTGATCATATCTAGATTAACTCCCTCAGCTATTTATAGTAATTTGGTAACATTAAATAAACAGTTTAATAAATGCATGTATCTCTGTAAATTGCAGCCTGTTCAAATCTTTTAGATGATATTTGAAATGGCCAGAAAAAAAAAAATGTAATAAGCCCATTATAACAGCCTCTGATTGTGCAGTTGCCAGCTTTGATCCGGTAATCGTCTTGAAAGTGTAATGTATAACACACTGCAAGAAAGTTATAATTTGCAGATTTTAGCAAATATATCTTATCTCTAGGTTTTGTAATTGATGATTAGGTATTATGATATATCGAGGACATATAACTTTAATTTCTACCTTTTCTCTTCGGTGCATCCTTTTTAGGTCTCTCTTCTCCCATTAACTCAGCTAATTCAGCCTCAAAATCATCATCTCCATCCATTCCATACATATCATCCATTCCTCCCATACCCATCTACAAAAACAAAATAAGAGGTATTCTTAATAGTACTGAACTGAAAACTAAACATTATTTTATTTAGGCTATAATTAAATGAACATGTTAATTTAGAGTTCCATAAATATAAAGGAGCAGGCCATAAACAACTTCGAATATATATACCAACAGATTCAAATCCTTTCTAATCATTCTTAAACTTACACAAAACAAGTTAGGTGCAGGAATAATTAAACAAGACTGCTGGGCTAAATGGTTCTGGGAATCAGGAACTATATACATATGTACTCAAATCAAATATTTATTAGGATTTTATATTGCTTTTTCAAGGAAGTGGCCCATGGATATTCAATTAACGGATTTATAATTGTTTGTATTTACAACGCTGTTATTTTTAGTATCTTCAGATATGGCTGCTTAACACGCACATGGGAACTGGTACTGAAATTTCAACATTTTACTGGTCGTTTTGACCGTCTGACTGTCTCTGATCGGAAGATGTCCGCTGACAGTTCCTAGCCCTTCCTAGATGGTTTCAATATGAAAATATAGTAAAATACTGCTCTTCCCCACCGTCTGATCAGAGACAGTTCCTTACCTAAAGGAACTTGTTTTGACCAAATTATAGTGTTTTTGACCAAAGTAAATTTTGGTCATTTCGGTTTATGGCAGTTATATATATGACCACATCCCATGGAAGAAATAGTCTTGCATAAAAAAAAATAAAATAAAAACCATCCAGAGTCTGACACACTCGAAAAATAATAAAACCCCTCGCACAAGGGTAATCGGCTGATTGTGACCATGGCTGATTGTGACCTGGCTGATTGTGACCTGGCTGATTGGGACCAGATTTGTGGCCGAATGGGACCAGATTCTTGGCTGATTGGGACCAGATTTTTGGCTGATTGGGACCACGACAAGGCTCATTCTGACCATTATTTAAATGACGAGAGTATTTAAAATATGTTTGCATGTATTTGATAATAAGACAAAAATGACAATAAATAATGTAATTAGTGATTGATGGCTTCAATACAAATGAGCTAAATCACAGAGAAGATGCTTCACATTCTTGGCTGATTGGGACCAGATTCTTGGCTGATTCGGACCATGATAAGGCCAAATCAGACCAATGGCGAGAGTATTTAAAATATGTTTGCATGACAATAAATACTACCCAGTATTATCAAATTGTAACCCAATATCAAATAGCCTCATACCAGTATAATTACTGCAACGAATGCGATATTTTGTAATGAATGAAGTTGAAATAATGACAGACAATTGGCACAGGCATCTTTAACCAAGTTTCAAGGAGCAATGATGTGAGCACATTTTCCACCATATTTATATATTCTGATAAATGTAATCTAACCAAGTAGTAGCCAAGACAGAGACCTTCCTGATCTAGACAAGTGTTGAATGCAAATACATTAAATTGGTTGACAAATGTGTAAAATTTTCTTAGCAATATATACAAATACACATTAAACAAAGTTAAAGCACCAGGTAGTAGTAGTAGTACAAGAACCTAATCACACCATTTATTGTTAATTAATAACAAGCCTAGTAATCCAATAAATAATCAGATCCAATCACACAAATTCCCTATTGTGGCTATCAGTAAGATCTGAGTAATTTTCATGTAGTAATATAGTACATTTTCCACGATACTACCTACATGTTTACTTATGTTAAAATTGAGTCTATAAATCTATTACTATTATGTTTATTTTCTGAACAAGGTTCCTATAAACATTTTGACTGCTTTTATATACATCATATTTTAAATTACCGATTTCCGTTATGCTACTGTATTGCTGGTATTAGTTTTCAAATTTTTTTTTCTGACACTATTTATTCAATAAATATTTACATATTATAAAAGTACACTATATGATTGTGGTTTTCAAATTTGTATGGTTTAAACAGTATTTCGATAACATATAATTACACACAATATATGTATAATGGATTCGGATTTCCGTTATGCTACTGTATTAGTAATTTCTAGTATTAGTTTTCAAATTTGTATGCCTTATTGAAATTAACATACCGTAAATTGGTTTAAACAGTATTTCTATAACATATAATTACACACAATATATATAATGGATTCCGAAACAAGCTATGAAGTTTATAATATAAAATAAAAATGGCATGTTTAAATTGAATAAAACGTATAATAATTTACATATGATTATTGAGATAATCTCTGTTAATACAGTCACTTTGACATTAAAAATGGAATATAAACATAAATAACGTACATAAAAGCACCTCAGTTTCTAGTATTTTTTTATCATGTGGTCCGAATCAGCCTCATAGTGGTCCGAATCAGCCTAGTGGTGGACCCAATCAGAATCAGCCATGGTCCCAATCAGCTTGGTTTCCTAACAATTTTAAGTACAACTACGGGTCAAAAAGAGGGGACTTTATTCTGATTCGACTAATCCAGATCGCCCTGCGTCTTTTCCGTCCACTGCATATGTTGACAGATAAATATTGTCAGACATTATCGACTAATAAACAAAATTATACTTATAGGCATGACTATGATTATGAATCAGAATAAAAAGTCAACCCAGACTCAGAGATTTGAGAAAAGAAAGCTGTCTCCGGAAAAATTTGATTTAACATCTATATTCACCTGGTTCATTAGGCTTGCCCCTTTCCTTTTAGATCGATCTTCACCTTTCCGTCCAGACATATCTTTTTATTTGAACAATAATTATTTTAAAATAAATATAAATTTATTGCAAAATACTTCAACCAGCCAAAACAACGGAAATGTTTACTTTTTTGTCTGGGTCATGAGAGTTATCCGTTTCATAGTCGGGATTATCAAATATTATCAGTTTCTATTACAAAAAGAGTCTGAATACCCGAATCTATTTCAGGTCAAGGACGTAAAGTGCAAGAAGAGAAATTTGTCATATGATTTTCTTGTTTACAAATGCATTAATTTCTGAAGTTACATTAGGCATGCACCTACAAAAGTTGCAGTTGTTGATACAACTAGAAGATGGATGAAACATCAGATGATAATAATGAAATGGTAATTGGAGAATTCCAAGAAATGAATGGGAAAAGGGGTGGGGAGGTATGAAAAGACATGCCCATGAAGTTATGTTATCATGACTATGGCACGAGTAGTGTGCATGGATTATGTATAGGCCTTATGCATTATGCTTATATTCCAGCTAAATAAATGTACAGAATTTAAGATACTAATACTAGTCAAAAACAAAACATTTAACATTGTATTTAAATACCATTTGTAATCCTGGGTACTGCCTGGTGCAATTTTCTACCTGAGGCCAATAATAATTAATATTAAAGTACGGTAGCTAAGACTCTAACCCAATATCATCCAAGTCTTCGACATTGAAAACACAAATTATTTGTCAATGTAAAGTAGCTAATTAAGTCTCTAACTCAGTATCATCCAAAATCTTTGACATTGAAATCACAAATTATTTGTCAATTTAAATCAACGTTGATGTTGTAATCTTACTGGAAAAAGATGGGCTTCTGATATCCAACATTTAAGACAAAATAACATTTTGCCATTGGTACACAAATCGTGTACCATAATGCGTTTCTGTCCCATTTATAACAGGGGACTCAAAGAACGAGGCTAGACATATTCCACAAATCATGTCAAACGGTGGTGCCATTCTTATCTGGAGAGCATGAGCAATAAATAATATGTAGACTGGAATAACCACATGCTGGAGATTGCCATTCGATTGAGATTTCGGGCATATTTCGCCGAATGATTGAATGTAAATCAGTTTTTATACATTCATATTACATTATTACATCATATTGACGACTGTGAGACAATGAACAAAGTTTTATTTAATTTAAAGTTTGCTATATTCAAAAAAGAAAGAAACATTCTTCCAGGTGTGTCAAGCTCAATTTGTTTATATGGAGACAGCTATTTTAGTATACTATGGGTATTACCAGGTTTTTAATTCCCACAAACGGCTGCAAAAACATGGTCTAGAAAGTCACTACAGATTACTGATCGATCAGTTAGTTCATTTGATCTGAATGCCATCATCAATGGAAATATGTCTGATGTCTATGTGTCCCTTAAAGCCAATACTATATAGAAATGACATTTATATATTGTGTGTATTTTTCAGGAAGAGAAAGTGGTCACTAATAATGACCTGTATGCGAAGGATATATTTGTTTTAATGCAAAAGGGATGTAGAGTCTCTAGGAATATCCGAGCATCATGGTACTTCAAACATTTAAACTCTAAAATTCAATTCAAGTTACATGTACCTCAAGAACTGGTAAGAAATTTCATGTCTGTCTAGCTAGAACCCTTGTAAAGAAAGCCACATGTCTCATTGTTATTTCCTCACATGTGGAGGCATATATTGTCATCACCCATGCCCAGAAACCTATCTGTTTTTGAGATCACTTGACTATAGAAAAAATATATTCAAATAAATGTATGTATGTAGTGTTGATCTCAAACATAAATTAAAACCTTCCCTCATCTTTACCACAGATATGAAATTTTGATTGCCATTGGGAATGTTTGAAATCCATGCAACATGTAATATAGCACTAAATCGTAATTGCTATTTATTAAAGAAAATAATTACTTAGGTAATCACAATATTTTATTATTTTAGCCTGTTGCCCAAAATGAGTTATCACTAGTGTCTGTTATTCCACCAAATGGTGAGAAACTTGACCCAGATCAGAAATATAATGTTTGTATACAGCCTCATACCTTTGTTACCTTCCTGGCTTCAATTTATCGACTGGCTTTTGTACTTGATATCAGTCCTTCAGTTTTCTGTGTGGTAAGTAATTAGTAATCTTAGCTTGCTAATTGAATTATTCATATGAGAGAGAGAGAGAGAGAGAGAGAGATGAAGAGAGAGAGAGAGAGATGAAAAGAGAGAGAGAGATGAAAAGAGAGAAAGATGAAAAGAGAAAAAGAGATGAAAAGAGAGAAAGAGATGAAAAGAAAGAAAGAGAGAGAGAGAGAGTTTTAGCAATAGGAGGAAACCAGAGTGCCCTGAGAAAACCCATCAAGGTCAGATAGGCATTCATTCCCCTTCTGTCTGTACCAGCCTTGGATCATAACCACAATACTTGACTCAATGACAAACTTTATAATCTAAAGTGATGTCTTAAACCACTTGGCCACCCATGGGCCAACTGCCTCTATTCTTAGAAGAGGGTTTCTAAGTCAAGTTCCGAAAATTTCATAGACTGTACTTTTTATTACTTCATATACTTGGTTATTTGTTTTTGCATATTTGTCTTATTATTATCATATAAAGGAAGTAGGTTTGACATCCATTTTGGAGAATGGGACTCATTTTTTAACTGCACACCAAGAAAAACCCCATCAGACCTTAATGGCAGCCTGTACAAAATTACAGTTCTTTAAAATTCAATATATATATTATAATCAACAATACCTGCATTAATTATTGATTTCAGGATTTATTCAAGAATCAAGTGATGTATGATGATTTATTAAATACATTAAATAACTGTATACGAGGATTAGTTAAACCAGTAAGTTCTTCATTTATTCTGGGATTATCTCCCAGGTCATATATTATTTACATGTATAACTTAGCATGGAATTTGTTTAGACCTCCAATTACGTCTACACTGTCCAGTCACACTGAACTAGTCATTCCATTATTAGAAATGTAAGTTTACAGGATTGAAACCTGGGATTCAAGTAAAAACTCACAAATCTCCTGTCATCTGAACTGACAAACCATTTTATTATGAAGATGGTTATTGTTGACAGTGTGTAATGAGTTATAATCCTTTAGTGGCATTTACTGATTGGAAAACATTACAGAACTAACACAGTTATATGGAGAAAACAATCACTCGTATATTATACTCAAGCACATCGTTTCGATAAATATTCTCTTATCGTTATCAAGTACAATGACATGTAGTGTGTGTGAAATAGCTTTATTTAACGTCCACTTCCACCGGGGTGATATCGCAGACAAGGACATTTAGTATGTGTGAAATAGCTTTATTTAACGTCCACTTCCACCGAGGTGATATTGCAGACAAGACATTTAGTAAACTGGAAGGTCGATACACAACATGATGACAAGGATAGATTAGCATAAAGTCATTATGCTTGATAACGATAAAAGAATACTTATTGAATTGTTGTGCTTGTGTATAATAAACCAGTGATTGTTGTCCCATATAACTGTCTTAGTTCTGTCATGAGTTACTTTCTTATAATTTTCAGCCCCTGTTATTACATGAATAATTAAATATATACATAGAATTTGTTTTGAATAGTTTCAGATTCCAGGCTGTAATGTGATATTTAAACCAGAATTATATGTAACTGTCATGTTACAAACTCCAGTTATCCAGTCAAAATCTAATCAGGTAAATTTATAATTCACTTCTATAAACTATTAGTGATGGGATTTCAAAATTGTTCTTGTCGGACATTTTTACCAAATATAAAGGGACATGACTCTTATGGTTATTTAAGCAGGCAGTTTTAGACCACACACAAAAATCATGTGTCAACAAAATGTTCAAATTTGTACGTAATAAAAAATAGTTGCACCATGTTATTTTTCATATTTAATTCCCGTACAGTATTCAAATGTATGTCAGTAATATTCCTACAAATTACGTGATGTCGTAATACGATACAATATGATCATAAATCAGAGAATATGCCATCAAAATAGAATCTTTTCTCCGACATTAGACGTGTGAAATTTGTTATGTATTCATTTCATAATTTCACGCGTCTCGCGAGATTTCTACTTCCGTGTCAGTTATTGTACTATAATCCTGTGCGTTCAGAAACAGAGCTTGCATTGTCTAGTGTGTGTGTGAAAACCTTTATTTAAAGCTCGCTTTCACCGAAGTGATATTGCAGACAAGTTATCGGATACAATGTATATTGATTTGGAATGTTATATACTATTAGGATATGTGACATATATGACTAATTTTTACATATTGTCGGCCGACATCAGGGAGATTAAAATGTCCGAGAATGGAGAAATCACGTGTCAGTCACGTAGATTAAGTTTATAATCACTCTTATTGGATTGATACAAGGTAGGTGTATAGACGGTATAACACAATAAATACGTTGATCACTTAATTCCTTAATCAGTCTATCCCATTATCAACGATAATCGGGTTGAGTGGTAAATATACACTCAGTACACTATATTAATTTTGGAATTTTGAATATTACCTTGATGTCTGATTGGGCATAATCCTGGTCGAATAATTTAGGACGTTTTGAAAATAACGTTGGACATGTCCGTAATATACGGGCGAAATCCCATCACTGGTATCTACTCTTTGTCTGAATTATGTTATTTATACTTAATTTCTCACTTCAGCGGTTTTAACTTGACATTTCATTCTGTTTTCGAGTATCAAATCTGGTCAATAGTAAGAAATGAAATGTGGTTTAACATTTTACTTTCTGCACCAACCGTGCTTAATAACATACGCCATGCATTGTGCTATGACGAAAATTCTGCCTGCACAGAGTCGCTATAGCCTACTCTTGCTTTGATTTCCAATTGTCACAGATCTTTAATTTTGCTAATACTGGCGGAAAAATGGGATTTCTTCCTATTTTTTCGTCCAATCCAACGAGAGACACAATAATAAAACCTCATAGCTGTATGTCGATATTCTATATCAGGTGCCCCCGAAAAAACGAGTAGACTTTTTAAATAATGTACTCGTTTTTTTCTGTGCCACCCAATATATTAATTCTATATTACAGGTGTTAATACAAGGAGTTCAAATTACAGAGAAAAATGTAGAGCATGTTCTTCATTTGATTCAAGATAAACTGAAAATATTTGAACTCTCTTTATATCAATCTTCAAAGTCAATTTTGAATATATCTGTAAGTAATTTTATTCACATGTTCTTAATATATATATATATATATATATATATATATATATATATATATATATATATATATATATATATATATATATTTCATCTTGGTAAATTAATGTTTCAACTCTTCTGAAACACAGTGGAAACTTGGGAGGTCTCTGTTAATAAAATCGCAGATATGTAGCATATGCTTAGACTTTCATTGAGTATATATATTAATTTATGAAACATTAATGAAACATTAATTTACCAAGATGAAATTTAGGTTATTAAGTTGAAGTTAGGGTTACTAAATTGGAATGTTTGCATAAATTGTTTCAAGACTCAGAGTTATAGTCCCCGACTGCTGGGTAGGATGTACTCACTTAACAGTTACCTTACTATGGTCCCTATTTATATATATATATATACTCAATGAAAGTCTAAGCATATGCTACATATCTGCGATTTTATTAACAGAGACCTCCCAAGTTTCCACTGTGTTTCAGAAGAGTTGAAACATTAATTTACCAAGATGAAATTTAGGTTATTAAGGTTATTTAGGTTATATATATACTCAATGAAAGTCTAAGCATATGCTACATATATATATATACTCAATGAAAGTCTAAGCATATGCTACATATATATATATACAGAGTTATAGTCCCTGACTGGTGGGTAGGATGTACTCACTTAACAGTTACCTTACTATGGTCCCTATTTAATTTGAGATGTTTAGCAAAGGTAGTTACAGAGATGATGTCCATGACTCATGCGGTTATCGATAAACCTACATTAATATATTCGGTAAACAAATTATGAGATGAAAGGTCTTATTACCTGATGATTAAGCTACTGGTTTGTGTACATTACCTTGTCTGGCAAGCTATGTTTTCATTTTCCACTACTATTTTATTATATAAATAAAATGAGGTATCGAAACATCCTACGGTTACATTGTTGGCTATAATTTATAGGACATGAAAGGGGAAATGACTGTAGAGGACGATGGTGAAGATATTAAGAATCCAACAACATCAGATTTATTGATGACTCCAGAAGCAGGTTTTGTAAATATGATAAGATATGGTATACTGTCTTTACAACTTTTACCTGAAAACTCCAGTGCAGGTATAGCCATCTTATTTCGCTTATGTGAATTTATTTCACTCTAATCAAAAGAGGTTATTGTGGGAACAGTATTTCCCTTGTCCATCTTAGAAATGGGAATTTTTTGGACACAAGGTATTGAATTTCATTAAATACAAGAAAAAAAGTATCTGCTTTGATAAGACAAAGTTGCCTTTTTGGAGGTTTAGCAATATTTTAAGCAAAATGAAGTTAATGAACAATGAGCCACTTTGTTGTCATTATTCACCAGATATGGAATAAGTAATATAACAAAGGCACTTTTATAGGGAATACGCTGGGAGTGTTTTTTTATTTTGGCCTAATAGGTTAATAACACATCACTGTCTTCAGAAATAGATTCTGACAAGCCGTCTTTCTACCTGAACAACGAGCTGTTTCATATTGGTGAATAACGGACAGCGAGCCAGTTTGTTGTTCGGTATATGCGAATAATGAGCTAATATACTAAAGGCACTTTTATAGGGACTGCGCCAGGAGTGTATTTTTTATGAGCCTAATTGGTTTATAACACTTCAAAGTCTTTGGAAATAGATTCTAACAAGCTGTCTTTCTACCAGAACAACCAGCTGTTTCACATTGGCGAATAATGAACAATGAGCCCGATTGTTGTCCGGTATGCTCGACATATTCGCCGATATGAAACAGCTTGTTGTTCAGGTAGAAAGACAGCTTTTCAGAATCTATTTCCCAAGACACTGAGGGTGTTATTACGAATTAGGCCAAAAAAACCTGCTCCCAGCGTATTCCCTATAGAAGTGCTTTTATTATATTAATAATTCCATACCTGGTGAATAGCGAACGACAAACTAACTCGTTGTTCGTTATTCACAAATACTGTACAACAAACAACAACAAACTGACTTGTTCTTTGCTATTCACGAATACTGAACAACGAACCACAAGCTGACTTCATGTCACTAATCTTTTAGGCGATATTGAATTTAATGTTACATAATTGAACCACAAAGCATGCACTGACAGAACAAGAAAATATCTCTACCAATCACAACAGCTGAAACATGCTCAATGTATTTGATGATGTCATTATTCTACTCCACATCAGTTATTGGGACTGTGACAGGACTGAATTCCATGTCAATGGATTGCAATTCTGTCCATCGCCCTATCCTGCAATTAGTCTTTAAATCTTGTACTTCAGTGCTTGAAATATGCACTGACCAATGCTGAATAATTCCTTACAGAACCAAAACTGTTCCAGTAAGAAATCTGCATTGTATTCTATGTTGTTTCTTTTTATTTTATTCCAATAAATTATGAAAATCAAGATGCCATTACCATCATTATACCAGGTATGTGAGTGGATTGAATGGATGCAGTTTTAAATAACCTTGTATGATATGTCGTTAAATGTAATATTTGTAGGTGTAATTGTATTGACTGATGGATTAGTAGGATTACCAGAAGCTAATTTATTTGAGAGATTATTAACACAGCTGAGAAACAGTACCATATCGTGTTCATTTTTAAAGATTGGTAGTAATGAGCCTAATCATCAACAGTTTGGTCATGTAGCTCATGTTGAATTGATGCAATTTATAGCTACAGCAACTTTTGGTGCTTATATAGCAAGTTGTCCTAAACTGGTAAGATGGACTGTTTTAATAATATAATCAGGTTTTAACTTTGAAAAATTATTGGTGCTTGTTTTATACAGAAACGGATACATAAACTCTCACCCTATACATAAACCCTCATCCACAGAAATAATAGTTGTACCTTTTAGATCACAAATCCTATCAAATTTTAATTTATATTAAGGGCATTTAGAATATCTATCCATATTCAGTTAATCATTAACTGAAAACTGTCATTTATTGTATCTACATCTAAACTAAAAGTTATTCTTAACTTTGATTCTAATGGGGGGTTTTCTGTTTATTTTAAGACATAATTTTTTGTTATTACAGGATGACTCACATGCACTGGAACCTAATATCTATCACAAGGCTCTATATTTCTGGAACTTTCAGAAAGGATTAGAAGGATTTAAATATGAATTGACACATCAAAGTGATGAAGATGTACCTGGTTCATTAGCATGGATTAACAGGTTATTAAAACATTTTACTTTGAGCAATATCTACAACAAAGCCAATTATGTATTTCCTTTTATCAATATCTGCCATCTGCCATATGTCGAAAAAGAAATGCCTTTTAGATCAGATAAATAATTCAGTGACCTGATGCCATTCATATCGATGAAGGCAGTTTATTCCATGAAGATGATTTAATGCATTTGGAAAAAAACACCACAAAATAAATTCCCGAAAGTCTTAAAAAGAAGCAATCCTTGTACTTGAAATGTGGTTATTAATATTAACCAAATTTATGATTAGAAATGTTCAGTAATGCTCATATTATTTGTTGACTCCAGTTTACGCTATCAAGTTCTTCAAGTGCTGACTTTCATTGAGACAATAACATATTATTATACACAATTAATATGGTATATCGTGTTAAATTTATTTCATCTTTAAGATGTTGTATTATATTTTCAGGAAATTATACTCTAATCCTCTAGATAGTAAAAGAATTGGATTAGACAATGTACGTAAGAAACATGTTGAAAATTCTGTGTCTGCTAATATCAACAGTGTTTTATCCTTGAGATTAAGAGAGGGCTACACAATTAAAGAAGTTCAGATCATCCAAGGTATACCTTTATATTTGAATTTGTCAGAAACATATATTATTCATAATTGTTGCTTTTAAATCTGTATATTATTGTCAATAATAATAACACAATAAGAGAGAGAGAGAGAGAAATGGGGTTTAACGTCCACTCGACACAAACTAGGTCATTTCGGGACTAACATATGGTTTAATTTTATTTCTATAATTCGCTAGCGCGTAGGGGTCTTTAGCAGTGGGAGGAAACCGGAGAAAACCCACGAGGTTGGACAGGCGACCCTACTCCTTGTCATGTACAACCGGGGATTCGAAACCGCGCCAGTCGACTCAATGACAGACTTTATGATACAGCGCGCTCACTCTAACCACTCAGCCATCCAACCCCCCAATAACACAATAAACCAGTTCAACACTTTATTTTGATGTAAATCAAAGAGCCATTAAAACCTACATCAGTGAGTAAACCGCTGCATCATTAACCAGAAGCACACAAGTTAAGATTTTATTACTATTTATTTTAAATGTTTAAATAATTTAGCTCCTGTTTACCTCTCTGATCTTTTAAAACTTTATAAAACTGTTCAACTAGTCTCTTACTGTTAGCTCTTACTATCAACCCCTTTCTTATGGAATAATCTACCTTTTAGTTTAAGTTGATATACATCTGTAGGTTCTTTTAAAAGACAACTTAAAACACATTTATTTAAACAAGCTTTTAACTGACTCTGTATATACAACTTTTTACATTGGTTTTATGATTATAGAGTCCCTGACCACGTAATGTGAAAGGGCGCACTATAAATATGCTGTAAAGTTCCTCTGGAATTTTCAGCATGATTTCTCCTTGTCAGTGCTGCAGATCAAAGGACCTGGCACACATGTTTGTTGGCCTGCATATAAAACAAACACTTGGAATTTGGCTAGATGGAATTGTCGCTATGTGTGCTACGTTTTCCTCATAACTTATTACATGGCATATGCACATTTTCATTAACACAGTTGGTGTAGAAAAGTAGGACATTAAACACAATTTCATTTTATTTTTTATCTTATAGGTGGAAGTATAATGGTTAAAATGGTTTTACCATGGAGAGAGTATGTAAGAATAGAATACATTGCCATGGCTGCCTGGCCTTTAGATCAGGATAGGTAAGGTGTTTACAGGACTTGTTTTAATGTAATGGCAACATCTCTTGAATTGACTTTTTTTCTTCTCAAGGATTAGTGATTATTCATATAGTATATAAAAGTGACCAACTCATAAATTTGTGCTTCTTTTAGAACTTATTTCTGTAAGACATTTAAGGTATATAAATATTGTTTGATTTCAGCCACAAGACTAATATAGAATTACATATAGAAGGCAGTTATTCTTTTCTACATGAAATAACTTGTCAGAAACTTCATATTAAAAGTCCCTATAGATCAGCTAATGTCAAAAGATTCTGGCAAGCTATTCAAAGGTAAGGTATGCCAATAAGAGAGGCACCGTAATCTTTATGTTAGAATGCAGATTTCAGAATCTCAAGATGTTGGATTTAAATCCAGAAAAGTAGTTTCTTTTTGATGCATGGTCAACTCCAGTCTATATGGACTGTGAAACCAAAAATTGCCCGACAATGCATGGGTGGAAATTTAGATCAGCAAATGAGTGTTACCAAATGTTCCAGAATGTTTCTGTTATGTTAACATATTACATCTCATATAGCCATGTATACTCATAAAATAAAAACTTAAAAAATTATTTTATCATTAAATACAAAATAAGTAGTCCAACGTGCAATGTATACTCTCTTCTCTGCTACATATTTTATTAGCCTTGTGATTGTCTAGTATTGTCTCTGGTTATATTTGTAATTTCTCTTATGACTCACATTGTGTTTATATTTTTATCTCCGCCATTAAGACGTATCTTTAAATGTCACTCTGACATCCCCAAACTACACGCAGCGATCCTTCTACGCCATACTTCGAGATTATGATCACTGCCCCAAATAGACTCCATTTAAAACGCTCACGTGATCATTTTGGAGCGGGACTCATCGACGGGACTACCGCTTTGTGTGTACACAACAGAGTAAAAATAACTTGATGAAGCACATGTATTATGTAAACACGTGTCATTGGCAAATTGTCAACTTCTGCCACTACGTTAAAAGTGGTATATAATATGTGCTAGTGGGTAATATTACAATACATTCTTTGCCATTGTAAACTGTCTTTAGAGTTTCAATCTGTTTATCTTTTAAAACAAGGTTAGATACTTCTAAATTTGTCTTCGCAAACAAAACTGCCTCTGTGAAATTATGTTTCATGGGCGCCACCATATTGAATAATTAGAGGATTATTTTGTGATTCGGCTTTGATTAGTTTGACATCTTTCATACACACAGCGGCTAAATAAACATATTTAATTTCATTCAATATGACAATAGAAGAGAAATAAATACTTTTAAAAATTACTAAAAGCATGCTCAATGTTTTCGACTAAAATCGTCGATGTAGGAATTAAAATGTCGGTTAATTAGCTTAGGGTCTGTTCTCAGGCGGAGCTAGCTGTAGACAGGCAGCCTAAGTTTGGGATGTGACATCCCACGTTATCAGTCCCAAAATATTGTATGGTTAGCAAACAAGTTGACAGGAACAAAAGTATGGTTTCCACAGTTTTATATCAAGCTGGATACATAGATTACAAGCATAGATCAAAATAATGTCATTCTCTCCATCTCTCAACCCAGATATTGCCACTTGAACCTCAACTGTCTCTCCTAACAAATTTCTACATGGTGTTTGCACTCTCAAATCTACATGGTGTCTAAAAATCATGCACATCTCAAGTGTTTGTATGTGCTTTACCTTTTGCTATCTATTATTTAATTGGTCAAATATTACATAATTAATTATGATGATTGGTTACAAAGCCTAATGACCACATGACTAAGCCAAATATGGAATAGACATACCTCATATCTTGCATACCAATATGTGGCATATGACAAGTGTGTTTATTAACCTAAAGTTCAATTTATGTTTAATATCATCACAAATTTCCGTTCTATGTGTTATTTTACTTGTCTATGAATCTACAAATAATTATTGGTCAAGGTCATAATATTATTATACATATGTGTTCTTTTGCACAAATCCTACCATCCATATTACTACACTACTGAAATTTCAGTTCTGTAATATGTATAATGTTTTTATTTCCTTTCAGTGTAAATCAGACAGATAAATGGTTGGCTCATCTACAATCTTTTAGTACAAATAGTAATTATTATACAATACCAGATTCTATAAGAAATGGCATTCCGTTATTTGTTGCTTCAATATCTAACCAAAAAACTGGTATTACTCTTAATAATCAACTAAACTCAAGGTACAAATATTATAAATTTATATTAAATCCATTCTGTTTCTTAGCCGACCCTTCAAAAAAATCTGATGTGCAACAGAGGTTTTTATTTTTTTTTTTATGTTTTTATTTTGTCAAAGGGGCATTTGAATAAATTTGTTTTGTCACATATCAAGGTTCTAGCATTATCTCATCATCAGTTTATTCATGCTGTTTATTGGGATTCACTTATATAATTACTAATTCTTGAAATATCTAAAATTTACTGCATGCTAAGCAGAATTCAAGTTTATTTATTACAAGCAGTCATCTTGGTCTACGGTTGAAAGCTTATGTTTTGTACGTCTAATATGAATTCTGCACCTTCCATCTCTCATCCCTATGGAGTATAAGTTCAGTCATTTCTTTCTCATTACTTGATGTTGTAGTTTGCAGCACGAAAGAAATGGCTTAAACAATTTACAATTAAACAGGCAAATTGATGGTCAACATTTCCTTGATAATACTTAGTCAATTTACGATTTTCCAGTACCATATATATGATTCTCAATAACATTTATCAGGATTGTGTACTTAATAATTAAGCTTACGATAAACTTCCAGTTTAATGGAGTTACTTCTCATTGACCCAGGAAATATGATCGATCGGTAATCAATGAGTGATTCGGGTGATATATGAATGAGATACAACATATTTTGTATACAGCCTAATGGGTTCATCTGAACTGAGTTAATATTTTGTGATGCAAAATAAATTTGGGAATAATGAAACAACTTTGTTATGCTTTGAATAACAGAAATTGATACTACATATTGTGTCTGAACATGGTGGCCATTATTCTGTTCAGATAATACAGTCAGTCCTGCTCAAATAATCATTCATATTGAGCGACTTTTTGTTGTGATAGTTTGGCAGGAGAACCACACCACACATAAACAAAATCTCAGAAGACACATGGACAACAGACATTTTAAACAATAAGCAGTAAAAGTACTGTCAAATCAAGTGAATGGGGGAAACACAAAACTCAACAAAGGGAGCATTTCCAAAACTGTGGGTTTACAAGATATAATGTTAAGCAACTCCACAAGAGTCTCCGTTGGCTGTCTTAACTCACATTTCACTCTTATTATGCAATCATTGTTGCTTCAACCGTCATTAACTTTCGTAAGCTTTACATTTCGCCATTTGTGTCAAGGTCTCTTTCATAATAGCGTATGCATGTTTTTGTTGTATAGATAGCAAGATATTTCATAGATTATGACCTTTAATGTAAATATTTATTCGTTGTATTATGTATTTTTAGTGACAGTTATTTAGCCATATTTGAATCTTTTTGGAGACCAATTATTATGCTGGATACAACTGTTTGGTGAGTATTTTCATTCTAAATGAAAAACATCTTTGGGTTAGGAATGAGCCCATATTTTCATATGGACGTATATTGTCGTCGCCCCTGTCTGCGCACAATTTGTTTTTATATGCCCACATGGTAATGTGGTCATATATTGCCATCGCCCAGGTCCGTCTGTATGTCCGTCCGTTGTAAATACTACATTTATCATCTGATTGTTTTGAAATTGATATATGTTGTTTACAGTAGTGAGATGGAGAAGCCTATTTAATTTCAATAATTTCCAATAATTTCTTCTGGAGTTATAGTCCTTCTTTCACTTTGTTGAACCTTGTGAACGCTGTAACGACACAAGTTGTCATCCGATCTGTATGGAATTTGGACGCATGCACTTAAATTAGTGAAACAAAGAACCCTATTGAATTTCAGCAATTTCTGTTAATTATGTCTTGTGAACACTCTAACAACTAAAGTTATCAACCGATCTGTATGGAATTTATATGCATCATTTAAATTAGTGAAACAAAGAAGCCTATTGAATTTCACAATTTCCGTAAACTATGTGTAGAGTTATGGTCCTTGTTTCATTTATATTAGTGAAATGAAGAATCCTATTGAATTTCAGCAATGTCAAATAATTACTTGTAGAGTTATGGCATTTGTTTCACCTTGTTGAGAATTGTGAACGCTCGAATGATGAAAGATATAATCTGATCTGTATGAAATTTATATACATTATTTAAATTAGTAAAACAAATAATCCTATTAAATTTCAGCAATTTCTGTCAAATACTTCTAAATTTATGGCCCTTGTTTTACTTTGTTGAACTTTTGAACGTTCGAATGACAAAAATTATTATCCGATCTATATGAAATATCTATGCTGGTGGAATTTCAACAATTTCTGTAAATTACTTCCAGAGTTAAGACCCTTGTTTCAGTTTGTAGAACACCCAACAAAATATCATACTTCTGTAAAAGATTTGGAGTAAATAAATGACTTATAAGTATAATTAATGTCATATATTCTAAATTATATATTTAACAAACAATAATGGAAATGATATTAAACTCAATATTCCTCTAAATGTTGTTTTTCAGGCAAAAATGGATGCACTGTCATCTGATTGGTCTAGTAATGGAACATGATATGCCCTTACCCAAATACCTTCATATACCTAACTCTAGTGGTAGATTTCATTCTATAGCCTGTATGCAAGCTCAAACAGAACTCAATAAAACGTTACGAGAATGGACTACTTTTGTTCTTAGAGAGAATATGTCTTACATAAAACTACTGTTCAGGTAATCACTCAGCAACTATAGTCTGTATGTACAATTATACTGTGAAACAAAAAATGATTACCCGATAACGGTCTGGGTCTTTTATTATATGAATTACAATTAACCATTTAGCAAACATTGGTGTTCAAAACAAAAAAAATGTGTGTTGCATCAGTTAGTGTTAATTTTATGGCACATAAATTTCTTGTTATGATTTGGACTCTGTCATCTCCAATTTTCAGTCACCATAAAAATTAGCCAGAATATACTGGGGATAATCAGTGAAACAATCTGAAATTCAATCATCTAATCATGTGAGCAGTGATAAAGCATGTACCAACTGAACAAGAAAATATCTCAATCACCATCCCTTATAGACATGTCACTATTCTAATATATCATTATTTTGGTACTTTATTGGTAAAATATTATGTCTATAGTTTGAAATATAATGCATGGCATAAAGCTGGGAAAACAATGAATTATGTATACTTGGACTTAGGGTGGCCAAATTTTTATGTTAGAGCTCAGGGACCTTATTCACAAAATCTGAAGTTAAAATATGTAAAAGATTAAGGATGGGTTCCCAGAAAAGTATTTATTGGGTGGTTATTTCCAATAAAAGTATGGTAATTTTGGTATATATAGAAAGTAGAGATATCCAATCTTACTAGAAAAATACTGGATTCCTCGAAAAACACTCATGGAGCGTATACAGGACAAAAATGTAAGGGTTCCCCTAATCAACAGCCCGACGATTAGGAATTTCTGCACGTGTGATGTCAAAGGTCACATGCGAACATTGAGCGCTTGATGTACAAGTTGATAAACTTTATGAAGAGTTAGACGTACAACACTTTCTGAGATAAAAATGACGGAAAAAGACGACGGTAGTGGATAATCTGAGAATTTAATTAGGATTCGATATTTATAATAAATAGTAAGCAATTAAAGACAACATGGTCTTATGTATGCAATGAATTCTCCTCTGACTTACAAGAGAGGTTAGTCACGTGACTTAAACGTGACCTGGTTTGATCAAAATTTTATAGCAGGACATTCCTTCGCAATTAAATGTTTGAGAAGGATTTGAAGCAAAATTATGACAAATTAATTAGTTTGAATATGTTTTTAGTCCATATATACCATTAAATCACCCAGTTTGTACGCGGGAACCCATCTTTAAGTCATTTATTGTCTATCAGCTATAATTGTATTAGTATTTGGTGGCTAAGTCATGTGGAAATGCATTAGGATATTTTAATTTATGATTTTGTAGATGACACCCCCATTTAGTGACAATTTTCTTTCAAGTTTGCATGTGTTTTATTTCTAAATTGTATTTACATGTAAGTGATTATAAAAGTTTTTACTGTTTCAGTGATCCCGACAAGCCACCGTCTTATTTTTGTGTGCTACGGGTAACACTAAAAGGTCCTTGTGTGGTGCTTAGATTGGCCTTCCTGGGAGGAACACCCAGTCATTTACGCATAGCAGAAGTAGAAGAACTGCTTTTAAAAATTAAAGAATTAAAATTTCCACCGAGAGGAAGTGAAAAAACACTCAAAAAGGAGAAACAGGTTGCTAATGGTAATGGTAGTAAGAAGAAGAAGAAGCGAAAGACACCACTGATGAGGGATTGGTCAGAAATTAATTGTTGTATTATTTTTTCGAAGCCTGTGGAAAAGATTCTTATTAGGTAATTAAACATCCACTTTCCTAGATGATCTTGAAATAGCTGAATTGATTATGGTCTGTTGGTTCTTTTCTTGTTTAGTAGAGGTAGAGCAAAACAATATTGTAGATAACTACCCACTATAGATAGCCATGCATCTTAAAGTGACAGTTAAACGTATTTATTAATAATTTAATGGCATACACTTTTAGCTTTAATTCTTCTAGATGAAGCTTGTCTAGTCCTTTGGATTTTCTCTGGGTCCTTCAGTTTCTTCCCACTGCTAAAGACCCATAAGCACAATTGAATTTGAAAATTGTAACCCTATGTTAGTCCAAAAATGACGGGGTTGTGTTAAGTGGATTTTAAAAGCCAGTAGAAAGAGACCTGTGACACGGTTTGTAATTAGAGAGACAAAATCAGTTTGTAATCAATTTTAATGGATTGGCAGATCTGTCTCAAATATTTCATAAAATCTAATTTGAGTAACCCCAGTGTTGAATCAAATCGTGCCAATTTTAAAATGGTTTTGTTTTAGATAACAGACCAAGCATGGATGCTTTTATAATGCTGCAATCTAGAAAATTGAGTAAATAAGTCTAATATCTATATTATATATATAGATGCTCAATTTGCAACAACTTTTAAGTTAAATGCTACTTTTGTGGTTGACAGCTGTTGGATACAGTAATGTATCAATTGAATCATATTTTATAGCAAAATTGTCTCAACAAAAGAATAAAGAACAAGAACAATTGATAGTAAATTATATTTCTTCTCCTTGCACCTTCACTGAAACGTCGGAATTTAAAAATAGAATTAACTGAATCGGTAGACGAGATGAATAAGATATAGTAAATGCTTTTAACTAATTTAATAACTAATTCATATTAATAGACTATTTCATAATGATATTATTTATCAGATATGATCGAGTTCCAAAAGATATGATGTCTGTAGATGATCCAAATAAAGAAGAGACTTTTCCAATTTCATCTTTCCGAAGCACCATGTCCAATTCTACCAAATCTGCCACCAGTATGTTCCGTATGTTGTCACATTATTTATGTCATCAACGGTGGATATGGACCATTCAACAATCTTTTAATATACCTGTTGAAATGTCTTTTATTGGAAAAGTTTTGCAAACATTGACAAAGTGAGTATATTTTCATACAAATGGCACTCAAAACACTATGACAAGTTTCTTTGTATTTTGCCTATTACATGTTTCTTCCTTGACACTAATATATTTTATATTAAATGTCAGAATCAAGCATTGTCAATAATGTACAGTTGAAGTGTCCTTGATCATTAGCCTGAATATGGAAACTAATGTTCTACTTTTCTGCACCTACTGGGGCTAATGACGTTAGGTACATACGCCATGCAGTGTGCTTTGAGGAAAGTTTTGCTCAGACAGCAGCATATCTGCCTAATCGTCGTGGAAGTCCAAGTACAAAAGACCCCATCTGAAGGACCTAGAAGTTGTTCCTTGTTAGGCTCTCCGTCCTGCACCACTGACAAGAGGTAACCACACTCAAAAATCCCAATAAACTCATGGACGGCTCGGTTATTGATCAAATCATTACCAAGATCATCAGCCAATGTTCCTCAAATCTGAGGTAACCACACTCAAAAATCCCAATAAACTCATGAACGGCTCGGTTATTGATCAAGCCATTACCAAGATCATCAGCCAATGTTCCTCAAATCTGATGATCCTACACAGAATATGAAGCATATAGAATTTGGGTATAGGAATACCATGACTTAGATGAAGTAATGTTTTATATAAATTTACCTTTATGTGATATTTTATAGATTACGTCTGCAAGAAGGTTTTCATTTTGCTGCTACCGATTCTGGTATTGTTAGTTTTGTGTTAGAAGTTGATATGACAGTAAGATTTTTACTTTCTTTACTATGTATAAAATATTTCTGTCTGAACAAGCTGTGATAAGTTTCTTGTGGGATAATGAAAAAGACCTCATGTTAGCTACATTCAATTCTAAATTAATTCAAATTCGGGGCACAGAAAAATTCTGTACAATGTTAATATAACTGATTACAAAAATTTAAGCGTTTTTCTTGAAAGATAATCCATCTAGTTGGTTACTTATCAACTGCTGTAAGCATCATTCTTTACTCAAACAATTTTGAGTGTAAATTTTAATGTTTTTGAATTTAATGAATTGGACTTTCAGTAATAATCTCTTCTATATGCTGCCCATATTTGACTTTAACTATTTCTATAAAGTCATCCTAATTAAGATTATTCAAAAAAATTGTTAATTTTTGTGAGTCCTGTCCGTCTGAACTTAAAGTTATCATCTGATTGACAGTGTTTTTTCATAAGATGAATTAGCATATTGATTTTTCAACGATTTCTGATAATTACTGTCAAAGTTATGACTTCGTCATATTGAGGCAAAAGTTAACAATTAAATGAATTGAAATTTATAGGCAGGGTTTATGTTAATAAGAAGGCTATAGATTCTCAAATATTTCTTCTAATTAATTATTACTGTCAGAGTTAGAGCCCATGATCAGTTTGAAAAGTCTTGCAAACCCTAATGTTATCATCCGATTGACTTGAATTTTATACACAGTGTTTATGTTCAACTTTTTCCAATGATTAATTTTGTTGTTGCCCTTGATCACTTTAAAAATTTGATTGCCTTAAAATTTATACGAAGTGGTTATGTTCCTAAGATGAAGAATCCAAATAATTTTCAACTATCCCAATACTTGACTGTCAAAGTTATTGCCCTGGACCATTTTGAAAAAGTGAAAGTTTGTGCATTTATATCACCTTGAAGGTTGTAACTTTGTGATATATTCTAATTACAGGATCCTGATAATTATATTAAAGATAATACAACAGTTGAATATGAGAATTGTTCTAAATGTGTTGTACAATATGTTATATTTCCACCTCATGTGAAGACGACTAGAGATAGGTACGTCCAGTTTGTTGTTTGTTTGTTTGTATGGTTTTAGATTCCATTCTAACAAGTTTACAGAAGTATCTTTACCGTTAAATATGATTAATGCCAGGAATTTGCTATTGATATTTCATGTTTATGATTATTCTATAATTGTTCAAATTGAAGGTTGTTCATCTTTCAAAATACATGCACAATATTGTAATTAAATCTTTTTCGGTAATGTATTAGTGTGATATTGAAGTTATGATTATATGTTTATAAAGTATCAATGTGATGATGAAGTTTTAATTATTTGTTTATTCATTAATGTATCAGTGTGATATTAAATCTGTAGTTTATTTTAATAATGTATCAGTGTGATATTAAATCTGTAGTTTATTTTAATAATGTATCAGTGTGATATTAAATCTGTAGTTTATTTTAATAATGTATCAGTGTGATATTAAAGCTGTAGTTTATTTTAATAGTGTATCAGTGTGATATAAAAGTTGTATTTTATTTTATCAGTGTAACATTAATGTTGTATTTTATACCTATAGTGTATCAGAAGATGATATAGAAGAAATGGAAACAACAGAAGCTGATTTTGAATTACAGATTGTAACAGAATGTTGGGTAGAACCACAATATGGCGTCTGTGTTAATAATACACCAGAATGTAAACATCTAGATGGTCTTAAAGCTGATCAAATGGCAAAAGCTGTGAGTATATTCATTACTAGAATATTTAAATATTGTTTTCATTGCTGTAACCAGAAAAATATAATTTCCTTTCGTGGTGTTGAAATATTTGGAACGAATTACAGTCATGGATTCATTTTGTTTGAAAGTAAAAAAAAGAAAGTCCCTCCTTATTTCGAACAATGATATCTCAATCCCATACAGTCATGGAATCGTTTTGTTAGAAATTAAAAGAAAGTTTCTCTTTATTTTGAACAATGATATCTCAACCCCTTATTTAGACAGATGATCCACCTATATTTTAGCAATGAATAGATAACTACTGTGAGAATCAACTTTTAACAATTTTTCTAGACGTCTCCCTTCAAATGCCACAATAAATCAAAGAATGTGTTTGTGACATCACTAACAGAACTATTATTATTTATTGGACAAGATAAATACACAGCTAATAATAAAATCATTCACACATCAATCAATCAATCAATGAACAACAAAATCAAATAGCTGCTATTTTTCATATCTATATGCAGCCATGAAAACAGTAAACAATTGATTAGTTAAACACTAAATGCTAAACACTCATAATAAATAATTGTTTTCCTGAACAAGAGGCTGCAATGCACCAGTCACATTGAAGAGCATCAGTATCATGTGAAATTCAAAACAGCAACTCTCATCAAAATTACTGAATATGCAGAAATTCTTATTAATCCTTTTTGGTGTTCTTATAGTTTTTGTTTTTCAGCATGTAGTTTTAATTTAGGGTAGTACTTGATAAGTACAAACTGTTCACTACCCAGATCTGTTTATTTTTTATTTGAATCAACATACAACTAACTTTAATTTGATGTACAAATAGACAGATTTGACCGTAATATAACAAGTCTTAACTTACCATCTCACATTTTATAGTCCCTAAATAAACGGTCATCTTGTATTTAACAAGTTATAACCATTTAATATCAATAAAAAAAATAGACTGAAAAAGTTAACAATCCAATGCCATTAAATCCGGGCATATTTTTAGTGCAAAATAGGTTATCTGCCCTTGATGTGAAATTAGTTCCTCTTAACCAGTCTACTGACTGTTCTCCAGCTGATTAACACGCTGGGATAATCAAGACTATTTTCAATGAAACATTACAGAAAGCTAGATCAATAAATCTAATTTATTAACTTGCTAGTTAGGCAGCTTAACGATTGTTTTGAGAACCTTGTAAAAACAAAAGGAAACTACTACTGGTATCATGTTCTTGCTTTACTAAGGAGATTCGGAGGTATTACTTTTACTACACCAAAAGATGCCTCTCCTAACGGTATAGTTCATAATATAGCAAATTAAAAAAACAAAACGAACATAGTTTCTAAAGCTGCCGTAACAATGAATCGGCTAAATATTATTGCTCTTCAGAATCGTTAACAATAAATTTTTTACGGCTTTAATAGTTGATAGTTTTGTTGAAAATTTCATGTGCGATGGCTATTTATAGCCTCATTGACTATACTGCTGGTTATTCTCACAATTCGTTCCTAGCCACTAATCAGTTCGGGACTAGTCACAGCGTGCACATTCTCTATGGCATGTTCAACTTTTAATACGGCAAATTTTGGCTGTGTGGGGCACCCTACATGTGGACGCTGTATATGCTAAAGTTATCATCTGCTGATGCACAGTGTTCATGTTCATTGATTTCTGAAAACTCAAACTAGAATTTTTTCAGTTTTTAATGTCTTGTAAATACTCTCATTACCTACAAAGAATAAAAATGTGATAGCCATTGCTGCTTTGATGACTTAACTGCCTGGCAACTTATCTTTATGTTTGGGGATATCATGCTATAAGATCTGGTAGTATTGATGATGTCACTAACACATTCTTAGAATCTTTCTGAATGTTGATCCAAGTAGCTGTGTCGTTATTATAGGAACATCTTCTTTAAATTTGCACTGTTTGTCATGTAAAGGCTTACATCTGTTCTAGTTCTACTGATGGCCCTTTTGTCTAGGTTTTTAACTTTAGATAATTTATTTCAGTTATATGTAACTGAGAATTCAATGTTTTAAAACAATGCAAATCTTGCAATCAAATTTATGCGAGATACATAAATGGGTCATTCCATGTCAAGTGGACCAAATTTCGGAAAGTTGGGAACATGACCCTCCAAAAAAAATATAAAAAATATATGTAAATAGTATGTGGCCTTAAGCTAACAAATCCAAAAATCGCTGAGATATGGCCATTTGAAATTAGAGTACTGAAACGGATCATAAATTCAGTAATTTTTTTTCAGGTTTTCAGGTGCTTAAAACTCACATTTCTAACTTTGTAATCTAAGACAACTTTTAGCATCACACACAATGTGCGACTATTGATTTTGGTGCATGCCCGACCCCTGTCATGTTCCAGGATGATCCATTCAGAATTGCATCCATAGGTGAAAAACAAACAAAAAATGAGCGTTGCTGTGCCCCTGGGGGTCGGGCATGCACCAACAATAATAGCGGTCATCCTAAAGGTATAAGGAATAAGCATAAAAAGTTTTCATGCACTAAAAACAATAACGATCATTCTTAGGGTATAAGGAATAAGTATGCACAACTTCAAGACAATCCGTTAAGAATTGTCGCTTGTATGCGACAGACTGACACATTTAAAAAAAAATGAGCGGCTCTCTGCCCCTGGGGGTCGGGCATGCACCAAAAACAATAAGGAACATCCTTAGGGTATAAGGAATAATTAGTATGCAAAGTTTCAAGACGATGCGTTAAGAATTGCAGCCTGTACTTTTGAGGCATCTGGTGAGAGCGAAACCACATAAGGCCTACTTTACTTCAACTTTCTGATCAAACAAAACAAGTTTTCACCTATTTTTAAAGCAAAACTAAATTGAAACGATATTCCCTGGATCCCAAAAGAGTCTTTATTCTTATTCTATGTTAAGAGTTGATCTAACTTGACAAATATGAGTCTTTCAGAAATAATTTTAATCTGATGTCAAAACCCAATATTCCAATTTGTGAAGCATATTAACCATTTTGTTCTCATTTTGGAGGCAAAATAAAATTGAAACACTATAATGTACATCCAAAATGATTACATATTTGTAATCTTTGCAAAAAGTCACTCTAAATAGATACTTTGAGGAGTATAGGTCATTTAGAAGTTATTTTAAAATCAACGTGTGAAGTCAACAATTTTCTCAATAGCCATTAGAACTTCATCACCGCACAAATTTCAAGTACCAATTAAAAATATAAGCCATCAAATACACAAGATAGACTTTAATGTATGTTATAGTAGGGAAAATGAAGTTTCCTTATCAAACTTTTTCAGAATTTTAACCTCTGTCCCACATGACCGAAATTGAAAAATCAATAGGGGTATATTTTGTATGTTTTCAGTGTGCACTGAATTCCAAGACTGGATATTTGGAAAAGTATATATCCCATCAACTCATAATTTTTTGTGATTTGATAAAAGACAAATTGCTATTAACTATGCCAATTTTGGAGTTTGTGTATACAATAGTGACTTTACCAGAGGCTGTGGAAATCCTGAAAAGAAAAGTGATTAGTTCATTTGTTCCACATTTTGCCACCTGGTGGCGCGAAAAGTATGCATTGTACAATGAGTGTGATGCTAAATTATCTACACCAAAAGTGTATTAGAAATGTGAGTTTAAAGCACTCAAAAACCTGAAAAAAATTACCGAATTTATGATCCGTTTCAGTACCCTAATTTCAAATGGCCATATCTCAGCGACTTTTCGACCTAGAAAGGTATAATTTCGGATTTGTTAGTTTAAGGCCATATACTATGACATATGTTTTTGTCCCCCGCCTTTCGAAGAAAGCAGGGGACTATTAAAATGGGTTCGTCCGTCTGTCTGTCCGTCCGTCCGTCCGTCTGTCTGTCCGTCACACTTTTTGGGACACAATAACTCTCTTCCTAATTGAGCTAGAATGTTCAAACTTGGTGTATGTGTTTATTAGGTCAATGCCTTGATGGAGTTCGAAGATGAGCATTTTCCGCTTAGGGTAAGCAGAGATAAGCAATTTGATTGGTTGATGCTTTGGGACACGATAACTCTCTTCCTAATTGGGCTAGAATGTTCAAACTTGGTGTATGTGTTGATTAGGTCAATGCCTTGATGGAGTTCGAAGATGAGCATTTTCCGCTTAGGGTAAGCAGAGATAAGCAATTTGATTGGTTGATGCTTTGGGACACGATAACTTTTAATTGAGCTAGAATGTTCAAACTTGGTGTATGTGTTTATTAGGTCAATGCCTTGTTAGTAACAACAGTTGGCACTGGAAAGACACGCCGCGTGCGCAATAGTGCATCGATATGAAGGCATACAAATTGTTTACGGCTTTTTATATTACGATATTCAATTATTTCTGATTAAATTATTTTTTATATTTGCGCGAGTACTTAATCACTCACGTAAATTTGGTTTTACGCGAGCGTAGCATGCGCACGAGTAATTACTCGCGTCTCGTGGCAAGCCCTGAGCTAGAATGTTCAAACTTGGTGTAGGTGTTTATTAGGTCAATGCCTTGATGGAGTGTGAAGATAAGCATTTTCTGCTTAGGGTAAGCAAAGATAAGCAGTTTGATTGGTTGATGCTTTGGGACACGATAACTTTAGTTCTAATAAAGTGAGAGAGATGAAACTTGGTGTATAGTTTCATTACATCAATACCTTGACTAAGTTCGATAATGAGCATTTTCTGCTCAGGGTAAGCAGAGCGATAAGCAATTTGATTGGCTGAGACTTTGGAACACAATAACCCTCCTTCTAATTGAGCTAGAATGTTCAAACTTGGTGTAGGTGTTTATTAGGTCAATGCCTTGATGGAGTGTGAAGATGAGCATTTTCTGCTTAGGATAAGCAAAGATAAGCAATTTGATTGGTTGATGCTTTGGGACACGATAACTTTAGTTCCAATTAAGTGAGAGTGATGAAACTTGGTGTATAGTTTTATCACATCAATAACTTGACTAAGTTCGATAAT